GGACTTTGGTTGCTAAACTACTCTTTATAATTCTGTAGTTTACATGGTTTTGAACTGGATTAGACTTTGGGTTTTAATTGCTGTAATATCACCTACTGTTCTGCAATTAACTGGATTTCGGTTTTGAACTGGATTATGGTTTTGGAATTTAATTGTTAAAATATTATATATTATTATGCAATTAACTGGAGTATGGTTTTAAACTGTAACTGCTGAAATATTTTACCCTATTCTGCAATTACTTGGATTATGGTTTGGAACTGGATTATGGATTTGGACTTAAGTTGCTGAACTGCTATTTAGATTATGTAATTTAAATGGATGTTAAGGATCGTATGCATCGGTATGGGACGGTGGCATACTAAGATGGTTTAGCTCAAAATGCTAAGACCTACCCTATTGGAATAAGGGAATGAATTGTAAAACTTGAATCCTACTTATATTTAGGTCAACTCAACTGAGTAAGTTGAGTGACCACATGGATTAATGGTTGTTCGTAGTTAAGTTATATCAACTGAATAAGTTGAATGATTAACTGGATTTTAAATTGTATGTCAGCTCAATGAATAATTGAATGACATACTCTGGTTTTGGACGGATTTTAGATATATGGTTATGGTACCACGAGATAAGCTTGAGTCTCAGGCTCGTTGGTTAGAGTGCGTAAATGCAGTGGATGCGTAGCTGGTTATGGTAGGTTGAGGTATACCTTGTTAGGTCTAGGTACTCATGCCCACCTTTGAGTGCATTTTCGCATGTTGCCTTCTATTCAGGTTGAGACCCCTATTGTAGTCCAGTGAATATCCCTTAGTGTGGATATATATATGTATGGACTAGATAAATATTGTGAGGTATCTAGGGTGTATCTGCGTATCGGGTCACTGTATGGATTTCAGTTAGATTAGAACTTGTTCGTGAACCTGACCCACTCTTTTATTCTTTTCAGGTACAGGACATTTCCAGCCTTAAAGCTTGATCATGCTTGTCGAAGACAGTCTTTTATTCATCTGCTTACGTAGGATTTCTCTCGATGTTCTAGTTTAGTTTTATTTTCGGTTATTCAGTTCAATTGGGATTTTTATTTAGGGGTCCACTAGGTGGATTCCCAAGTTGTACTCTTAGAGGTTTTGGAGAACTGGATTAACATTATTTACTATCGTTTGGAGGATTTTATATTTGATATTTCTTTGAGCTTTATTCTATTTATTATTTCATTTTTACATTGTGTTCAGTTTAAAATACTTTAATTGTTTGATATTTCCCTCGGGTTTGGGCCTGGGCCTGATCAACCCGTGTCTCAGATCCGAGAAGTATCACATTAGGGTTATAAATAAACTGTGTAATGTCTGCGTATTTATGTGCATAGGTGTATATATAATATGTGTATTATGTTGTGTTATGGCTCAAATTTAAGCAAAAAGTTAAAGGAAAAAGAAAATAAAAGGTGGTGGGACCTACCATTAAACCAACTAAGGGCCAAGAGACCACAAATGGTCTCATTTCTCTCCTTCTCTCCCGTGCGCCTCTCTCTTCCCCTCTTCCTCTCTGTTTTTCTTTCATTTTAATTTCCAAAACTTTGAAACAAGATCTTGATCTCATTTCTTATCGAAATTGAGTGCCGTTTGAGGCAAAACGAAGCTCGTGTCAAGCTCTACACATCCATACAAGCGATTTCAGATTTAGTGCACTCCTTGGAGTTCGAATCTTAGGACCCATTTCTAGGGTTTGTGAAGAAAATTGGGGTTTTTGCTCAATTAGAGGTAAAGGTGTCTAATTCACACTTTTCTTGTACCTTAGTGAGTTATTCCTCTAGAATTTTGGCCAAACATGCTTGATTTAAGGTTGATTGCTTTAAAAATGATTTAATGGTGCATATAAAGATTTTATATATGTGTGTTTGTTGACTTATGTGATAAGCATGCTTAGTTTAGATGGATTACTCCTTAAATGATTTAATTATGTATGTGAAGCATGTATCTATGTGTATTTGTTGGATTGTATGGAAATTGTGATAAATGATTCATTTATCATGCTTATTATAATACTAAATATCTAGTTGATTGTTGTGAACATGTGTGGTAAATTGTGGTATTAAATTCCCCATTTTATGATATTGTCACGGCATGACAAATGTTAGAAATCCCTTATATTACAACATTGAAAGTATGTGGCATTCATGAATTCATCATTGGGGATTGCACGTATGGAAATGACTTTTGAAAAATGAAAGAATAGGGATTTTCGGGAAAGCTTTGTTGAAAAAGTTTTTTTTTGAGAAACCCGGTCGCCGCGGGGGTACCAAAGAGCCGGAGGTTAATATAGCCTAGAGGGGACTAGGGAGTCGCCCTAGCGTGCTTGAGCTAGCTGGGCCCCATAATGACGCCGCGGGGTTACCAAGGGTCAGGAACACTAGCCAATCCTCCTCTCGTGTCGCTGCGGGGTCACCAAAGGGCGGGTTATATTAACAGTTTGAAAAGTATGGTTGTTTTCTGAGAAATGGGGAGTGACACGCATATCATAGCATTCATGGCATTTTGCATATGATTGTTTGGAATTGGAATTTAATATGTGTTTCCCTCATTTTGCATGACCCCTCTTCCTATTGGCCTATGCTTTGTTTGGATTCACGGGGCTACAAGAGGTGCGTCTTAGGCACTCTCTACTGAGCTTTATGCTCACCCCATTTTATTTAACATTTTCCAGGAACCGGTAAGGAGGTAGTGGATGCCGATCTTCCACAAGCTTAAGGATGACTTGGAGCTCATTTTGTATCTTTTGTATATCTCCCATTTTTGTAAGGCCCCAAAAGTGTAGTAATGTGTATTTATTTTTCAAAACCATGGTTAGGTAATATAATTATGTTATTAGATGATATTTTGGATGTGAATTTGATAACATGTAAACCTTATTGATGAAAGGGGAGAGTAATACTAGTTTGAAGTATTATTGAGGTCATTTGATTGTGTATTATCATCTACTATTGCCGTGAATTCGGAATTTGAGCCATGATAGGTTAAAAATGAATTTAAACAGGTTGTGATAGGCCTATTTTTAGGGGAGGTCATGCCGAATTTTTTTTTTTGTTTAAAAAGTATCAGTTTTGGAATCGTTACAAACTGAGCTGAGCCGAGCTTTGGGTTGTTCGGGCTTGGCTCATCATCTACAGAAAGGTGCCCCGGCTTGGTTTCATATAGATTCAAGGTACTTGTATATGTGGTAAAATAAAATTGAGTAAATATCTTAACTTGCTGGCATGACGCTAACTTGACGATGACAAAGCTATGTTGGAAAGGTGGCGTTAATCACCACAGTTAAATGCTCACTGGACCAGTGAGAGAGTGGCTGGAGATGATTTTTTTTCCCAATTTCTAACTGGGATGTCATTGGGGCTGCAAATGAACTGAGCCGAGCCGAGCCGAGCCGAGCCGAGCCGAGCTTTAGGTTATTCGGGCTCGGCTCGTCATCTACAAAGGGGTGCTCGGGCTCGGGCTCGGGCTCGGTTTCATATAGATTCAAGAAATCAAGATATCACCGTCGTCTTTATCATGAAATCACACTTCAATCTCCAACCAGAAAAGGAGAAAAAGAAATACATAACCAATTTTCAAGAAGAAATCAGATCTTAAAAGGTTTTAACGTCTCTACAAATTTGTTCTTTGAGATCCATTTAAGAGAGAGAGTTGTGTGGCCGGTGGAGGGGTTGTCTGCGTATTATGTGGTGGAGTTGATTCGTCTGAGAGAGAGATGTGTTGCTTATTGATGGTTGATGATGTGGTTCTGCCGTGGAGCTGAAGATATGATACAACTATTCTAGTTTTCATTTTAAGGCTTATTCTAATCTCTTAACATCTCCAAAAACAAACGGTTGAGATGAATTTTTAATTTAATGGGTGAGATGAATCTTATCTGGCCAATAAGTTAAAATTTTGAGTTGGGCGAAACTTATTTGTATTATATGGACTAAACATTTTAAATGTATAATAAAAATACAATGGGTATTTGCGTTATTCACGAGCCTAACAAGCCAAGCTTAGCGTTATTCAAGTTTGGCTCGTTTACAAACGAGCTTGAAAATTGAGCTCAAGGTTGGCTCATTTACTAAACGAACTAACCGAAGACTGAGCCGAACTCTTAATGAGCCAAGTTCGAACAATTCATGAATAACTTGGTTCATTTGCGGCCCTAAATATCATTGTTTAAGAAGGGTCTAAATTGTATCTACCTATAATAAACCCAACCCTCAAGCATTATAAATTACTTTAAAAGTTTATTAAGACATTGTTTAGATAAAGATGAAGTTTATCTAAATATTCAAAATTTAGTTTTTAAATTTGTAAGAAAAAATTTAAATTTTTTAAAGCTTATCTATATATATATATAAATTTGACGACTGTTACATTTTTTAGTTTTTATTTTATATTTTTTTATATTCAAAATTTAGTTTTTAAATTTGTAAGAAAAAATTTAAATTTTTTAAAGCTTATCTATATATATATATAAATTTGACGACTGTTACATTTTTTAGTTTTTATTTTATATTTTTTTAACGGCAGTTACATATTATCACTATTGTTCCAATAAATAACACGTCAAAAGTTGGGTAGTCTTTTAGGCACCTAAAGAACCTGACGACACACTGGACTTCGTCGTACATTGTGTCATTTTCGAAGACTAAAAAGTAAAACAGTGTCCACGATCTTCTTAGGGTACCGTGCACGTGATGGACACACTTTCTTGACTCGGTTTCACGAACCTCCGAACAACCCAAGCCAATCTTCACCACGTGTCACAATCTCATTCCCTTCCTCTCTTTAACGCATCTTTCAAGTTTTGTCTTTTCTTTGCATGCGGTAACCGAAACCGCGCATGGCTAACATGTGCAATCACCAAACCCGGTAGCACAGAAATCGTGTGGCACCTATGGTGACTCTAACCACACCCCCCTCAATCTTAGTCACTATAAATGCAGTCTCTCTCAAGACGCACCAAGTAGCTTTTGTTTCGTTTCCCCTCTGTGCTTCGCCAACAGAATTAGGACGTAGCAAGAGAGTGAAAAGATTCCGAGAAACTAAAGAGAGAGAGCGATTTTCTCGAGAAACTAGAGAGAGAAAAGATCTGTTTGTTCGATCGGTCCGTACGAGTGGAGAGATGTCGAGTCTGCCTGAGTCGCTGAATGTGGACTCCTCGGGGGCTGCTGCTGGACCGAGTTCCTCCAGAGGCGCAACAAACCGTATCAGGGCCGACTTGAAATCGGCCTCGGTCGATGACTTGATACTGTTGCTTCGCGAGTCTGAGTACAGAGAAGATGCTCTCTTTTTTCTTAATAAGGTATACACACACACATATATATATATAATCTTATCTGTTTCTTGCAAGCTTGTTCTCTTGTTTGTGTCTGTTTGGTTTCCGGGAAAGAATGTGGGAAACTTAAAGAAAATTCGAGAAAGAGTAACTTTTCTCAGTCAATTCAACAATTGAAACGGAGGCATCGTCCTATCGATGACGATTATTGCATTTTCTGATACCATTAGCCATTATGATTATATGTCTATACATATATATATATTCGATTGGGTTAATTAATTCTTTAGAGGACGGTAGAATGTCCTGGTTTCTCCTAGATTGCTGTACATTCTGCCATATCAATCGATCTCTCTCTGCTTGATTGCTAGTTATTTTTCCAAAATGTAGTTCGTTGTATACTCTTATATGAGTTGATAGCTACAGTAAACTTTAATTTACAGGTTTATATGCTCATACTTCGATAAGTGATTTTTTGGTGGATTTACTTCAGATTGTTATGTTCTCAATTGATTTTTCTAGACATGAAGTATGAACTGTAATTGCTAAATCAAACAAGTGTTAATCTACTCAAACACATTTTACTAATATGCACTACTATGTAGAATTTAATATTACTTTCCCAGATTTTTTTCAGGAAGTATTTTTCTCCTGGTGCTTTTTTTAATCTTCAATTGCATAAATGAAGATCATGGCGTTGAGGAATCAAAATCCTCTCGTCACTTTTCCTGTGGTTCCGTACTGTTGGTGAATTTTGCTACTATAATGCTGGGATTTGATGCTTGGGTTATTTGGGGTCCATTGGGTTATGCCTTATTCCTGTAGAGGGTTGACTGAGGCTTGGAGAGGTTTCTCAGTAGGAGCTCTCATTCAGGATGCTTGGAGCGCTATGCCCTTTGTATTTGGTGGTGCATTTGACTCGAGAGAAATGGGAGATATTTTGATGGAAAGGAGAAACCTATTTCTATGCTTAAGTTATCTATTATTTATACTCTTTTTTGTTGGGTCTCAGGGAGAGATTATAGATCTATAGAGGAGATTATTGTTTTTTTGGCCTCTTTGAAGGTTTGAGGCGCTTTTTGGCCTCTTTGTTTCTTAGGGATTCACTCCACTTTTGAGCGTTTTCTTTTTTAAATCTTACTTATCAAAATAATAATAATAATAATGGTACAATTTCTCCTGTAAGTAAGGCAAGTGAAATTTCACCATTATAGCAATGAAATTGGTGAAATTCACCATTTATAGGGATGAAATTCACCCGCTGAAGGGAACTGTGGGAAAACGTGAGAAAACATGACCGGAGAGGATCTTGATCCGGCGTTTAAGTCCCTCAAGTTTTCCCTTATGCTCCTGATAATGTTGATTTAAAAACATTATATATTAAAGTGTGCTTGTTCTTGATTTTAATTAGTTACTATTTATTTATTTTCGGTCAGAAAAGAGAAACAGTTGGAGATTTGGCATTGCTGTTGTGGAATTCATTCAATACCATTTATATACTCTTAAAGGTATGCCCGTGTGCCTTGACTCTTCTAGAATGCTTCTTCACAATTATATAATTTTTTAATGAAATTTGGTTAATCCTTTTTAATGTGTAACCTTTTTATCATTGAGATTCAACTTTTAGCCTATAATAATAAATCATTAGATAATTAGAATTTAGAATTTAGAATTTAGAATGACCGGAACAGACATTTTTCATTTTCACAATTTGATTTTTCTGACTTTTTTCACGGTGAAAGGTAAGAGTATACTGATGTAAAGACTGTACAAACAAGGCAAAAGCCAATACAGCAGCATAAGCTGAAACAAGGCTGAACCAGCAAGGAGCACAGCCAGAATGTCAGGCCTTACAAAACAATGGCTTTTAGGATCTTACATTAGGGAATTCATAGCATCTGATATTTCTGGTTGATATCACTTGTGAGTGAAATTTTGTGGAGATGCAAATTCATTCTCTATTTCTTTTTCCTTTTGTTTTTCTTTTTGTTTTTCATTTTTAAATCTCTTTTTTTTTTTTTTTTTTTTTTTTTTTTTTTTTTTTTTTGGTTTAATTACATTTCAACCACAGGTAGAAATTCTTGCCACAGGTCAAAAATGCAACCACAATATTGAGATAGCCTTATTCTTTATTAAAACCATTTTTATATTTCTATTTTATCAAAATGTATTACTTGAATCATGTGACATTTCTTGGAGAATTAGTGGATTAATTTAGCAAAAAATGGTACTTATCAAAAAAAAAAAATTAGCAAAAAATGGAATGATTATGTTTTTGTGGTTAGCTCCTTCTATGTAGTTTATTGGGAACTTTTTAAACGTAAAAGATTCCCTCACTGTCTTCAAAACTAGGAAGCACAGACACTTCCCCAGGGTTGTCATTGTTGTATTGGATATATATCCGATACGAATACATGTGGGAAGCATCCGGAATTTTAAAGTGTATGTATATATTTCAAATCAAATACAACAAGCTTCTGGGATATGACTGGGCAAATTTGAAATATTTTTTATAAATATATGGGGGTTTGATTGTAATAGTAAAAAAATCATTGTTTAAAAGAAAAAATAAAACAAAAGGGACTTAAAAGTCCAAATCCAGAGTAAACAAGAAGAAGGGACATTTGGTGTCCACCAAGATATGTATTAATTTGGATCATTCAGTTCTAGGGTTAGGGTTTTTAATTCTTTCTCTATCGTTTTGCTTTATCTATTTGCCTCTTTTTATATGAACATATTGGTGATTAGATTTACATTCCTAATGTAATGAAAAACTAGTCAAAAGTTAATTATATATATATATATAAATTTAATATATTATTTTATTGTTGTATATTTATCTTACTTGTATCCTAATTTTTGAAAGTTTGTTGTATCACCGTGTTCATGTCGTATATGTATCCCATATCCATGTCCGTGCTTCGTAGCTCCAAAATCAACAACTACCTCTCACTAAGAACATCATACCTTCCCTATCACTGTTGCAGCAGCACCACCTTCCTCCATAATCTTATCAAGGATGATTGATGGTTTATTTGCCTGGTTTGTGGTTTTTGTCGAGCTCCACCATAAAGAGAGCAACTTTGGCTACATTTCTGGCAAGTTTTGTGACTTCTGGCAAGTTTAGTGGAAAACCTCTCCCCCAATGAATTCCATTGTTGACTCTTGCAGCCCCGAGTGCGACATGATGCTTTTTTTCTTTATTTGTTGCAGAAAGTAAGTGTATCTTGTGGTCTTAGACAATGATTAAAAACATTTTGGCATTTAAAGCTTCAGTAATTCAAAAGTTTTGTCTGATGCCTAAATATAGTACATTGAGAATAGAGGAGTATAAAAATGAATGAAGAGAAAAAGAGCTATGTATTTCATATTCAAATATAAGACCAGTCTCCTTCACCACTGTCCATCTGTACACCCTCTATCTATTCCCACAAAATCTGAAACCACCTTTCTACCACCACTGCGCTTCACTTTATTTTCTCTCAGTCACATCACCAGATCTTCTACCCATTGAAGCTGATGACCCCCGACCTGATTTTACTTTTTTAGATTATATTTGTTGATGATTTAATCACAAAATGAAATTCTCTTAGCACTACCTTTTACTCTTTTAGGGGTCATTACACCTTACTTTTGAACTCATATTGATGTTGAATGCCTGATGTATTCTCTCTATTTCAGGAAGTATTAGATGTATACAAGTTGTTAATACCATCAAAGCTTACTACACGAGATTCTAATCGAGTTTGTGATGCTCTTGCTCTACTTCAGGTCGATCATTATTTCTGTTATTCTTATTGTCACTCTTATCAATCTTCTGTTATTTTTTTATGATAAATGTTATAATTATAGGAATTTGTTTGGAATTTTGAGTTGGCCATGGCTTTTTTTTCTATGTTCAAGGAAAATATTGGCCACATGTATTTGTTCATTTTACCTTTTTCAAGTTAAAGCAGGTTGCCTGAGGGATCCGCTTGGACTTCGATGCTACATTCTCATACATGCTCTTATTGAAGTCATTTTACTTTTGTAGATACTCTCTTCAGATATCATCTAATCTATGATACAACTATTCACTAAGAAGTATGCTTGTAAAAATTAAATTTCAGGACGTGTACAAGTATGTTGAAGCTAGAATTAACAAGGAAATGCGGAAAGACAATTGTGATTCCATTCATGCTAGGGCTTAAACAACATCTATGAAGTAACTTTAGAGGTAGCATGAAATCACTGGGAGGGACATCCAGACACGCAAACCTGTATTGGCAACGTGGTAGATTTGGGATTGACATTAGGCTTGTCTGTTTTGAAATGAATTAATTACTAGGGGACAGTAATAAATATATTCTCTTGACTTTGAGAATTTTACAGACGTTAAGATTTGTCACTCCCCCTCCATCCTACAATGAGAGTTTCTTTTGGATAGATGGGATTCTCTCTCATATGTATGAATTTACACCATGTTTACTTTGACCATATTGTCTCTCTCTCTCTATTGTGGACCAGTATATATGTAGTTTATTTTTATTTGAATTAGGAGAGTAGCAATGCTGCAATTAGATTTGAGGCTTTTTGGCTGTGCATATTAACTATAATATTTATTCTAACCTATTCAAGAGGAAAAAATGAGGCCCGATGAAGATTGTGTTGCAGAAGTTCTCTATTAATACAGTAATATAATTATGCATTAGACAAGAAAATCATTGAATAAGTTTGCCACATGCTCATAGTGGAGAAAATTTATGTGGTCAAACTTTTCCTCAAAGATTTTGGGAGTAATAGAGATCTAAACTGTGCGTCAAGATAAAAGCATATTGTATAATCTTACAGGAACATGTCCTATTATTTCAGATTATCGTGATACTTTTGCATTCTGTTTTCACATCCAATACAGGTGGATGGTTTTTACTGTCTGTCAATCTGAAATCTAACTGCTTTTCTCCCTTTTTTCATATTGTCTTATTTATTTTATGACAGTGTGTAGCTTCTCACCAAGAAACAAAGATGCCATTTATCAAAGGTAATTCCTTGGATCTAGCAAGTTGAAACCTGCTAAACATTTACAAGCAATATCTATATTTAATATATGTACTTCAAAAATATATTTAAGTATCTAGGTGGACTCGGTGTAATTGCATTATTTTTGCAACAAGGAACAAAGATGTATGTATCACTCAATTTTGCTTGTTTTTCTTTCTCATTTCATGTATAATTCTTATCATGCTATTGCAGGAGATACTTATTAAAAAGGATCCCATAAAGCATTGAATCTGAAAATACTGATGGAGCACAAAATCTTACCTTTTTGAATCATTTGACATACTTATATGTTTAAAGGTAGTTCTAGATATGAATTTTTGCATTACCATGCTATATGGCATGTCTGTGTCTAGGACTGTCCTTTAGGAGTAAGAATTTGTATGTTCAAGAGATTTATTTATTCATTATTACTTAATAACAAAATATTAGGAGCAAATGAACAAACTATAACCTTAAAATCATGCTTTCGTTGCCCAAGTAGTCAATGAGGTTTTATTGATTTGCAAGTCGAATCTTATATTATGATTCTTAATTCCTGCAACAAATTTTAACTTTTTCATACAAAGATGTGTGGAGGTTTTTTTTTTTTTTTTTCAACTAATGCTCTGTTTGCTAAAATGTAAAACATTTTCTCAAAAATATTTTCCATTGTTTGGTTGCTTAGGGTATTAAATGAAAATTAATTACAGGATGTGAAAGTAAAAGAAAGTGAAGTGATGAATAAAATTTCCAACATGCATTTTATTAGCATGAAAATAAATTTAAGAATGTAAAAAGAAGACGAAGAAGCAGCAGTAGCATTACTATAAATTCATGAAACTTTATCAAGAAATCAAAAATTTCCTGTGATTTTTGTAGGAAAATTTATGGGAAGTTAGGTTGTATGGGAAATCATCCTTCCTATTCTCCTATGTGTTTTTAAAAAAAATCATTTTAGCCTTAAGTCATTTTACGTGCTCGCTCTAGACAAGGACTTTCTCATATTGACTCCTTCCGTACTCAAACTCTATCTAACAAATTCTCACGCCTTTCTCTCGCACTCAATCTCTCTCCTCTCAGCTCTCTCTTATGGCTTACCCATGCATGTTGATCCACTGCCACTGTCACACCACACATCTCCTGTGTCTGAACCTTCTCACTCTATTCCCGATCTGTCTCTCTCTCAACATCAGCTTGTCACCCTTGATCCACTTCTGTTGTGCCATTACACGCGTTCTCAATTAATGAGTGTCAACTCCTCTCTTTTACTGCTTTCTTTGTATTATTTAAAAGCTCTAGCGCTATCTTTAATTTTAATTGTGTTTTCCAGTTTCAATTGGGGTTCATCTTTGCATTGGTTTTTTATTATTATTATTATGTTGTTGATTTGGAAATTTTAAAGAAGTGATTAAGTTTGTCATTTATGTTTTGGGATGAATTTGGTGTCATTTGTGTACAGAGAATATTTTGTGGATGTAAGCCAAAAAGTTGAAAAATGAGAAGAAAAAATTAATTTTAATGATAAAGGTTTTACATGGAAAATGTTTTAATTACAATGAAAATGTTCTACGCTGAAATGGATGGAGCGCAAGTTTTTTTCACAGAGTTGTCTATTGCTTCTAGTGAATTCGAAGTGGCTGTTCTAACTGGATTTTATCTCTTGCAGCTAAGATACCTATATATCTGTATCCTTTTCTTAATTTCAAGGAATCTGAAAAGCCGTTCGAGTTTTTGAGGCTTACCAGCTTGGGTGTCATTGGTGCCCTAGTGAAGGTGCTTATTACATCTTAATATTTATTCTTAATATCTTGATATAACAGATCCCATGTCCTTCCATACATTTTGCTATATTCATTGATTTTGAACTTATATTTTAAAACATCAATTAAATGGATATGCGTCCTTGTCGGAGCATGAGATACTCTTTCAAGTAATAGAGGCATTCTATATATTATATGCATTTTTATTTTCAAAAAAAATCCCTACAAAATCTGATAGGAACCTATATTTCATGTGTTTTTGGCTTTTAACTGAAGTGCACCCATGGCGCATGCTCTTCACAGTAACCAAGCTGTCAAATAAATCAGTGTCATCGGTAAATTCAGTTCTGATTTTCTTCCATTCTTCTTTCCATGACTAAAATAAATCCATCACGGTGGAGTCAATGCTTACACCTTCGCATTGGCATCTAATTTATATTTTGTAGCCAAGTGCATTAGAGGTATGTATGTACTGCATGGTAACAGAGATGCTCACATGAGAAGATAAATGCTTTGCTCATATGCAGCAGCTTGCTCATCCTTTTTCTTTTTCTTTTTTTTTTCCTTTTTTTTTTTGTCCAACTTTTTAGCAGATAATAAGAATCAAATCCAAATTCTACCTTTATCTTTTAAATGCCATTCCAGCAGTTTACCAGACAGAACAGCTACATATTAAATGTGATCAATTGTTCTGATTAGACCACACTTTTGTAGTCTCTCTGCTCTTGTGCTCTCTCTATATAAAATTATACACGTACTCAGAATATCACATTATTTTATGATAATAACTTCAGCTCTGTATGTTTTTAATATTGCAGGTTGATGATCCACAAGTAATTCATTTTCTTCTTGAAACAGAAATATTTCCTCTGTGCCTACGTTGCATGGAATGGGGAGATGACCTATCAAAAACAGTGAGTGCTCTCAATATTTTGATCTTATGCAAGCATGTGAGATTTTTTTCGTAACTCTTTAACATTGTGATTTTTTTTTAAGGCTACAAAGATCCTTGTAGCCAACAGAAGAACCTAGAGACAGATGAGTTAAGACTAAATTTGATCAAAGTTGGATGACACAGTAGCATCACTTAATAATAGTCAGGATAAGAAGATCCTCTTTATAATTGTTTGGTCCGTGCACACTTAAGATCTGTGGTAGAATCAGTGAGAAGAGGTGTCTGAAGCGTCCACTGCCCTATATCTGCTCTGTATTGTTTAGAAAAGTATAATTTTGATCTCGTCAACTTGTATTATCATGATATGGTTATCTTTTCTTTTGTATTCTTCATGATTCTCCTTGTCCAAAATTGAATTGATCTTAAGTAGAAATAAGATTAAACATTTAACTAACAAAAAGAACTGAAACGTTAAATTAATTTTTTTAAAACCGTCATACCATCAAGGATTTATTTACCATGCATTCTTGATTTGATTTAGTCGTGAAGCTCTTTTCTCTACTATATTATTTTGCTAAAAAATTCCATGAATACTAATTAACTTTAGGAGCCGAAATCCGAATCCTTAAAATACACCACACACTGAGAGTAAATGAATCCTTCCATGAAAAACAGGGGGCAACACCATCCCCTCGAAAGCAGGATGACAGCTGAGATGGAGCTAGGAGCCAAGTGCCAACCTATACTTCTTCGGGCTTGCTTTGCGGCCCTTGCCCCAACATATAAATGAAGGACGGGCCTCTTCAAGAAAGCTTTGCATGGTAGGCGCTTCCTATTCCCTCAGATAATGATCTGGAAATGGGACAAGCCACATGCAAAAAAACTTGCTTGTGTGGTTCTGGCCAGGAGTCAGGGACCCAGTCTACTGTACTAATATGTGTAGGTTCCCGTGAAGCATACGAGAATGCTCCATTTGGTAGCTGGAGGGGGGGAGAGAGAAGAATATGAGTTTCTAAATTCTAGCAAATAATCTTGCGGGCTGAGTTTTATGCCGCTTACAATATATATATATATATATATATATATATATATATATATATATATATTCGATGAAATTCTCTTTGTATCTCATAATGCTTTCAAGACTATTAATTCTTATAAATATCTTTTGATTTCACAGGTTGCAACCTTCATAGTAGCAAAAATTCTTCTGCAAGAGGAGGGGCTATCATATTGCTGTTCCTTTGCAGAGCGTTTTTATGCAGTGGCACAAGTTTTGGAAGGCATGATGGAGAAACTTGCTGAAAAACCTTCTACTCGGCTGCAAAAAAATATTATTCGTTGTTATCTTAGGCTGTCAGAATTCCCAAGGTTAGTGTTGTGAATCTCACTACCGCCACACTCAGATTGACAATATTGGTTTCTCTAAAATTTGGTTGCAACCACCGTACTGGTTGAGCATCTGGTGAGGAGGTCTTGATCCTCGGATTTTAAATGCAGGGCCTGTGATGCATTAAGGCGTAACTTTCCTGCAAGGTTAAGAGATACTACATTCATCAACATCCTTTGTGTAAGTTCATTAACCATCTTGGTGTGATAGATTAGCAGTAGGGAAAGAAAAAAAAAAGTAGAAAAGCTTGGTGGAGTGCTTGCAGAACTCAGTCGTACAGAAATTTAGACGCACATACATGCACACCTTTTGCTTGCATGCACATATGCCTTTAAGCCTTTCTAAGTCTTCCCAGAATTTAGAAATTTTTCTTCGATTCCTCTCTTCAGCCTAGATATATTGGACAACTAGGATATTTAAAGCTGTCCTTCAAACGAACACTATATCTTCATTTTTTTCCCCTTTTCCTTGACAAATAACACGCACAATTTGCCTCTGTAGTAACTTGAACTATGAACCTTCTATTTTGAAATTTTGAGGAGATACCACTTGGCTCACCCTTTGTAGTGAAAGAATGCTAGTTTAGAAGCTAAAAATATGTTTCCAGTTTTAGTGGGGCAGCATATCTTCTGAGCAATTCAAACATTAATCAAATCGCACACAATACATAATGAATCAATCCAAAATAACTCTTGTCTAATTATACGCATGAGATATTAAAATGTGTTGTTTTCTTATTATTCTTTGAAAATTTGCTATGATAGGAACAAAAGCTGTTTGGGTCTGGGGCCATGAAAGTGCTCTTTTATCATCTTTTCAAAAAATGGAGCATATAATTAAGTGAAAGAATTGGATAGGGTGCTTGATGGAAGGTAGGACATGATTAAGGGGTTGTAGGGTACTTAAGTAGATAACTTTCCAAAGGTGAACAGACCCCTGTCCTTTATAGTGGTAAAGGCGTCAATTTTATTTTTCCTCTATTTATTTATTAATAAATAGCATTCAAGGTTCATAGTCAACAAGGTGGAATTCTTTTACTAGTTAGTTTTGTTGATGATCTTGAATCTTACCATTTTCCAGATTTCTTATGTTGTATGTGCCTTTGCAGGAAGACCAAATAACCAAGAGATATCTTCAACAATTATTTTACAATGTCATGGCAGGACCCCGTCCCAGACCAGAAGTAGCTGGGGATGCATCAGGCCACTTCACCAGAGGCTAGACAGCGGAGGTGCAACTATGTTTTGTACTTTGTCCGGGATATCAGTTGAAACAACCTACCGTTTGAGCATAGTTAGGAAATGAATCCTGTAGTACTGTTGTGTATATCATGGAACTACTGCTTGTTTAAGAAGCTTTCAGCTGATGTACGACTAAACCAGTACCTTCTACTTTATCCTAATGAGAAAAATAAGAAGAGGTAAAGGTAAATTTAAGCTACTCTGACTCTGCAGTCGTATTCTTTTCGAACAACTTTGTTCAGAATGCATGATATTCTCGGCTGGTAATCTTTTAATAATTTAATTATATTTTGCTGAACACCAAATTCTAATGGGGAATTCATGAGGACAAATAGGGTTGGTTCTTCAATGAGAAAGTTCTGCTTTGTAGAGGCGATGAGCATATCACTAAAAGGAGCATAAAAAATCCTGCTAAGACCGTGCCAACATTGTAAAGCCAAAGATAAGACTAGATGGGAGTAAAAAAGTTAGAATTTTCAATAATCCATCAGAAAAAACTTGCAATGCACAACCAATCATTACTTCACCCAATTTCATAATATTTCCTTTACGATCCATGGAAGGGGCATCAGACACTACATGTAGGATATCAAAATCCATTACCCATTTAGGTCATTAAGGAATGCAGTTCGGAACTACTGGAACTAGAAATGGGATAGTAATGAACAAAAGCTCAATGACACAAAAAATGGTCTTAATCTTGTGAAAATGAAGACAGACCATCTGACTTTGAGGGGACTGAGAGATTGTTCTTGAGCATGAAAGAAAGATCATGCATCTGTGAAAACAGATTCTCTGCATCATCCTTTGTCTGTGTGGTTGCACTGGGAACATCTCCATCTTTCGCAGCTTGTCCAACATTTTCTCCAACTTCATTTTTTGTATCAGCCATCCTAAACAAGTACGAGTAGATATAAGAAAAGGTTGATGAGCATACATTGAAAATGTCATAACATATAATCTACCACATTAGTATAATCAGCAGCACAATTTGAGATGCAGGCAGTTCACTGGAAAACTGCTGCAAACCAATGAAACACATCCAAATCAATATGAAGCAGAAGGTTTGAAAGGCTTCTAAAGAACCAATATAGCAAAACGAGAGACTGAAAAGAGAATCCATTTACATGGACTCTTCAAAACGTGGGCAAGGCATCCATGTCGGGGGGACAATAATGGGCACTAATATAGGACAAGTGTCCAACACCTTTGGTTGGACAGGCACCTAAAAAAACACATTGAGTAACTAATTTTATTACAATATTACTTGAACAAATGAACTGTGACGCTCAGTGGGCGGGAGCAGGCTTGTGAGAGGCAAGACTCTGGTGCAAGCTATGTGTGCTCACAATTCCCACATCGCCTGGGTGTGGAAGAGTGAAAGTGCTATATGTAGACTGATTACCCTTCTATGACACAACATGTTTTAAAGCCATGATGGTCGTGAACCTACCAGAACTCTAGAGTTAACCGTGCTTAACCTAGAGTAGTACCAGGATTGGTGACCTCCTGGAAAGTCTATAATCCGAGAGAGCCAAAAGTGGACAATATTGTGTCGGTAGGATGAGGGACGTTACAAATAGTATCAGAGCTTAACCCAGCCAGAAGTGTACCGACGGGGACGTCGGGCTCCCAAGGGGGATGGAATTGTTAAGCTCAGTGGGCGAGAGTAGGCCTGTGAGAGGTAAGGCTCTGGTGCGAGCTACATGTGCTCACAATTCCCACATCGCCCGGGTGTGGAAGAGTGAGTGCGCTATATGTAGGTTCATCACCCTTCTATGACACAACGCGTTTTAAAGTCATGATGGCCGTGAACCTATCAGTAATCTGGAGTTAAGTGTGCTTAACCTGGAGTAGTACTGGGTGACCTCCTAAGAAATCTTTGGTCCAGGGGAGCCAAAAGTGGACAATATCGTGTCACTAGAGTGAGACTCGTTTCATGAAATGCCTATATAGAAACTATATTACATGAAGACATTAGTTTACTTTAAAAAAATATTAAATAATAAGAATATTTAGCAATGTCCATGACTCCATGAGTCCTTCTGTTCGGGAATTTAACATGTCCGACGCTTGAATACATACCTGCACCCGATATATGTACACGAGACCATGTACCATATCTACCCTTCCTATCATAACACACATTAGTTTTGGTATTGCCCTTCTCCTAGCTAGCTTTTACCCTAATGTGATTTGGTCAAGGTCAGTCATATGTTGATCAATGTGACCCTGTTTAAATAAATTGACAATGACATTTTACAAGAAACAGGTAACCCAAGCAAACTCACCTGTCTGAAGCAGGAACCTTTAACTGCAATTTATTCACTTCTCCATTACCAATTTGATTGCTAGATGATCCGGAAAAGAGATCTGGTTGTGAAAAGCTACCAAAATCCATTTCTTGAAAATTGTTGGTTGAGCTGGACAAATTTATTTCCGATGTTTGTTCATCGAAGGGGGCAGTGTGATTATCACTTCGATTCGAGGAATCCTTAGAAGAATCTTGTGCACTAGTCAAGCTTGCAAAATCATTCCACCCATCAAATGAATCACCCTCTTTACTGAGTGCCTTATTCCCCGGTGCATTTGTGCTGCTGGTTTGCCATTGATCATCCTGTAACCAATCACCACTGCTAGAAGGATTGTTTAAATTATCAGCTGTGACACTACCCTCAGCTTTCATGGTTGCATCAAATTGCTCAGCCTGATGAGACACCGTAGAGTTGAGATTATTCCAAACATCATCTTGAATCAAGTCATTAGTCACTGAAGAAAAGGCATGTGAATCATTCCCAGGTTTTCCATCTTTTAAATCTTTCCCAGTTCCAAAGACTGAGTCCATGTGGGAGGAAAGATCAATTGTGGAACCTTCGAAAGGGTCAAATGATTTTGAACCTTCATGCTGATTTCCTGAACCAGCAGACTGAAAATCCGCCCAACCAGAAAACTGCTCACCCTTTACATCTTCATGAGATCTGACAGCTGTCTCAGATGGCTGAGCATTTAGAAATAAGCTGATATTTTCTTGATCCACAAATGTACTAGCCTTTATATTATCAAACTGCTCAATTTTCACTGGCTGTTTTTCTGTTGCATTAGAAACAGTATCTTGTCTTGGTTCTGGAAAAAAGTTGTCCACGTCAGCTCCAGTCAAGTTCAAAGAACTTTGGTCCTGTACAAGTACCTTGTTTGTAAAACTAGTTCCAGGTTTCTCTGACTCAGCTGGCCATATTATCTGTAAATTTAAGAGATCAGACAATGAAATTTCATCTTTGCCTGAACTTTTTCCTCTGTTTGATTCATTTCCTTCAATGGGCGGTCCTATAGTCTCCTGCAAGAAATGAAGAAGCTGATTTTACTCGTCGTCTAACCAAAAATGCAAGATAAAATGCACAAATTTAAATAAATAAATAAATAAATAAAATGGCCAAACGAATAATGTATTGATGTATAATTATAAGTTTCTAATTTGGTTTCAAGAAGAGCTATATATCCTCCACTGTTTGATGCACACATCCCCCTCCCCATGTACTCATGGAATCCCATTGCATTAAAAAAGAAAAGAAAAAGGAAGGTGGCATAAACATAGTGTCACCCTTTAAGGCATACAACGTCTCCCATATCAAGGGGTAGAACCATCCCAATAGAATCATGAAAATATTTGTAGTGGAAATCATCATCGTAGAAAACATCAAATCGACATACCAACTAAAAACTTCAACATCGACACCACCACCGTGTTCATGCAGGAAATTATGTCTCAATTTTCTATAAGGGTTAGTTTGGTAGCGTAAGCCAGCGAGAAAGGAAAAGAAATAGAAAATTTTAAAAATTTAGTAGTTTGATTAGCGTGAAAATGAAAGTTTTCAGGAAAATAATATTCCCGCAACTGCTTGATTTTCCTCAAAATGTTTCCTCCATAAAACACGTGTAAAATTTTAGTTTCGCGTGAAAGTTGTATCATTATATATTAGTTTCCTCTTATACCTTGTAAGTTATTTCTCTTTGTTCTTCTTCAAACTCACAAAAGTAGAGTTTTCTTACCCAAATTAATACTCCTAATTTGGTTACAACTCTCTTACTCTTCAAATTTAAAATTCTTCGCTACACTTACAAAACAAAATAAACTAATCTAATAGCAGAGTCCTAATATATAATGTAAACTTCCCAAAACAATAAAAAATAATAATAATAACTATAAATAGACAAATACCAAATACTGGACATTAGGACATATATTTATTAATAAATCCAATTGTATATATTATTTTATTACTATTATTATTATTATTATTTTATTATTAAATTCATAAGGGTAATTTAATTGTATATATTATTTTACTACTATTATTATTATTATTTAATTGTATATATTATTATTATTATTATTTTACTATTAAATTCATAAGGAAAATTTTGACATGTAAAATCATTTTCCTTTCACTCTCTTGCTATCCAAACTAATTAAACAATATTTTCTCACAAGTTTCTTCAAAAAAATTCTTGCTAACCAAATGAATAATAGAAAACTAATTTTCTTTTCTTTCACTTCACTTTCTTTTCTTTCACTTTCCATCATCAATTTTTAACTAACCAAACAGACCCTAATGATTAGGTTTCTATTTTAAAATCGTCTTTTGTTTAGAAACATTCTTGTTAGACACTATTGGGTAAAAACTTGTAATATTTATCCAACTGGGTTTAGGACTATATAAATAATTTAAATAAATACACTAGACTTTTGTTGAGGCCAAAAAGACTTTGTTGTCTTCACCTCACGCAGATCATAGAGATGGTTGGAAAAGATAGAAGCCCACTGCTCCCGAGCAAGAAAATGCGATAACTGAGTGGCTTGTGGACAAGTACATTAAGAAGGGATAGGGCATAGCAATTCTGAAGGTAGGAGGATGTTATGGATACTCTAATTTATGATTAGATCTCGACATGTGCAAATATATTTCTGTATGCACAACAGGGCATTCTGAGAGGTAAATTATGTACAATAATGACAATGCACCATTCTTTTTTTCTTTTTTTTTTTACATCACAATGCAAATTTGTACATTTTCACACGATTTATTTCCATTTTTGATTGTTAGTCCCTAAACTGCAAAATTTCCATGGAGCAACCCCAATTCATACGCTTAGACACAACTACATTTGGGTGCAATAAATGAATCCCTCTCTCTCATGAGTATATGTACAAGAATGTAATACATACACTTAACATATGCACAACTAGAATTATACATAAGAGTATATACATATAAAAAAAAAATGTAACTAACGTAGAACATGATACAGAGAAGAGACTAACCGATTCATCCAAGTCCAAAGATTGAAGTAACCATCGATACCCAAAAGTCGATTTGAAGGCGATTGGATCAGGAGTGACCTCTTTCAGTTGTTGATTGCCACAGTACACACAAATCACCGATTGTAACCCTCTGACAAGCCTTCCTTTGCAATTCTTGCACCGGAGGTCCGGAGGCGACGGGTCGAATCCTGCGATCGATCCGGCGAGCGATGGGAGGGCAGGGAGGGTCGGGTCTTGTGGGTCGTAGGAGGAGAGTCCGGCGTCTTCGCGAAGCGAGATCTGGACTTGGCGGATCAGATCCGTCGGGACTTCGAACGCCATGTTTCGATTGTTGGAGTTTCCCCTGAATTTGATTCTTACATCTACTGAAAACGAGAGTTAGGGTTTTTCTCCATATCTATCGTGTATAAATGTGTTGATGTGTATCTACTGTGGTTGAGGCCATCAATCCTTCACGATTTGCTGCATCGAATTTACTATTTTTACGACTGGGATTGAATGAATTGTTCATGTTTTAATTACACAAGTGAGGTCGAACTCGTTTCTAGTGCTGTGTTTGGCTTGATCAGGAGGGAGTTAAAGTTACATCGCAATACGGCAAATTGAAAAATGAAAATGTTACTGTAATATGTATTGTAGGAGCACTAAAACAATAGGGCAAATTGCAATAGAGAAATTAGAAATAAAGTAAATTATGTATGATCCATACAATATATATTTATTTGGGTTAATTTAATTCTATATAACTTTTAAGTCATAATTATCAGGATGTAACTGCACACAAAAAGAAAGAAAAAATTTTTGAATTAAAATAAAGAACTGAGACTCTCCACTTACATGTACCATGCATAAATAATTAATTAGAAACACTCGGTACAATAATTTGGTATAACAAATCGATGTAAGTATAATTACTCTTTTTCAATTTATATGCCCCGCCTGCCCACTATATTATTATAGTCATTTTCTTAGTTATACATATATATATATATATATATATATATATATATATATATTAAAATTATTAAAATTTATATTTAATATATAGTGCCCACTTAAAATTTTCTTTAATTTTTCCTTATTTTCTTTTTCTCTCTTTAAATTCCTTTAATTTTCTTAAAATAGTAAAAAAAAAATTCTTCTTAAGTCACGCTACAATTATTTTTATTTACAAAGTTATGTCACTTTCTTTCCTTTTTCTTCTTTTCTTTATTTCAAGATTTTGTGACCTCTCGTACTCAACTATATGGTAAATGGGCTGAAGACTTCAGCCTTAATAAACCTCTCCAGTTGATTAAAATTTGAACATCCTAAGAGAAAGAACCAAAAATTTTATAAAAAAAAAAAACAAAAACCAGACCCAAAACAGAAAAATAACTGTAGAAAACAATGCAGATGAAAAGAATAATTAAAAAAAGAATTTTTATTTCAATCAAGTAATACTCACACCGAACACTTGCACTGAATTTTGCCTAACCGAATAATTTTTAATTAGCTATTTATACCATATACAACTAAGTGGAGAACTTTATTTCCTTATTTGTTGCATAATTGACCAATTAAAAAACTAGATTTAGCAATTCACTGCAACTATTCAGTGCAAGAATCATTTTCCAAATATAAATTTGTAAATCTTTCTATACTAATGATCCTTCAACTTTTGATAAGATTTGGAGTCAACTTTTGATAAGATTTGGAGTCGAAGAAGAATAAATGATATACTAGTTAGAGGGAACAACAAAATAATAAAGAAGACTTACTATAGTTAAAACGATTACTTTCCTGATACAGAAAAGAAGAAGTAAAAAAGGTATTTTAATTACATTCAAAAGGTAAAGTTGAATGGTATAATAATATATTTTGTATAATATATTATATAAAGGGTAAAGTACATTGACACCCCCTGAGGTTTGAGGAAAGGATAAGTAGAGGAAAGTTAGCCTGTTTTTGGACAATGACACCCCTTCAAGTTTAAAAAATGGACAAAGAAACCCCGAAGATGGTGAATTGACCTTATTACCCTTTCAAATAAAATTAACATTTTAATTGACTTAAATACCCTTTGATTAAACCCAAACCCGAAACCAAACCCAAACCCGTCTGTGGATGTTATACAATTCACCAGAGCAGAGAGAAGGGAGATCAGATGGATGGTGGTTGTGGCCGCGGTGGTGGGGTAGAGAGAGGGGGAAAAGAAGGGGCGGCCATAGTTGAAGAGATGAGGTGAAGATGAGAGAGAGGAAGAAGATATGAGAGAGATTGTGGTGATGGCCACGACAGTGGGGGTGGCGGCGATGACTGCGACAGTCGCGGCGAAACCCAGAAGTATCGGCGAAACCCTGAAATTGCCGGTGAGGACCAAGCTCCGATGAAGATGCGGCCACGGACTTAACAGTGTGGCGAAGTTTAAAAACCGAGCAACAAGAGACCGACGAGCAGAAATAATCCGACCAGCAGAAACAATCCGACGAGGACCAAGCTCCGATGACGACAAGGTTCAGATGAGCACAATTCGGCGACCGTCTGCAAGGCCGAGGAGGCTGAAGTGGACATCGCTTCTGCTGTCCGTTTTGAGTCCAATTAGAGCCCTTTCCGTGCGAAGATGAGAATTGGGGATGGTGATGTGCACAGATGAGGGGGTGATATATATGTGTGTGTGTGTGTATGCGTGTGTATAGAGAGAGAGGGGAAGAGGGTGGTGGTGGTGGCGGCACCAATCTCATCCTCAAATCTTCCCTGCAGGCTCAAACATCAACTCTCTACCGTTGTCAAGAATCAAAGACGCCGGCGTGGGGAACGTCTCTGTCAATCCCGGTCAAACCCGGCTTGTCCGAGGCCGAGTTCGCCGCCCAAACCGAGGCTGAGCTCCGGCAAGGTCGAGGAAGTCGCAGTGGCAAAGCTCCTTTTCGGCATCTTCTTTAATGGGTGGTGATTATGGAGGTTGGGGGTTGGTGGAGATTGGGGCAGTGGTGACTGGTTGTTGGTGTTTGTATATATATATATATATATATATATATATATATATATATATATGAAAAGGGTATTTTGGCCATTTAAGTTTTAAATATTTTATAATTAAATTTAATAAAATAGTGAAGGGTAAAGTGGACTTTTCACTTGATTTCAGGCTCTGTTTGGAGGGCAAATTTCACAAGGGGGTGTGTTTGTCCAAAAACAAGCCAACTTTCCTCTGTTTGTCCTTTCCTCAGACCTGAGGGGATGTCTTTGTACTTTACCCTTATATAAAATATAATGTATAAAAATTCGTACATATGGTAAAATAAAATGTAATTGAGTAAAATTTTTTCTTTATTTACTAACTTAACGATGACAATAATATGTTAGAGAGATGGCGTTAATCACCACTGTTAGATGCTCACTGAACCACGTCGAGTGAGAGATTAACTGGGGATGATTTTTTTCCTTAATGCACATGTCAATATTTTCTTTTTCACATTCAATTGTGTAAAAAACCAAACCCATCATTAAATTCTCCTCCCATATTAAAGAAATTAGGAATGTATAACATTTCTTCATAAAATCCTTTCACTCTTTTAAGAGGTGTATTTGTCCCATCCCATCCAAAAATTCTCAAGAATAAAATTCTAGAATACGAGTCTGAGAGTACCATATCCTAAATGTGTAATGGAACTTATCTAATAAATAATCCAAATGCCAAGAGATCCAAAGGTTTGTAGAACTTGATCCAAAATTAGGGCTGCAAATGAGCCAAGCAGTTCTCGCAAACTGTTTGGGCTCGGTCCATGAATTACTTGGCTCAATTTATAAACGAGTCGAATCTGAACATCAGTAGGTTCGACTCGTTTGTTCATGAACTGTTCACGAACTGGGCTCGATAGGTTGTTCGCGAACATACTCGATTATATACAGACACACATATCCAATTATAATATATAATTTTATGTTATGCAGGCTTAATCTATAAGTCCATTAAATTTTCTAGTCTTTTTTGTTTTAGAACCAATTTTATCATTTATTGATTTTAAAACAAAAAGTAAGCCCATTTGTATAATCCAACCCAAGCACATGTCTTATGTCTAACCCTAATCATCTTCCCTTTTTCTAAAATTATCAGTAGCCCAAACAGCAACAGCAACACACTCAGCAATCTGCTTTTTGTCATCGAATCTTACTTTTCTCTCTTTCTCTTCTTATATTTTATTATCTCATCAAGCAGCAGCGGCAACACACTTATATATTAATCTTTATCCAAACTAATTCTTAGTATAAATTTTGAGGTTTACTATTGATCTGTGCATCTCTCAATTTTTTCCATCAAAATCAAGTCTGGTAAGTTTAATTTTCAATCAAATTTATTACTTTCTTTTTCTTTTTCTATCAAACTTCTCTCTTTTTATTACTATAAATCTATTTCTTTCTCAAACATTTTTTTTTTTTTTTTTAATCTTTTGTTCCAAACCAAGTACCACAAAAAAATAAATAAATAAACGAGCTATCAAGCTCGGCTCATCGAACATAGCTAAGCCGAGCTTGAATTAAATTTTCTCGGCTCGAGCTTGAGCTATTCTATTACCTGACCGAGCCGAGCTCGAGCACACCATTACTCAGCTCATCTCATCTCATTTACAGTCCTATCCAAAATCTAACATTTCAAGAAGAAAAAAAAAATTTACAAAAAAACAAGCTTGCACCTTTAAATAAATTAGATTAGGGCAGGAGTATATATGGTGAAAGTATTATGGTCATGGTCATGTCTTAAGCATGATCATGGAGATTGGTGACCACTCGCACACGATTCTCGTACGATATCATCGTAATGTAGGTGGGCGAAAATCAGGACCATACAGCCAAACAAATTTTTACATAAAAACAAGACTCATCAATTTAAGTGGGACCATCAGACCCTTTCCTCACAAACCGGCTTATTAATTGGTCCATATGCGTCGTACATTAGTTTTACACATAAACAATACAACCCTCAAGTCCGTGTATGGTAATGCCTCACTTAGCCTTTTCAAGGGCCGTGATTGACGAGGACGAGCACGTGATCGAATCATACCTAAGGAACAAATGAGCCACCAAAAGAGACGCCGTGAGTGTTACATAGTCTTTAGCCGGACACTGCTTGTTCGACTCACTGGGTGACCCAGTCTGCGGCCCGTTCGACCAGTACAAGTAATTCAGTAACTCGCGACCTTTCTCTTTTGTGAACCGGTCCGTCACGAACGTTTCAGGATCATCAAACACTTTGGAATCTCTCATGACCAGAGGCTGGTACCCACAGAGCAGCTCACCTTTCTTAATTTCGAACACCGAGTCGTGTGAACTCAGTAGGAAGTCCTTCCTAGCTCGGCCGTATTGAAGCGGAACGGATGGGTTGAGTCGGAGCGTTTCGTACACGAATGACTGAACGAGTTCCATGTTTTTCACCGAGTCAAAACTCAGAGTTGACCCGCATTTCTCTCTCACTTCTTTTCTCAGTTTCTCTTGTATCCCGGTGGTATCAGACCCGAGTGTGCTCAACAGAGTTGGGAAGAACACCGAGAAGCCCCCGAACGCGTTAAACCCGAGTATGAAGAGAAGGTTGTGAATTGCCTCTTCTTGACTCAGTTTGAACTCAGTCTTACCTCTCTCTATCACTTCTTTGGCTTGTGTCTCTATAAACTTGACGAGTTTGTTATAGCCTCCGCTCACTAGTGCAAATGGGTAGGAAAAGGAGTGGAGGAAGATCTCTTCCAGGGGTTGAAGTACGCCGATTTTGACAGTGGGGAGGAGCTGAAGAGCGAGCCATTTGTCGAGCATGGTGTAGCCGTACTCGGCGATTTCCGGTGAAGTGGCGGTGTCGGCTCCGAGGAGGCAGCGAACGAGGAAGCTGAAGAGGAACTGCTGTAAAGGGAAGAGGTAACTAACGGAGTCGGAGGAGGAGAGTTGGGAATCAATGGTGTCCCACATGGTGTCCAGTTTGGAGGTGACTGTGGACGCCCAAATGGAGGAGCTCCGCTTTAGGATGTCCATTGCAAAACTCTTGAGCTGTACGTCAATGTCAATAGAGATAATGGTTATGATCATGAAATATAATTGTATGCTTCACATTTATATGTACTCTGTTGTTTGAAATTCTCGTTAGAAATGGAAGCTCTAAACCTACCATTGCCTAGTTGATGCATGCATCCTCCAATTACCTAAATTAACCAAGTTGTTTTAATGCAACTTAATTGGTGTATTTATCTTATAATAATCTACCATCCATAGTTATTAATTTTTATTTTATTTTTTCTCAAACTTCAAGCAAACACAAACCCATATTCTACAACCTTAGAACTCATAGCGTCTTAGTATTAATTTAATACTCTTAATTAAGAGGTGCTCTCATCACGAGCTTCCTTTTGCGGGAGTTGGAATGTGGAGTGGTCCAATCACACAATTATTATAAGTTGAAAAATGATATTCATCTTACTAATTAGATTTATTTATCAAAGTAAAACAATTATAATTATTAATAGTCTGAAATAAGGCTCGTTTTAATCATCAAAACAAAAAAAACTTTAACTATTTTAATTTGACAAATAAACCTAACTAATTCGAGTGGACAGAGGCTAGTTGGGGCAGATTCCAGTTGGCGGGAAGGTTTAGAAGCCTCAATGGCCAAAAAAGCTGGTGCTGGAAAATATTAAGCCAGAACAGAGTAGTTGCATAACAGAAACAACCAGGCATGCCAAGGTAAAAGCCCCTTCTCAGCTGAACCTCATGACTACTATAATTTTAATATTTTTTATTTTTCGCAAATATTGTGATTGGTTGAACGGAGGATGAGCGTTGACCGAAGGCTAGCCAGCCCGCTTGGCGCTTCTCAAAAGAAGGAACTCATGGGATGTGTCCAGTTACAACGCACAGACGGTGATAATCAGATGGATGATCATAAATTTGAGTGATCAGAACCGTTCACTCTTGCCAACTCGGTTAGAAGTAGATTAGACACAAACCTCTGATGGGTTGACTGGACACACACCTCTAGCTAGTAAGCCCACATGGGTTGCATAATTGCATTGCATGAATCGGAATTACCTACGGTGGAACACTACGACTTCTTCCGTCCAACTTAAAATGCACTTTTCAAACTAGAAGGAAGTTCTCAATAGGAGATTTCCTTACTGGATTGAATAATGGAGTGTGAAAAAAGATATTTTGAAAATGATTGTTGGATTGGTTAAACAACCGTAGTTGTGTGCGGCAGTGGAGATAATGATAATAAATACGATAATATTGCTACGTCTATATCAAATTATGGGGAACACTTATTAAAATCTGAATCATCTGTCATCTGACACACTGATTTTTTGAAGAAGGAATCGAGAACCACATGCCATCCTCATGGGTGGTCCTTAAAAAATCATTTTTCTCTGTATATATAGAGAGGGAGAGAGAGGCGCGATCCATCTTAAACACATAGTGGGCCATATTAAAAGGTCTGAGGAAAGATAAGGGCAATCCAATTGACCAATTAATATGTAATGTAATCAACAAAGAAATCACGAAGACTAATTACGAAGATAATCTATATAGCATATGTTCCTTTTCTTTTATGATAAATTCCACACGAGAGTATACGATTAAAATTTATTGTTATCTTTAACTGTCTTTTATAATTTAATATGTACTTTGAACTTTGAGGCCTGATCTGATAATTTTGCATCAGACCATTCTAATATAAACAATGTTATGCTAGTTCATCACAACTGCCATAAAGGCCCATCCATAATCGTATAAAAATCGGTACAAAAACAGTAGAAACACTTGCAATATAATTATTTCTTTTTTTGGTAAAACACTTTTAAATTATTTAAAAAAATACACGTGATAATAATTTAGAGTCCAAATATTAGATAAGTTTTGTATTGATTTATTTGACTAAGACTAACTCCAAGTTCATTAATACAACACCAAGTTCATTAATAGCGATGACTTGAATAATAAATTAATCGAATTTAATTCATATCAAATAACATACCCACCCATTTATACATACTTTAATCTCTATCTAAATTCGATCTAAATTCGATGTGAGATAAGTCTCACTTATAACCTTCTTCTCCACCTGAACTCGCACAACGTTCTCGTTGCGGTCAGGCCACCCTACTTACCCAAGGCTATACTCGGATGCATTCCGAACCAGGCGCTGACACCGAATTAAGGACTGATATCAAAAGTAACGGGTGGGCGTTTGTCTATTTATTCAAATCTCGAGTTATTGGATAATACTGTATACTCCCCGTTCATAGACACTTTAACCCGTCCAAATCCATTCATACACACTTTAACCCGTCCAAATCCAAATCTCACTTGTAACACTAAACCATTTGTTCAATATCAAATGATGACCTCTCATATATTAGGATTATTCATCCTGTATATTCTGCATAAATTTTTATATATGTAACAGATTTGTTCTCCTAAACTATTTTTTGCCTTCTATAACTAAAATGAAAACAAACATTTCGTCAACAAAACTGTGAAAAAAAAAAAAAAAAAACAACTGATAAGGAAGTGTGAAACATTAACAAACTTCATAAAAGGCAAGTGAAATTTATCCAATAATTAATTAGATTCTTCATATCAACTTCTAAACTGAATTGGGTTTCTCACGTCCTCTTAATTCACATCTCTAATCCGTACCATTAGATCAAAAAATCATTTATAAAAGCTTAATTCCCTGAAAATTCTACTTCCACTAAATTATAGTCAATCTAATCGGGAAAAAAAAATAAATAAATTTTCCAAATCGAATCCATGAATGAGTTGTTAAAAGAAGTATATTAAAAGGTCTAAATTAAAGGGGAAAAAAATAAAAATTTCTGTGATTATTATGTACGACGTACCTGAGCGTGTGAAGGCTCAGATGTGTCGAGATACGCACAGACACGAAGATCGCCAGTGAACTTGACACTAGGCATGAAATCTCCGACTAGGATATTCCTCTTCTCGACGATCTCCATGTCGAAGAGGTGAGAGAAAGACTTGCAATCGAGGACGGCGATGACGTTAGGGTTGACGCCGGTGTAGAACGGGAAGGTCGGGGGAATGTTGGTCCGAAACACTGTGCTCTTGTTCGTCTCGATCCTCTTCCTGAAGAATGTCTCCGGTCCTTGGAACCAGAAATAGTTCAGTCGGTCGGAGATCGGCCCCAACAACGGCCACCCGTAGCTGCCGGGAATTGTACGGACCTTCGCCGAGGACGGCGGCGGCGGCGACTGTGTTATTGACGGCGATGGAATATTAGGCGTCGCGCTCATGATTCTGGCCATCATAGCCGATTTGGTTATGGTTTTCGTTTTGATCTGGCTCAGTAGTTTAGAAGATTCGAATTAGGAGAGAGAAAGGAACAGAAAATAATTGGGAGTGAAAGGCGTGTCTATATATCTTGGTTATGTATGTTGTTCTGTGTCCTCCTCTGTGTGTGTGAACTTAAATGTTAATTTTTAAATTTTTTATTTTATTTTTTTTATTACTATTTTTTTTCCAATGAATGATTTTAATAAGTCACGTGTTTTTTTCTTTCGAAAAGTCACGTTGAGTTATCCTGTTTATTGTTTTGTTAGGACTGTGGTATTTATTATTGTGGGTTTCCTATGCACAAATGAAATAAACTGACTGTGGGAATGCAAATAAAATAAGAATTGAAAGAAATGACTGAGTAAATGAAATGATTATAATTATTTTTGTGCTTGATTTGATCGATTTAAAATTTAGAATATAATTAATTTTAAATTAAAATAATTATTATTATTCTTGTGTTTGATTTGATCAATCTAAAATTTAGAATATAATTGATTATAAATTAAAATTGTTCAAAATGTCACTTTCAAGAACAACTAAATTAAATTAATAAAATAACATTTTTTCTATTTTAGTTAGAAGAAACCGCAAGAAGTGGATGGCAATATTAGAAGGTGGCAACATGGTGAAAGACAACAGTGCTGGTGGTGGTGTTGGAATGTGGCAATGGTGCTGGTGGCGGAAGTCGGTGTCGGTGGTGAAAGCAGTGATGAAAAGTGACAATGGTGTGGTGGTGGAAAGTGATGGTGGTGGAAGGCAATAGAGGTGGCGATGGCGGCAAAATACGACAACAACGGTGAAAGGTAGTGACGGTGGAAGATAGTACAAGGCGACGCTAGTGGTGGCACTGAACAATGATGGTGATGGTAGTGAGAGGCAGTGATGGTTTTGTACTTGGAATATGAAAATTTTTTGAATGCATGATTTAAAAAAAGATTAGTTGCGGTGTTTAGAACTTGGAATATGATATTTTAATAAATATTTGTTCTTAAAAAAAGATTGAGTTGAGAATAAAATGGTCATTTATTGAAATTTTTATTCCAAGTAAAATATATATTTTAAAACCGGAACAATCTTTTAGCTAATCTCCAAATTTGTTTTAACTTTTAATTTAACTTCTTGTGCAAATCTTATGTATTTTCTGCTGTCAATCTTAAGTATGATGAGAACAAATAGAAAATTTAGTAAAAAATAATGAAAATAAGACAAAGAATAGATATTTTATTAAGTGAATACAAATCGCAAAATAAAGGGTAAAGTGCATTAAACCCCCTTGAAACTACAAAAAACACCCTTGAACTATGATTTTGTTGCAATTACCCCCTTGAACTATTGGTCATTTGCAAGAAACCCTTCTGAACTACAAAAAAACCCCCTTGAACTATGATTTTGTTGTAATTTACCCCCTTGAACTATTGGTCATTTACAAGAAACCCTCCTAAATTACAAATAAACCTCCCTGAACAGTGATTTTGTTGTAATTTACCCCCTGAACTATGATTTTGTTGCAATTTACCCTTATGACATCAGCTTCCGGCACTGAAAATTTTGAAAGACCAGTTTACCCTTATAACACACTGCGTCGTTTTAACTTATACACTTCTTACATTTTTTTTTTTTCCTACCAAAAGATGATTTTCACCCAACACAACCCAAAACAGAGAGCTAGAGAAAGAAAGAAAAAAGACCAAAGAAATTCGAGGTCGGCGGGATGGCTCAGTCTCAGATGACGGCGACTTGTGCGCGAAGGACTCGGCTGTGAAGAGAGCTCGGTTGACTCGGCCATGAACTGTGGAGGCGGCGGCAAGCTCAAAGGGGCTCAGCGGTGAACTGTGGACGACTGTGTGCTCGAAACACGGACGACGGTGTGCTCGGCTATGGAGATGGCGGAATGGGCTTGTGAGCTTGGAATGGACGGTGGAATGGACCGGCGACCAAGGTGAGCTGAACGGCAGGCAAGGCGGTGACGGCGATGGGCTGACGCAACGGTGCAAAGAAGTGCGATATATATGGCCGACGGATCTGGCGGGTGGTGCAACGGTTATGATGGAGCTATGACAGGAGACCCACCGATCCCAACAATAGATTCCTTGGCTTATCCAAACACTCCTCAGACGACATCTACCACTCCGATCCCATCCACAAATTCTTCGGCTTTATCATCCCTTTTAGTCAATCAATTCGCGCGAATGGGGTAAACTGCAAAATATATATATAATTTAGGTGAGTTTCTTACACATACTTCAATAGTTTCAATAGTTCAGAAGATTTTTTATAATTTTTATAATTCGAAAGAATTTCTTGCATATATCTCAATAATTCAAGAAGGTTTAATGCCCTTTACCCCAAAATAAATTACTCTCACAAGCACTCCCTTGTGTGTACTACACGGTGACAAGATTCACATACTAAAAACGAACAAATGACCTAATGGTCACAAAACAACAAAATGACATGAAATATTACCGCTCGAGTTTTGATATGGCATTGCGTCACATGTAATTGACAAATTGACGGTGATATGTTCAATGAATCTAAAAATCATAAGTAAAAACAAAGACCCAGTGGTATCATTTCTTTCACCATAACTAGAAACAAAGACCAGTGGTATCATTTCTTTCATTCGGAAGAAAAGTTGGGAATTTGAATATTGGTGAAGACAGTAGAGTATGTGTAATTACTTTAACTTCAAAAGATATAAAAAAAAATATCAAATTCTTTCTAATTTTATTTCAAAGGGAACACAAGTAAAATAATATGTTAAATAAATACTGTAAAAAAAATATACTTACAAATACAAGAATCTCAATATTAATTAATAATATTTTAATAAAATACAATCACAAATATCATGATAAAAAAAAAATAGAAAAAATAGAACAAAACATAATTATACATAAATTAAAAAAAATTAAAAAGAAATAAAAATTAGAAAAGAAAAAATACTATTATGTAACAATTTTTTTCTTTTTTTTTTCAAATGAAAATTAGAAGAGTTTAAAATTAGAAGAGTTTAAAATTTTTTAAAAAATACTATTTAAAATTACCATTTAAGTGTATGCATATGAAAAAATATATATACCCTTGGAGCAAGGACAGGGCACGTGCCCCCTTAATTGGCTCAGCCCCTGCCTCCCATCACCATCGCCACTTTTCTCTCCTCTCCATCGCCACCCAATTTTGATCACCCTCCGTCATTATTGTTTGTTTCTCTCATAATTTACTTTTTTTTCATCCAGGGAGTTTCTGTTTTTTGATTTTGTTGCCATTATTCGATTCCGAAGAAAGCCCGAGTGAAAGTGAGATATTAAATGTCAGACATTCAAGTTATTGTCCAAGGTGGAAGAAGCAGACGTTATCATCTGAACCGGTATATAATTAAGTCATGAGGTGGAGGCAGTGTGTATATATATAGGTTTGATGGAAGGGATCATTGGTAGGAGGTGCAGTGTGTGTGTATATATATATATATATATATAGGTTTGGGTTTGGGTTTGTGTTCTTTGCTGGGTCTGAAAATTGGAATGGAGTTGGTGGCGGCGGCGGTGGTGGTGAGAAAAGGAGAGGGGGTTTGGGTTTGGGTTTGTGTTCTTTGCTGGGATTGAAAATTGGAATGGAGTTGGTGGTGGCAGCGGCGGATGTGAGGAAAGGAGAGGGAGAAAGAAAAGGGTATTTTTTTCTTTGTTTTTTTTTTTTTTTGCTGGCACCGGAACTCCAGGCAGGGCCAAGAAAAGAAAAGGATATTTTTGTTCATTAAAATAAAGATTTATTTTTTATTTTTTATTTGATGACAAGGTAAGGGATAATAGGTAATTTTTACTTAGTTTGAAGGGAATTTTTGTCACTTGTGCCTAAGCAAGTGTGTACAAACATATATTTTATATTATATAAAAAATTATACGTGTCTTAAGTCATATAAGAAGGAAGTTACTTTTTATTTAGGGTGAGGTGAACCAATAAAATATCAACAGGTGTTAAAATTTTAAAAGAAAAAAAAAATTAATGACTATTAAAAATAAAAACTGATCCTTCCTCTTTCTCTCTCAGATAGAGATATATATTACTAATTAAAAAAAAAGCAAATAAAATTAGAGAACATCTAAATACAATATTTAAAAAAAAAAATAAAAAAAAAATTATCAATTATAGTTATAAATATAATAGACATACATATACAGAGTAACTAAAATAGACTATTGATATTCTAGAAAGAGATATTTATCGAGTAAAAATAATTGAGTGACTTGCATGATTTTGAAAATAAACTCTGTGAATTTATGATGGTGGTGGTGTACGAAAATTAAAAAGAAAATATTATTTAATTTTAAATTCAAAATACAAAAATAATATATATTCTCGATAGTCATTGTTTTATTTTTTAAATTTTTTTTTAATACGTGTGTTAGAGAAGAAGTTCTTTTTTATGAGGCAAGTATTTTTCTTATATAAAAAGATGCGCCATTGAATTTATAATTGGTGAGGATCAATTATTATCATAAACATGTCCCACGTTGTGGTTGTACATATTGCGTAACAGTTGGGAAAGGAGATGCACGGCGAATCATTATCCTCCACATCACAGATTGATAATAGACTGAGGACCCCTTCGTCAATCACTCACTCAATCAATTTTTTGTTGAGCTTGTCAGAGTTGCATAAGTGGCCTTAAATTCGTTCCAAAAAACATATCTGTCGTGTGGTCCATGCAACCATACTGCTGAGAGAAAAACACGTGATCCTGATACATTTAAGCTTGTGCTTATTATGAAAATATAATAATAGAAATTACCGACCTTTAATACTGTAGACACACTTTGACATGACATGGATGGGCAGAGTGAACGGCCTTGATGTGGCAGGTCTCCCTTAATCATCAAGTAGGAGACAATCGTTGTTCGAATGGAGTTTGACTAAATCTTATATTTCGTTTCATGTTTCATTAGGGGGTGGTCATTGACGTCTCACATCGTATTAACTTAAAAATATTATAATAAATAGTTCAATTTGAATATAACCTGTTTAACAATTATGTTAAAAACTCTTAACACTATCACGATTTGTTTATTAAATGAGTTACACGAGTTACTAATAATCTATTTATAAAAATAAAAATAAAAAATTATATTATTTAAATTATTAATAATATTTAATAAAATAATAAATATTAAAAAAATATAAATTTTAATCAATAAAATTACTAAATAGTGTATAGTTTATAAAAAATTAAATTATAAGACACAAGCTTATATAGTAATTTTAAAACTTAAAGAAATTTACTTATAACGTATATAGTTAAACGTGTATAAACGGGTTAAACGAGTTGAACCCCTCAATCCAAATGAATTAATCGTGTTAACTCATTTATAACCCAAACCCGTTTAATGTCAACCCAAATTTATTTAATTCGTGTCGTGTATCTGAGTCTTGTTGGCGAGTCGTATCAATTTTCGCCACCCTTATATTTCATCATGAAATCATCTACGCCAATTTTATTCCTATTTTTTAAACTAAAATTTTGATTGATATATTAACTCTATCTCATAATAGTTGACTGTCTAAAAAATGTGACCTACAACTCAAAACACCAAACTATATTATAACATAGAGGGAATACTATTTTAGCATCTCTTTCAATTATGATAAATAAACGAGATGCAAAAATATAAAATAACAAATAAATAAACACCTCTAATATAAAAATAAGAAAATAAATAAAAATATACGCGCGCGCGCGCACACACACATATATAAATTGACCCTTAAATACGGATATTTAGTCAAACTGTACCGTATTGGACATATCCCATCCCAACGGAAGATATTCTTCCGATCCCGTACAACACCCATTGCTGCAAAGGATCCCAACTCTTATTCCGATCCTCACATTACACGGTCCTTGACCCAAAAAGATGGCACTAAGATCTAGACCTAAGGTAATGGTGTTAACGAAGCAGCATAGCTGCGGAACAATAAAAATAGGTTCAAACTTCAAATCTTGCCAAGTGAGAAAATACAAGAGTACAACTTCTCTTCAATCTCACCCATGAGAATTGAGGTTTCTATAAACACGGAACATTCATTTGTCAAGAAACGAGGTTTTTGATAATATCAAAGCATACATAATACTCTTATAACAGGAAGACACTTTTTATGGGCACTGCATCACAATTAACACGAAGATGGTTTATAAGTTTTAATCTTTCTGCATAAATTGGAGCGTATTTCTACAGATACAGTGACACGCTCATTTAGATACATTTGATACACATCCATAGCAAAAGCACAAGAAAGCACCAGGATGGTACAGCTTAGTTTACTGAAGCCGTAAATGTGAGAGATGGAAGGTGTATGCTAAGATCATCCAAATTGGCGCAGCCACGGATGCTCAAACCATGCTCGTTTGCTAAATGCAATAGGCATATGAAACACAGATGGGGGGAGATATCCTCACGTGCAGCAACTGCTCCACAATCAATCGGAAAACTGGCCAAGACTTGCCTGAAAGATGCTGTTCCTTCCTGCCCCTTCTCATGAATGAAGTATTCGGTAATTAGAATTGAGATTTTCATAGAAAACAAGAATGGGAATGAGCCAACATAAGCACAATATAAACGTCAACTTATATAGCATCAGAATAATGGAAGCAGAGTATATTTAACACTCCCACTATAGCACACATGACACGGAGTGAATCCAACCGCAAAAAAGGAAATGTCATGGAGTTCAATATTTTTCTTAATGGTGTAACTGATATCTAGTAGACAAGTAAAACTTGCAAAGTAGATGAATTATTTTTACTCAATTATATTTGTAGAATCTCCACTTCACAGATTCTTTTACCACAAAGAACATTTAAGTTTCCGTCAAATTAGCAAAATACATTGTAAGTACATGTTATGCTAGGAAAATCCGGCATTGTCCAAAATTAGTATTCTGATAATTCTAATTTTATAGTTTATATATAAAAGGTTCTGATTTCATCTTTTTGATTTAATTTTCTCAAGACTTCATCATTTCACTTATCTTGAATTTAGCCAAGAGGACTATAAGTATGGTTTCAGTGATAGAATCAATGACAGCATAGAATGACAACAAATTACCATAGAACCAAAAATCAAAAACCGCCATTCATTATCCTCATGTTTGCTTATCAAATAAATTCCAGCTTAATCAATTGAAGAGTAGTCATTAATAAATCAAAAATCAAGAACAATGACAAAGGCAGGCCTTCTGACAAGGAACCAAGTAGGGCCAAGACCAACATACTTGTCATATAATAATCCTGAGAGTAAATATAAAATTTTCATAAATCTCCAGATTAGAAAAGATTTCATAATATGATCGGGAGACTTGAAATCTGATTCTCTTCTCTGGGGCAAAAAATTCCTTCAATTTAATCTAACCATCATATGAGACATAAAAGAAACTTAATTTGTCCAATCTTCAAGAGAATCTACCAAGGAAATATATGGTCTAATTGTATTGGGCAAGGATCGGGAGACCCAGTTCGGAAGAGGTAAGCATTTCAAGAGAATCTACCAAGGAAATATATGGTCTAATTGTATTGGGCAAGGATCGGGAGACCCAGTTTGGAAGAGGTAAGCATCCAAACCTAGACAAATGTGTGTGTGTGTGGGGGGGGGGGGGGGGGATTTGGGCATTGTTTGGAGTCAGCAGTCGTACAAGAAGCATCCAGCATTGTTTATAAAGAATTGAAGTATAAGCTTACCTGAACAGACAATTGAGTGGGTTCTCGTATGTGGTTCCAGAGTGTTTCTTTCAATGAATGGACATCAACTCGTTTAGCAGTTTTGTCATATTGGACTTCTATCTTATTTACCTGAGATGTTGAGGCAACAAAAGTGAAAATTCATTACACATATTTTCAATAAATACTGGTATAGTTTAACAAATACTAATTATACTATCAAATGGTGGTAATGCGAAGTATTCCTGTCAAGCTGTGATCTAATTAATACATGGAGGAAAAGAAAACAACCCATGGTTTTGAGACCTTAATTTGTCATTTGGGGCCCAAGCTAACTAAAATCTTTTTACCAAGCAGTGTTACTATGTGCATTAATTGTGTTTCCGTTTTTAGAAACCAAAACGATTGAAAAGAACAAGACTCCAATCTTTTATTTTCCTTTCTTCCTATATCTTAGCAACCAAATGAAGGTGTGATATCTGATACAATATCCCATCAAATTCCAGAAGATGTGAAGCCACAAATCAAATTGTAAGTATACCATAATTCTTTCCTCCTCACACTCACACCAAAGCACTAAAGCAATCAATAAATCAACACATAAAACATTAAATAATAAGAAACCAACCTGGCGAGGCTGAGACACAAGTGCGCTTGAGTCCTCTATATCACTATGGACACATCCATCATCAAATTCACCACCAAACATATTTTCGTCATCCCATGATGGCAGTGGGCCATAATCATCTCTTTGATGAAGAAAGTCATCTGACAATAGAATCCAGATTATTATATATTAATATTTTTGAGAAATATCAAGGCATGATGAGACATAATCATTCTATATACAAAACGAAAAGAATTCAATTGGTCATTTTGGTAGGAGGGAAGAGTGGGTAGAAGGAGAAAGAGGGAACAACAAAGGGATAGATGGATAGGTGTAACAAGGGTCATTTGTCCCACATCGGATCCGGATAGGAAAGTGATTGGGTATAAATGAGTGGATATGCAGCACTGTCCATCAGCTTGAGCTATTGGGTAATGAGAAATCACTCACCCGTTATAGTTTGTATCAGTGTTAGACCCAATCCTTGATCTGGTGTCACCCCAGCGCCCGGCCCGGAAGGCGTCCGGATTTGCAGTCCAAATAGGCAGAGTGGCTCGAGCCGCAACGAGGGCGTCGCAAGTTTGGGTGGGGGAGAATGTAACAAGGATCATTTGTCCTACATCAGAATCCGGATGGGAAAGTGATTCGGTATAAATGGGTGGGTATGCAGCACTACCCAACAACTTCAGCTTTTGAGTAAATGGGCAAGCGAGAGGAGGGAGACGTTTCCCTTAGGACCTACAATATTCCTTCCTCCCAAAAGTTTGGGAAGGAGAGAGGGTTCCCCACTTATTTCTTACATTTTTATTGTTCAAAAAACACATTTATTTAGAATCATAAAAGTATCCCATCACCCCCCCCCCCCCCCTCTCCCTCTTTCCTCCTTTCCTCCCTACTCCACGGGACAACATGAGAGACAGATCCTTTCCTTTTCCTAGACAAGGTTAAAAGAACCAACCCCTTCCCCCCTTCTCTTTTTTTTCCTCTCTTTTGCTTGTAGTTATAAAAAAAATTAGTAAATCACCATGTTAATTATATGTCCCACCAATGGGGCATTAGCCCAATGGTATAACCTTCCTTACCTCAAAGGGTTAGGGGAGGGTTTCGAGCCCCGGCATGGACAAAGTGTGTGTGAGTACTTACCTAACCAAAAACAGAAAAAGTGGTCCAATCGTTCCTAATTCCCTGTAAAGATTAATCCGACACATATCCAATGTACTTAAGAACCCTAATAGAAACGACATCATCCATTAATACTTTGTAAAATAAGTGGCTGCCAGTTTGAAAATGTATCAATTTTTTACTTAAATCTTAGTTACTTTAAAATGATGATAGTTTGCACAAATACATTTCAATTTGTACTTATTGAGAACCATTACCATTCCTCCCCCACTGGAACCGACAATAGAGACCTATATGTGCTAAGTTACACCAAAACAGAGCTTACATAAATCAAATCAACAATGAATTTTTTAAAATAAACAAATGTTTTTGGTCCCAAATTCAAAATTAATGCAATCCGACCGTCAAGATTCTGAATTCCTTCTATTAGTTAATTTTTTAAGCAACCAAGAACGAAATGCTAACAGGATTTATATTTTCTCTGCCCTGAAACTCTAAGAACAAGCTATGATTTCTAATTACATTAAACTTTTCATAATTCAAAACACATTCCTCTGTTTATAACAAACATGCAGTTATTAGATATTCAGCACATAAATCATAAAAAAAGAGCAGCAGATTTTATAATAGCAGCACCAAAACCTGACACTAATAACATGAGCAGTAAGTTCGTATGTGATTTGAGAATGAGAACCCGATGGTTCAAAGAAATTAAAGTATTCAACATAATTAAAGTATTCAACATAAGAAAAACTCAGAAATTAGAACCACTTTCACATCTAGAAAAAAATAATTCAGATATTTTTTGCAAGAGAAGTTATCTTACCAGAACGATTTCTTCCTCTCCTCCCAAGGCACTGCAAACAAAAAACATCTTGTCAATAATTATTTCTAAAAGAATAGATGTCCATTTTTCAATTAGTGACAATCATTACCATAACATTAGGTAGAAGAAATAGCTTGACAAGATCCTCTGGTTGATAATGGCAATCTTCCGGAAGTGTCATATTACATGGTGCTCTATTTGCAGGCAGCAATAATGACTTAGGATTCCTAGGAGGAGCAAAGACATCTGATATGTCATTATCCAAGGCAATTGTAAAATCAATATCAATTTCTGGCTTTTTTTTATTCCTTGGTCTCTTAGTTGTTAATGATGGTTCATTTTCCTTGGCAGGATCCTCTGAACCTAAAAAAATAGATTCTACATTAAATAAAAAACAATTGATGCTAAATCAGAAATGCATATTGATGCCATCGCCTGTAACAAGCTTCCAAAGCCTACCTTTAGCCTTCCTATACTTCCAATGATCAGGACCTGCCCAGGCATTCTGTTTTGAAGTAAATCCCAAACTTAAAAACAAATAGCCATCAACTTTCTCAAATCTGTCATCCACATCATGGTCATGGAAAGTGAATGATTCATTTTCCTGCAAAAAAAAAAAAAATCACAACATGTCAGCCAAGTTTATTCCGATCTTGTTCTGATCAGAAAGAATAAAATTTCAAAGACGACAACTAAAACCACTTCTGTGGGTTAAGTATTTATCAAGCACCTCTAAGTGACTTGGTAAATCTGGATCTCCACCAAAAGAGTCCTCTCCAACCACACTTGCTTGGTCATCGTGATCAAAGGCCCAGTTCTCACAGTTCTCAAATGCATTGCCATCAAACTCAGAGTTATCATTATGAGCTTCATAAACTTGCTCCACTGGTTTCCCAAATGCATCTGATGGTCTCCGATCTTCATCAAATTGATTGACTATAATTCCAAGACTTGGTGAAATTTCATTCTCCCTGGGCATGTTCAACGCCATCTGTTCAATGCATTCTGTAGAGAAAACAAGGAAATGAATATGCCAATTAGAAAAATGTAATTTGCCAGTTCAGCAAGCAACAATAAACATAAACAAAATCATCATATATAGCAAAAGAAGCATACCTCTAGCAAAAGATATATCAATTGTGTCTTCTGTATCATGTTGAATCGCACATGGTGTACACTTCCCTGGTACTTCCAGCGAATCAAAGAGCACCCGACAGCTACCGTATACTCCAAGATTATTCAATAAGAGACCCTTGGCCCCACCTTCATCAAACTGTGCGGATGTCTGATGATAGAGAGGATCCACTGCAAATGCAACTGAAACACACACACACACACAAAAAAAATCCATCATAACCTCAACGCCGTATGTGTCTGATAGGCTGATACTACTAACAGAGTATATGGGAAGTATAGTCACCATCAAACTTCTTCACGTTGAGAGCCTCAAATGACGATTCCAGTGTTGATAAAGGTGACAACTGCGTATACAGACTTCGATTAGTTTTAGATCTAGTAATTCATCTCTTATATAAGACAGCTATCTACCTTCCTCTCTTGCTCTTTCTTGGAGCAACCTTCATCTTGCCCCCTGTTGATGTTGGCATCCTCCACCATATTATCTGTCATAATAGCAAAAATACCCAGATAACAAACTTCTGCAAGTCAGAAACTTAGAAGATACCATAGTGTAGTTATCAGTCTTACAAAGCAATATCTATACATACACATGTATATATGTGAGTCTATAACTGTAATAAACAAATCTGCCTAGGAGAAGCCACAACATTTAATAATTAAGAGCAAGTTGGATATTTATAAGATAATAAAAGTTAACATCAATATCAGAAGAAACAATCTGTTGCACATACAACAGTGCCCTATTTGTGGATCTAGTGATAAAAAGCAAGCAGAAATTCAAAGGAACTTAAGTAGATAAAGAATATTACAACACAACAACTTTTGCAAGAGAAAAAAGTTATTAAAGCCAATTTGAGTAAAAAAAAAAAAAAAAAAGATGCCGAGGATAAACCCTTCTTACTAGTCACCAAGGAAGTGCAACAATTAGAATTATATAGAGTCAAAAAAGTTCCCATGAAATTTGAATAACTACAACCTTGAAGAACATGACTAAGAGAAACTTGTTAAATAAAATGAGCTTTTAGGGGTGATAGAAGATCTAACCTTGTTCGTTTTCTTGTCCCACTCGATTAATCCCACCAAGGACCTTATATGCCTCTGAATGCACTGAATCCACCCTCATTGAGTAAATCTTAACTCCAGCTTCAAGAGTGCAACTTGCCTGCCCACATAAAACTAAAAATATTATACATCAATTCCACAATGTGGTTAAATGTGTGTGTTTTATCAGTTAGGGCTGCAGAGTTCTAAACAACTTTGAAATGAATCTTAAAATATGATCTACAATTTTATTCTCATGATCATGGCTTGTGGCTTCAAGTCTCAAGAAAGCACAATGATGTATATTTATGTACATGTGTATAATGTACCAAAAAACACGTACATTTCATGCATTTTCCCATGTGGGCACATGAACATTAATGAGCAGGTGCTGTTTACAGCAATAATGTTGGTTGTATAACCAACAAAGGAGTAATTATGCAGTGAGTATTTGTTCTTCCCCCAACAAAAAATGTTTAAAATAATACATAGACGAAATGGTTCTGCCAACCTCGCCCTTTCTTAAAAACACACTGTTTTAAATAGCAATATTGAGAGTAAATTGTTGCACATAAGTCTTATTCACCTTCAAATTGTTAAAAGTATATAGCTTTATCACAACACAATCTCTCTTCTTCTAAAGTTAAAAGGGTTCACCCAAATACTTGGCCAATCTTCTAACAAAAGTCAGGATATCCTTCTACATATCCTCATATGTCAAGACCAAAACCTTCTGGGGTAATTCTAAGCTTGCATTCCAATACCCTAACACATGATTCAAATCGGACCAAAGTCAAAGACCCCTTCACAGAACATGTCCATTCCTTCTAGTGAAAGAGGTGGTAACTTACTTGACACCTATGAACTCATTTGGCTAAAGACTAAAGTGCTTAGATATGATTAATTACAGTAAATAATACAAAATATAAATCACCAAACTATTACATGTGTATTTATTGTTCCTCTAATCCATAAGAGGCAAGAGGCAGCAAACCTTTTGAAAATTCGTCTCCACATCATCTTCTTCTTCGACTTTAATAAGGTCACAAATATGATCTATCAGATTCAGCTCCCACGTATTCTTTTGATTAATTTTCTACATCACACACATTCCAAGATTTAAAATGCATATATTTGAGCAATCAAAATCATATTCATACATAAATCAATACATCCACAAACACACACATAGAGAGAAGGAAAGAGAATGTATTGAGAAAAGAGGTCTCAGACATTTTCGCTGGCGAGTTTGATGCAATTATGGAACAACTCGAGAATCTGTTGTTTGCCAAGACAAGGGTCGGGAGGAGGGCCGGCGCAGGTAGTGGGGGCAACGGATTTGCGGCGAATGGCAGCGGCACGGGCGGCTCTTGCCTGAGCGCGTTCCAGTTTGTCGTCGTTGGAGCCCAAGAAGAATGGACTAGTCGGAGATTGGAGGCGAGGGGCCATTGGAGCTCTCTGTTTCAGTGCCGTTGCTGGATTGGGGCTTAGGGTTTCAGCCATTGGTTAGGGTTATGGATCTCGTTACAACTCGATCAGATCTCAGAGTATAATGAAGGATTAATAATACTTGTTTTGAGAGCAAAACAAGAGAGAAAATATTGGAAGTCGGAGGATTGGAGTTCTGATTAAGGTTGTGTGAGAAAAAAATGTTTTCCCTCCGTTTACGTATTTGAATTTGAGGGTGAAGAAATGGTGTTTATCACACAAGTCATTGAAAGATTAGTCACGGTAGATCACGACCGTTAAATTTGTTTACTCGCCTGATCGATTAATAGGAGTTTTTATTTACTTGGGATGGGAAGAACCCGAAAAGACACAAAATGTGATGCATTGTGAAGTGGGAATTCGGATCCTTTCCAAATACTATTATTCATCATTTTTATTATCTTATAACTACTGACTACATTTTGATTTCATAATCAACTTAATTCAATTTGTGTTATTATTGAGCAAGACACTCATGTCACAATCTAAAGTTTAGAGTTCAAATTTACTTATACGTTGGATAGAGGATTATGAAATGTTTTGAAAGATTTAATACTACAATTATTGATAAAAAAAATATATATAAATAAATAATGAGTATGTCACTTTTATTTTTTAAGGAAAATAATGTAGCTTGATGGTACTTTCTTACTTTGAGTGTTCAAGTCCAATATATGTATTTTTAACAATGAAATATATATATATATATTTGTCATTATTACATTACTTTAATACCTTTTTAATTTTTGTCGTTATTACATCACTTTAATGGTGTGTAATTTTCAAAAAACTTAACCTACTTGTAGAGAGATTACATCATGTAAGTAACGCGCTAGTGCGGAAAATGACATCTGCATGACACGAGGAAGGTGAAGTTCTAAAGCATTTCGAAATTGTATAGAGAATTGTGGAGTATTATAAAGAGTCGAAAGGTTTTAGAAAGCTGGAGAGCTTGTAAATAAGCTTTTAGAGGAGTAGAGAATTGTGGAGTATTACATATATTGAAGGTAGATAGGATGAGATAGGATGTCTATAAATTGGAGAGAACACGTAATTAGTATATTTTCTTTTAGTTGAATTTTTTAAAGAAATTAGAGGTGAATGGTGAGGCATTTTTTTATAAATTTTAAAACCCCAATATACATGTTTGTGAATGATGGTGTCTAACCAAGGAATTGCTGAATACAAACAGTTTGTTCAAATTACCATAATTTTTTTCCAGTACTACATAAACCTCATCTCCATGATGAATTGAAACGTGTGAAAATTCATAAATCTATTGTTTCAAATATATTGAAAATTCGTAACTCTTCAGGAGGACCTTCACAATTTTTTATTGTCTTCGCTATTTTTTAATCCTTGAACCTCATCCTTGAACCTCTCAAGCTGATGAATATTATTCAAAATAATACTTCAATAATATTTCAAAAGCTTTTGCATTATCAACATTGCACCAAAATACCCAGCATGTGTGTCCACCAAAATACACTGCGTGACGAATAATACTTCAGCTTTTTGCATTATCAACATTCCACCAAAATTCCTTCCAAAAAAAAAAACATTCCACCAAAATACCTTCCAAAAAAAACATTCCACCAACATACCCTGCGACGACTTGGTGGGGCCGTGGGTGTTGTTGACCAGCATAATAGTATTAGTCATCTTTAAACACTCATTCATTTATGTTGTCTGTGACATTCATTAATTTGCTTTCTCCATATTGTTTTTAAGGCAAATTTCTCAAAACCCCCAAAACTATTAAAAAGTGATCATAAAACCCCAACCAGTTTTTAAAACCCCCAACAATTTAGAAACGTTATCATATTACCCCAACTCTAGCAATTGGCTCCGTTAACCCAGCGCGTGGTTAACAAATGCTTTGACAAATTGACTTTTGTGACGAAAATACCCTTGTTGTCACATGTGCCAAAGAAGTGATGTATATTTAAATGTGTTATACCGAAAATACCCCCAAGCTTGTAATGGTAAAAACCCACAAAAGTTACTCTCCATGTGCGTTGCAGGAAGCCCTAGAAGTCACCCGAGTCGCCGTGTTTCCTCCATTATAGGAACCAGTAGAAGTGATCTTGAAGCGTGAAGGTTAATTGTTACTTTAATTTAAGGTAATTTCGTAACCTAATGTAATCTAATAAGTAGCCCTACCCAAGCACAGTTGATACTAATTTATTTGAGGATTTCTGAAAATGTAATTGCTTTGAGGTTTAAAATCATACATTAGATGTTGTTTAAACCCATTTTCTAAATTTTGTTTTCAAACTCATACATACAATACAATCCCTACCTTAGTGTCCAACTATAACCACCGTCGAAATTAGATGTTGTTTTCAGTTGATTTTTAGTGTTTTTATTAAAATTAGATGTTGATTTGAGTTGATTTTTTATTTGTAGATTCGAATCCCAGAATGTCTTATTCAAGCATAAAGTATGGGAATCTTGATTTAAGGTATACTAATGTTCAATGTGATTGTGGCAAAATAGCTCTAATTCTGGTAATAGGGTCTGATGAGTATGACAATTTGGGAAAGCTATACTACAGATGTCCAAAACGAAGATGTGGATTTTGGGAATGGTGTGAACCAATTTCGACAAGAACTTCAAATGAAAATGTGAAGAAGATTGAGGTTGGTCAAGGTGTTGATAGAAAAGATATTAAGTTGTATGCCATCGAAGGAAGGCTTCAGTTGATGAAGAAACTTATTGTAGCATGTATCATCATTTCTATTGCTGCTTTTGTGAGAACTGTGGGAGAGAAGTAAAGTGCTTGTTGGTGACTACTTGTGGTTTTGTGTTTATGTCAACTTTGGGAGGGAATTGAAGTAGGTGCAACTTAGTTTTTTTGGTATTTAACTTGTTTAGGAGTTGGATGTTTTTGTCTTTGATTTAGGGATGATGTACAACATTGATAATATTAAACTTGTTGCAGCATTTATGATGTTAAAGTAATCTGTTTATCTTAAATTAAAATTCACAATATTGATACCAAATTGGCAAATGCAATATTCATACCATAACCTGTCCAAAAAGTAGTACAACATGTTCATACCATAACTTGTTCATGCAATAAAGTAATACAATCTGTACTTGAGAAATGAAATTCATCCACATGTAACATATTCACAAAACCATACCATAACCTATCCATACAACAAAATGATACCCCAATAAAACATATAGACCATAAAATAATAATTATACATTAAGTGATCAGGTTTGGTTGTGATTACAAAACTCATAGAACTGTCATCTACCATTAAGGGTTACAAAATAAATAGTGAAGTCTCATACACTGTCATAGCACTGTCATCCACCATTGAGGGTTACAAAAAAGTAAAAGCACTGTCATAGCACTTGTCCAACACAAGCTTTACAAAAAGAAGTGTCACCAAAAATCAATGCATATTATTATCAATGCATTATCCATCAAATGTCCAAAAATCAATGAAATATACTGTCACCAATCATCCATCAACCAACCTGCAAAAATAATAAAAGCATTTCATGAATTTATATTCCATGTTAATGAAATCATGAATCAGTCTTATGGCATGGAACTTACTTGAATCACAAAAATTAGTAAGAGGTTCTTCAATCTTGTGTGCCTTGTGTGGATGGATAATCCATATAAAACACTTGATGTTGGTTGAATGATGATGCCTACAGAAACATATAAAGTATTAATGTTAGTGCATTTGTAACAAGGAAATGAATTTATTCTAACAAAACGCATTTATACCTGTGAATGACCTAAAACATCTCCTACACCAACGCCATGACCTCTATTAGTACCCCTATCTCCAGCCTAAACAAACATATAAAATATTAATGTCAGTGCATTGATATGAAGAAAATGAATTTATAACAACAAACAAACATCTATATCAAGAAATGTCAGTTCATTTATATAAAGAAATGTCAGTACATTTATATAAAAAAAACTAGCATTGATACCTGTGAATGACCTGTATCCCCAAGTCCACCTCTTACAACACCTGCAGCCCTAGCAGCAGCAACAACAGGTCTTCCAACACCTCTTCCAACACCTCTTCTATCCCTAACAGCAACAAAAGGTCTTCCAACACCTCTTTCACCCCTAGTAGCAACACCACCACCACCGGCAGGTCTTCCACCACCCCTACCAATAATATTCTCATCCCTGCCACCACCTACTCCACCTGTACCCCTCTGAAGTAGTGGTCGTCCAACTCTACCTTTAGGTGGTCTTGTAGCAGGTTCAGCTGCCTTGCAAGTTCTGACATTGTGGCCCTTTTGAAGACCTTTTTTGCAGCTCAATTTCATCTTCTTCTTGGGCACAGCAGTAGTTAAAACCTCATCTGGACCTCTCTTCCTAATTTTTTTAGGCCTTCCTGGTTGAGGCCTATGAGGTGGTGGCAAAATAGGAGTAGTTCCTACTTCTCTTGTCAAATTTCCCAATGAAACTGGAGTTATCACATGGGCATAACACCTGAAAAAAGTGTCCCTGTAGTACCAAAGACTCGCATATGTTTCTAGATCCTCCCTTCTGAACATTGCCACAGCATATGCATGCTTGCATGGTATTCCACTTATGTCCCAGTACTTACACGAACAGGTTCTCTCTGCCACATTGACATAATCACTAACTTCTGCATCTTGGTATGAGATGTTATCCACTTCATACTTATCATTCCCAGCAGGCTCCACATGTAACCTTCTTACCTTTTCTGAAATCTTTTGTAACTTGTCTATAATTCTTGGGCACAACAATCCATTTACCCTTGCCATGTCAACCCTATTCTTTTCAAATCATTAGCTGTTTTCTGATGCTCTCAAACATATACACTAAAAGTTTTTCCCTTGCTTTCCCAATGAAATTGTTGAAAGACTCACACATGTTGTTAACACATAGGCTACTCTTACTCTTGCCACTATATGATGACTTTGCCCACACCTTCCTAGGAATCTTCATTAACCACTCATATGCATTTTTGTCTACATTCCTCATTTTTTGCATATAAAGCTCAAACTCAGATGTAGTATATGCAGCGGCTGCATCCCAATATAAGTTCTTTAGTCATGTACCTTCGTATTTTAGCTTGAAATTGTCATATAAGTGCTTCAGGCAGAATCTTATGTCTGCTCCAGGGTACATGTTTTCAAATGTCTCAACTAGGCCCTGCAAATTATATTGAAGTGCAAATTAATGTAAATAATTGGATAAAGCTTTATAAAATGTGATAAATAGAAACTTTTAAAAGTTTCATACCTTCTGTCTATCTAAGATAAATGTGAAGTCAAGGTAGTTACCAACCAATCCCATCAATTCATTCAAGAACCATTCCCAAGAGTCCCTACATTCTGACTCAACATAAGCAATTGCAATAGGGAATAAGCCATTGTTGGCATCCCTACCAACTGCAGCCAACATGTGGCCCCCATAGGGTCCCTTCAGGAATGTTCCATCTAGACTAATAAATGGTTTACATCATTCTTTGAATCCTCTTCATATTGATTCTAACGAAAAAAACATCCTGTAGAATGCACGACCTTCATCACTATATGCCATTGTACTTACATGAGCAACACTTCCAGGATTACTTTGAACAACCAGCTGACAATAATCTCTTGCTTTTCCAAATTGTTGTTCATGATTACCCTCGATAAGTTGTACAGCCAAACTCTTTGCCCTTCTAACCTTCTACTTAGTCATAACAACATGAAGATCTTTCTCAACTGTATTTGCTATTCCAGCCACTGTGCAACCAGGATCAACCCTAACTGTCCCAATATAATGCTTAACAATATAGTTATATGTCACCTGTCCATTCACCCTTACACCTATACAATTATGCTTATCATTGAATTTTCTTACTTGAAATGAGTCATCATTAGTGTTGGAAGATCCACGAATCTTCCATCCACATTCTTGTTTGCATAATGATAGTCACTCTATCTCATAATTCCTTACAAAAGTGAGGTCAAACTTCCCTTTGATTGTTGTATCCCTCACTGTTTCTCTAAATTCAGCTGCTGAACCAAACTTCTGTCCAACTTGTAATTTCTTGATTCCCAAGTCCCTCCTCATATTAAAGTTCAAGTTTGTAGAAGTTACACAATTCCCATCATCATCATCACTTTCATTGGCTAAACTTATCAACTCCTCACTTGGATCATACTCAGTTTGTCTGTCAACTTCATCATTTTCATCTTCAAGACCTGCAGATTCAGGTGCATCATCAGCACACGCATGTTCATTCTCAACATTACAATCTTCATTCAATTCAGCTGCATAGTCAGAATGATCATTACATGTATCTACATTCAACTCCTCACTTGGCTCATACTCAGTATCACTATCAACTTCATCATTTTCATATTTAAGACCTGTATCTTCAACATCAGCACCTACATCTGCATCATCAAAATTGAAGTTTTCATCATTATCAGCTGCATATGTTGCATCTTCATCATCATTTTCATCATTTGGTTCATCCTCAATTTAAAAACTGTCATCACTCAAGTCTATGAAAACTTCAGCTGCAACATTAGGTTGTCCTCCATTAGCATTCCTATCATCTCCAGCATTAGGTTCTACTCTATTAGCATTATTTTCACTAATGTTTATACTCCCCTCAACTATAGTCCCATGTACTGGAGTTACATCAACTGTCCCATTATCATTTTCATTCCTATCATCTCCAGTTGGTGGCACCACAAAAATTCTCATGAATGAGAACTTTTTATGCTTACCAACCATCTCAATATAATCATTGTCAGTAACCAATTTTGATAAACTCCCATCAATCAGATCTCTGTAGTACAAAACACTATTTGTAAGACAACCAACTATTTGTGAAATTGCTTTGAAATCAATCATTCACATACGTTCAATATCTACTCCGTCAATCTCAGTAACAGATCCACCAATATATTCCATTTGCCCTGTCATAACAAATTCACCACCATGATGGACTCGAAGACAATATAATTTGTTGAAAATAGGTGTATAACCTATCAAAACACAAATTGTAATAAACACAAATTCATGCTTGCAACTTACTAATTATAATGCTAAAAACCAAACACAAAACCGTAAGAACAACTAACCCTAATACAAAGTACAACATATAAAATTCAAAACACTAATTTAATCAATGGGAACCACAATCCTAATATAAAATTACATTAACCCTAATATAAAATATAAAATTTAAAATTACATTAACCCTAATATAAAATTACAATACATTAACATTAACCTTAATATAAAATTACAATAACCCTAATAAACAATAACCCTAATTTAATCAATGGTCCCAACCTGTTGGAATCATACCCAACACGACAAAGATCCACATGAATAAAGTTGTTCAACTAAAAGTCATAAACTATCAAATAAAGACATACCTGTCGACATATTGTCCACCAAAGTTGAAGACAACAGCCTTGAATAGACCACTCTTTAGCTTCTTCACTGACCCACGAATGAGACCCACAGATGAAAAGCACAACACAGATTCTACTGTAATGCACCCAAGAGTTTGAACAATGAAACGCCTCAACACAGATCCTAGCCGTCTGAGTGTATTCAGTGTTTTAGGGTTCAAAGCAAACGATTCTTCTTCAACGCACCCAAGAGACCTTAGCCGTCTGAGTGTATTAAGGTTCTAATTAGGGTTCTAAGCAAAAATATACAAGTGTAACAATATATATATACGACTGTTGCAATGAATCAAACGACAGCGTTTTAAGTAAAATACAATTGCTGCCTTGAATAAAACGACGGGGTTTTGATGTCCAACTATATTGGCACTAAACGCGGTCGTTTTGTGCTGAAGGATAATATTGTAATTTCTAAAATATGATTTTTTGATTTTTTAAATAAAAGGGAATATAATAAAGGTAATTTAGTCATTTCACATACCCTTAACGACCAATTGCCAGAGTTGAGGTAATATGATAACGTTTCTATATTGTTGGGGGTTTTTAAAACTGGTTGGGGTTTTATGATCACTTTTTAGTAGTTTTGGGGGTTTTGAGAAATTTGCCCTTGTTTTTATGAAAGATACAATTTTTTATTCTTAGTTGATACTCACACACCCCCATCAAAAAATTGTTTGCATTCAAAAGGATTTGAATCTTAAATTTGATACTTTTTGAAGCACCATGACTAAATTTTTACCCACTTGAACCAACCCCTCAGATTCATCGAAGACACATTAATTTCCTCCATTATGAATAACATTAGCCAAAAAAAAAAAAAAAAAAAAAACCTAGCTCCTTGATAACTAATTAGCACTGTGCAACTTGATCCAAAAGTCTTCTGTTCAATTTATGGAGTCTGTAGACATCCAAAACTTCAGTCCTAAGTTTGCTCAACACCCATTGTTTTGAATGTGCCTCTGGGTATCAAAGGAGATGGTCCTGCAAGCAGCAAAATAAATATGTAGAAATCCAAGATCAGCAACTATGATTTATCACCTTACTGGTACAACCAATCAATAAAAACATTTAAATTGTGTGACCACTTTGTTTTAATAGTGTCAATTGATTGGTTGTACCAATGACCTGTTACATCCATTATAACGAATAATTTCTCCGAAAAATCACCAGCAGTTGGGCAAACCCTCTTTTATTTTAATTGTTGGATATATCCAGTATTGCTGCATCAAGAAGTCATATATTGAATTGCAAGTGTGCGCGCGTATATATAAATATATTTTGGTGGGTAACCGCAAAGAGAAGAATCATTTATTGAATTGCAAGTATGTATATAATTTTGGAGGGTAATCCGAAAGTTTTAAGAGTAAGTGGTCCAACATCCTATTTGAACCCCCCTCAAACCAATTTACAGCTTTTCTACAACTAGAAGTCAATTTAACAGCCGTCCGACCTACTCTTCTCATCAAACCTGCTGCTGCACGTAAACAACAGCCGCACAGCCTGAGGTGAAGAACTGCATTTTACATATCATGACTCTAATTGGATTTTCTCATTAGATACGCAACTATGCATCCCAACACTGCACCAGCAACAACCTGTACGAAACAGAATAAAGAACCAACATTCAATCAATGATCAAGAAGTCATCTTTGGAATGCACTCAAGCTATACGTTGAACTAGTTTTTCATCAATTTCAATGCACCAATTCCATGCTACTGAACATAGCATCAATACCTATGGTCAAGGACTCTAGATATCTAACAGCCTTCTGTCGTATCACAACAATAGCTGTTAACATGAAAAAGAAAAACGTTTCATAACCCTATAGTTCAATCATGCATTGGGTACTGGTGGGCACTAGGCATTGTGGAAAGTGGAATCCTGGCATGTCATAGTGTTGCACGTGATAGCCACCTAGCCAAGTAACATGATGATAATGACAACTAAGATCAAGGTTATTGGTTGAGTTTGGAGTGGCATTATTGACATTTCAAATTTTGTTTTCCTTTGATTTACAATCAAAACAGATCATTGTACTCTATTCGATACCAAGAAAATCAAATTCCGTGGTAGTAATAGCAACAATTATACATGCCTGTTCCTCTACATGTTTAACGAGAACGGTGGAGATACCGTCTGCATGGCTACTGCTAAAAGAAAAATACACAAGGAATCAAAAAAATAACATAAACAGAACAGAACTTATAGCAGATTTTGGCAAAGATCAAAATTCTTTTAAATTGAAACTAAAGATTTAACCAGGAGAGGGCACAAGAAGATTGAAAGCAAAGCAAAGGAAGAACTAAAACCCTGTCCTCCTAACCTTCTAAGAACATTCTTTCATGCTTTTGAGAAATTTTCTACAGGGGAGAGAGCTACAAAGAAAAGAATCTTTCTATTCAAAATAAAGGCCATTTTTATTCTTCCATTGCAATGTCAAAGTCCCTCTGTGTTTGATTCCCCTAACTGAGACTGTCATGGATACTAGGCTAAAACATCCGAATGCATATGGCATAAATGCATAATGATATTACAGTAACATGTGCCCATCTTTTGACTTCCAAATTAAATTCTCAGAATTCACAGTAATTGAGTTACTGAGATAACAATACATCAATAAAATAAGTTGATCACCTGCATAAAGAAATTTATCTCGTATAATGAGCTTAAATCAGTGAATACCTAACTATTTAGAATTACGTGTGCATAGATTACAACAGACCTGGAGTGGAGTATGGCCAAGCGAATCACGCAGAGGTCTGGAGGTGGATAAGGGGTGTTCTGGAGGAAATTCACACACAATTTGGTTCAACAACTGCAAATAGATCAAATCGAACAGAAATAAGAATACATGGATGGAACATTTTTATGGTTTACACACCTACTACATGCACAAAAGATGTACTAAATTGCACCATTAAGTTGATTACAACCAGCAAACTTGTACTGCCCCAAGACTGAAATAATTAATCATTTAGTAAAAATCCGAGAAAGGGATGCAGAGTAGAAGTAAAAAGGGAGCCTAGAATTTCCAAGAAACAATTTCCAAAATCATTCCTTTGTCCCCTGCATCGCCATGACTTGTTATTTATGCAGTTTTCTGTTTCATGTTAAATTCAATAAAATTTATGTGTCTATGTGTGTCTTTTTTCTTTTTTTGGGGAGGGGGGTGGAGGGGCACGATCAAGTCAAATCACCATAAGCAATGCATTGCTGTTGTCTATCCATTAATCAATGTCATTAATAAAAAGGTTGATGATGGTCTGAAGCCCCTCAAAAAAGAAAATTCATCCAATCTTGTACGTTCACCAAATCTTTTTTTATTTTTAATAATTGTATTGGAAACTTGCCATTCTCAAGTATTGTTGCAGTAACCATGAAACTGGTTCCTCATTCTTCTTTTTTTCCTAGTTGGTACTCACACACGCATGCTTCCATGAAGGCTTGAACCCCTGACCTCCCTTTGGGAAGTAGGGGCCTAGTTCTTCATTCTTAGAACTTTGTCCTCAATTTTCTATGATAACAGCACCAAGTGAAATGAGGAATGGATTCAAAGAGGTCAGTAACAATAACAACTTACATGGATGGGAGAAAGAACAGTGTTACACTTAGAAACAAAACTGGAAAAACCTAGAAATTATGTAAGTTGTCCAGGAGTTAATAATTGTATTGGAAACTTTCCATTCTCAAGCATTGTTGTAGTAACCATGAAACTGATTCCTCATTCTTAGAACTTTGTCCTCAATTTTCTATGATAACAGCACCAAGCGAAATGAGGACTGGATTCAAAGAGGTCAGTAACAATAACAACTTACATGGATAGGAGAAAGAACAGTGTTACACTTAGAAACAAAACTGGAAAAACCTAGAAATTATATAAGACGTCCAGGAGTTGATCTTAAATCTATTGGCAATAAAAAGGAATTCACTTCATCAAAGCATATCCACCGAACAATAAAATTTTGAACAGAATGTCCTTGATATATCTTTTTAAGTAGTTCTGATTTATGGGTATAATTCCAGCAGTTTTTATTTTTAAAAAACTACAATAGGTTGAAGGTCAAACCCAGTGCACGAGGCTCCCACCATTGCGGGGCTTGGGGGGGTGTAATACCCCTAATTTTAAAAAGGATATTCTTGGTATTTAATGGTATTTAATTTATTATTTAAGTGCATTTTATTTGATTATGTGTCATTATTTTTTTTATTAGGTGCTTAATTGTTTTCTTTTGTGGTGATTTAATTTATTTAAATGATATTTATTTTTAGTTATTTGATTGGAATTACTTGTTAGTATTTTAATTATTTAATTGGCATTAATGGTTTAAGTGTAATTGGTTTAGTTATTTGATTGGAATTACTTGTTAGTATTTTAATTATTTTATTGGCATTAATGGTTTAAGTGTAATTGGTTTAATTATTCTATGTGTGTCTTATTTTATGTGTGTCTTATTTAGTTTAATTGAGTTTACTAATTATTATTTTGTTCAATTAGATTATTTGTTAAGTATTTAATGGTGAATAGGGTAATTAGGTAAATACATCTAACTAGGGTTTTAATTACAGTATAAATTAGGGTTTTATATTATAACCGTCGTAGATTTCTACGTTAATTGGATGGGCCGGTTAAGATTGTGAGTTGGACTTAAATGAACCTAGGGTTTAGAAAAACTCTATAAGTATAATGTAGACGTCTGTGTAGGTTTTTTTTTAAACAAAGCACACGTTTTGTGGAAGTGGAGAAGGAAAAACACAGTTTTTCACATTCTGCCAAGGTTTGATCAAAGCTCCGATCCCGCTTTGTCCGTGGTCCGATCGAGCTGAATTTTGGAGGAGAGGTTCACGACTCAGTGACGCACAATCTGAACGGTGGAGATCAGAGTTTGACCTCGGGAACAGTGATTCGTACTCGTGAACAGTAACTGGGTCGCACAGGTTTTTTCCATTCTGCCCAGATTTCATCAAACATCCGATCCCGCTTCGTCCGTGGTCCGATCGAGCTGAATTTTGGAGGAGAGGTTCACGACTCAGTGACGCACAATCTGAACGGTGGAGATCAGAGTTTGACCTCGGGAATAGTGATTCGTACTCGTGAACAGTAACTGGGTCGCACATGTTTTTTTCCATTCTGCCCAGATTTCATCAAACATCCGATCCCGCTTCATCCGTGGTCCGATCGAGCTAAAATTTGGAGGATAGGTTCATGACTCAGTGTCGCACAATCTGAACGGTGGAGATCAGATTTTGAGTTCGGGAATAGTGTTTCGTACATGTGAACAGTAACCGGGTTTTGGAACTCGCCGGGATTTTTTAAGAAGACGACGTTGAAACTTTGAACAAAAGTTTCTGAGGCAAGATTCTATCCTTACTCTTTCCCTTAGGCTTCATACTCTTTGCACTCTTAAATGATTCCAGGATTAATGAAGATTAAACCAAACTAAAATGATATCTGTTTTGCTATGAAACTGGTAGTTACAGTAGAGTTGTATGCTTATTCAACCTAGACTAAGCATGTTTGTGGATGCATTGTGGTTCTGTGGTTCACGTTTTTCCTTACCACTGCTAGTATAAATTATTGAAAGGATGGGTCTAGATGATAGCTATCTTAAGTTCTGTAATAGCAACTGTTGGAACTTAAATACTAGGAGGATTTGAGTTTAACACTAGATCGATTTTGTGGAACACTATAATTTGAGCATGTCTACACACATACTGTGAATATTGTTTTGATGCTTACATTATCACAGTTTGTATCAACTGTGGAGGTTAGGATTTTGTGATACATACCCTACATATCTGTATGTCATTTGTAAGGTGTTAAATGGAAGTTTTAATTAATTCTGTCTTTATATCAGACTTAAGGGAACAACTTAAATTGGGCATGTATATGTTGTTGTTGTGACCCTATTTATCAATGCTTATTTTATCACTGCTAACATTGAATGTTGGATGTTGGAATTTAGTTGATATATACTTGATTTATTGGTATTATTAACTACTGGAGGATTGGAAAGTAGGCACCGGTATGGGACGGTGGCATACTAAGGATGGGTTTGGTTTTTAAAACAATACCATTACCCACCTACTTGGAATAAGGATGGGAATAACTAAAAGTTAAGTCCCGTGGATTTGTATTGTCATGGCAACTACTTGTTGAGCGGCAATACCAGGGATTTTGGATGGATTTTATATATGTACTGTTATGGTGCCTCGGTATGAGCTTGAGCCTCAGGACCGATGGCTAGGGAGCGTATATGCATCGGGATGTGTAGCTGGCTACGATGGTTGGAAGTGTACCCTGTTTAGGTATAGGTACATATGCCCACTTTGTGTGCGTTTTAGCATGTTACCTCTATTCAGGTTGAGATCGGCCTGTAGTCTAGTGAGAGTCCTTTAGTGTAACTATATATATATATTTACGGACTATTAGCTATTGTTGAGTTGTTTAGGATGTACATACGTATCGTGCCTCTGTTTGGATTGTAGTAGTATAAAACTTGCTCGTGGGCCTGACCCACTTCTATTTTTCATGTACACGACAGTTCCAGGCTTAGACATGCTCGTGCTGAGCAGAGGTCTCTATTCACTCTTCCGACGATGTAGGGCTCTCTCTATAGTTTTATTTCTGGACGTTTATTACAGTTGTTCTATCTTCCGTTTGGATGTTTAATAGGGGTCCACTAGAGATGGATTCCCAAGTTGTAAACTGATGGAGTTTTGGAGTTTGGGTTTGATGGATTTTAATAATTATAATATTTTGCGGATTCTATTTTTAGTTCCTTCCAGCTTTAATTTCATTTCTTAATTTATTTTGTATTCCGTGTTCATTATAAAATATTAATTGTTTGATATTCCCTCGGGTTTGGGCCTGAGCCTGATCAACCCGTATCTCGGATCCGAGGGGTATCACAGGGGGGGTGGTCAGATGTACGCATGCGAAGAGGTTGTTTACGTGCTCACAATGGAGCAACTTTACTGTTGCACCAAGGCTTGCCCTCTTGTCAGATAAATAACTTCTTCAAGAGAGCATGCGAACTTCTTCATTATGTTTGATTTCTTTTTCTTTTCTTTTGAAGAATGTTTTAACTACATTGCATGTCCAAAAGTGTGATGAAGTAGCCTGTCAAAAGAAACAACGACCGCCTCCAAATACCAAACTCATAAACATTTATGCTGAAACACTAAGAACTTATTCAACTCAGGATTTACAAGAGTACTTACATGTGAACTTGCATGTGTGGGTAGACAGATTTGCAAGGTACACTACTAGAATGTAGGTATGCATGTCAAGTGTGGGTGTAAATCTGGAAGTTGGATACATGTAATTCACCATTCTTAGAACCAATGGACGTGTCTGAATGGTCAAAGCCTATCACAAACCCTTCCTTATGTCGTGACGTGTTTACGTGGTATATAGTGCTTAGCATGGATATTTACACTTTTTTTGAAATATTTCATGCAAGAGAAGAACTTAATAAGAACATTCACGTTCCTCTCTTCTTAAGCAGAGACGCATTGTGATGTGTCGAACTGTATATATGTGCACCAAAATCCACGTCACATTGTATTTCACCTACTGGGAAGTGTCCATGCAACATAACATGCAAGACGACTAAAACCAACTCAACAAAAATATGCAACCACTGTTTTTCTGATTGTGATAGGAAATCTTACTTCAGCTTGCCGACCAGCATGAAGCCTAACCCCAGATGCATCATACATCACCTGCATATATTTTGAATTTGTCAACCATCTCACCCAGCCTTGACAAATAAACACAAATAAATTATTTTCCCAGAGTTGGCTATTTCAAAGTTAGTGAGATATAACACAAATAGAACCATTAATGGCACAGGTTAATTTGAGATTTACTTAGAGCAGCTTGAACTATGTTGATGGGTTATTTGTTATGCACACATTCACAAGATGACAGTAGTAACACGAGACGAAAGGATTAAAAACCAACTGGAAGGGTATGGGAATTTGCAATGAAGATAGATGACTACACCCTTACGGAATAGTGACATGATTCACGAGGGTAACATTAGGAGAAAGAGAAGATCAAAATCAGCATACGTTGAAGTAGTAAAGAAAGGTGCAATAACCTGAGGTATAAATGAAATTATAGTATTATACCCTTAAAGTTGGGATAACACTGTGTTGACTTAAGGGATTAATCTTAATGCTTTTTGAATGCAGCAGAACCAATAATCTATCTCATGTTCTCAAATCATAGAGGGACACCAGGTCCAAGATAAAACCAAGACACCTAACCTGCCGAATCTCATCAACATAATCTGAGGTTTTAATTACGATACATTAATCCTCTCATGCAAAAAGTGACTGAAATGAATATACTAATTCATAGAAAGCTTAAATGGAATTAAGATACTTTCCTTAGAGTATCATAGCCAGAGTGCCAGACATTAAGAAAGAATGAATTCCTTTCCAGAACCCTAATTTACTAAAAGAAGTATTTTGAAAAGGTTACATAATCAGATAGTAAGCCAACGTTCCACATTTATACTGCTAGACCATTATCAAGTCATATTCTCAATATAAAATGTCTAAAACATTATCAAGTCTCAAGTGAGGAACCAACAAGTAGAACTGACCAATTCTAGTTCAGTGTGCAAAACTGCAATAATTTGGCAATGATGATGAGTAAGAATTGATATAAACATGTGAGTATGAACAAGATGAACAAAACCTGTTTAGAAAGTACGTACAATACATGCCAAGACAATTGCAATGGCAAAAGTTGGTCCTCCTGTCCCTTCATGTAGTCCTATAGCTACTGCTAGAGCAGTAACAGTTGCAGAATGTGATGATGGCATTCCACCAGAATCAATCATCCTTTTAGAATCCCATCTCTTTTCCTTGTACCTGAATATCTAGGAGAAGTGTATTGTAAAAATGAGATAGTATATAAATATATGCATGTACTTATCAAGGTTTGAAAAATCATACAAGAAATAGACGCATATTGTAAAAATGAGATAGTATTTCAATATATCCATGTACTTATGAAGGTTTGAAAATTATACAAAAAATTTTAGTCATAGACTCATGACCTTTCTTATCATTCGCTAAAAACCTCAGATGCGTCCTTATTGTGTCATCATTTAAAGAGAACAATGATGCAGCAAAATGGTCGAATTAAAGCTAAAATATCTATACCCTTGATGCATTTACACCAATTAAGTAATTAAAAATAGGAAATTGATGCGATACGATTGAAGCCGGAACTAAAACGTGGGAGATTCTATCATTTAAAAGACCAACAATATCTCTTGAACTTAAGTTCCTGAAAATAAGATGGGAAGAGTGAAGCTTCACATAACAACTTAAAAATTTTAAAAAAATAAGTCATAGTTTCTAAACTAGAACAGTATAATATTACAGAATCCATAAGATACAATAAAGACTGACCTATAAGAAAGTTAGCAGTCTAAGTTTCACATGCTTTAGATGGTTCAGAATGATATAGAATTGATTAATATCACTCTCACAAACAAAAGGCAATTAATGACAGATAGTGCAACAGGTCGCCAACTAAGACAGACGCATATCAAAAGGGCTTTGGAGATGATCCTGTAAAGGCTTTGTGGTCTAAGTGACCAAATGTGGAGAGAGAGAGCTTAATACCAAAATAACATAAGTTCAGAGCATCTTGAGAGCACCTCTAAATATATTTATTAGTATACGTAGCATTATTTAATATATGGCATTCAAAATATTTATGCACCTAAAAGGAGTAGGAGACCTTTATTCCCTATGAGATGCAGGGTTCAACACTTGTTCACTAGTATTATAGATTTGTTCAGTTACAAATAATGGAACGGGGATAAGAGCTAGTAAGACGTTGTCCACTGAATGCGAATCTGTAGTAACATGCACAATCAAATTCAGATGGATGTCCTGTAAAAGACCAGAGCAGGCCATATCCATGCTCTGACAATGCCACAGACTAATCACGGATCCATGCTGAAAACCAAGCAACCACGAATGAATGTTCCCTCCCTGGCTTGATCAACAACACATACCTTCCTTCCTAACAGACTAACCACGGATCCATGCTGAAAACCAGGCAAGCATGAATGAATGTTCCCTCTCTGGCTTGATCAACAACACATACCTTCCTTCCCAATGTCAGATTCAAACATTCTCAGACTTGCAATTTCAGAGTGGGAGTGCTGGCATATACAGGCGAATTAAGACACTTAGCTTGTGAGACTATATGAAACTAATGGACCCCTCAATTAGCAACCAACACAAAGTTAACATCAAGACATCTGTCACTTAGTGATACTTCTTCCACCACTCGCATGGCACCAACATGGCAAGTACACTTGTACACAAAGCATCGAACATCGATTTCCTATCACGAGTCCACCTAAATTGATAGATAAGGTATGTGAAGACATAAAAATTGTGACCTCACCATTCTTATAATCTACTTTTAAGAATTAAAAATGTTGGCAAATTCACCTCATGCGAGTGTGAGTCTATGTCCATATCCATGTAACGCAGGTATATAATAACTAGACGCTAGAACTTTAAAAACACACCCAAAAGCTTTATACACAAAAAGCTCAAATGTGTTCCTACACTTTTCACTTACTTTTCTCCATCTCAATAAACTTCACCTTTCTATTCAATACCCAGAAATCTAAAGAAGGTTTCAGGGATACGTACTGGTAAAACTTTCACCTATTGCAATTTTTTGTCAAAAAAAGAGAACAAAAACTCATAATCCGTTGCAAGCACCTAAAGCACAACTATAAATTCAATGCTCAACACACATCAACAGGATAATCAGATAAAATACATTATTTGATACAGGTTATGCTGATACTGTGATGAGATCAATTTAGACACTTTTTTGTTCAGTCTTTTTATTCATTCCATTTCTTCATTGCAGCTTCAGGTGAAACAGAATTTCAAATCCTACCTACAAAGACCAAATTTCAACTCCAAAATTCAATTTTCTACACAGGTTCACATTATCCTTGTTTAGATCATAATATTAACTGCAACAGCGAATTTAGAGCTCTAAACGCATCATACAAAAACCTAGATAACACTAACGTAAATAATTAGAGGATTGATTAACGAAATTTTTATTTTTTATTTTTTTAAAAAAGCAGTTCCTGCAAAAAATATAATTTTGAGAGAGATTGAACGGACCAGGTTGTGAAGAGCTTGAGGAATTGAGCGATAAAGAAGGCGAGGAATGCAGAGAGTAGAGGGACGTTCGCCGGGAGGAGGGAAGCCGGAGACGGCGACGACGTCGCCCTGCCGTCGGCTGCTGTGACCACCTCGTCCATGAATCCGATCGGAAGAATATGAGATAACCACTGCAGCCCCTATCTCTCTCTCTTCTTTCTCTCTCTAGAATTCGACGCGTTTCGGCTCCGCATAATTCTTATTGGAGTTTGCAGAAAGTTAAAAGGGCCCACCAATGAGATGGAACTCAGCCTCCTATTTGTCTGTTCCGCGGCCACATCTGACAAATAGTTGGTTTAGATGGCAAGGAAGAAATAAAAGAATTTGAGAATGCCAAGTAAAGTTAAAAGACTCAAAGTTGAGTATTGTGGAAATTCTTAGAATTATGGGTGGTTTATCATTTTATAATCAAAAAGAAAAAGGACGGTGTTGTTTTTTTTTTTTTTTTTTTTGTGTTTTTTGCTTTTGTAATGTAGTGTTAAGCAAAGATTGAAATGATAATATAACTTTTTAAATTTAACTAACTCATCCATTAACATCACAAAGTGGGATTTAGTGACATTTGAAGCACATTAAAACCTATTCAATTGATAATTAGTAATTTTCAATAAAAGTTTCGAAATTTTTTAAAATTTTTTTTCAATAAAAGTGACATCAATGCAAAATGTTTGTAATAAAATACATTTATTGATTAACATGGTAATAGTCTTATTAAACAAATTAAATAATGCTATGGAAAGAGCTGACAAGAGTCATGAGATGCTACTAACAGCATTAGTCAAATAAATTTCTTAAAATAGCTGAGTTCTATATTAGAATATGTTCAATAAAAAATGATGGTAATTACATATGAATAAAATATCACTACATGTGATTAATTTACATAATTGAGATTGAAATTATGGATCTGACTATACTTTTAACTAGTTGTTCAAGTCGTATCACAAGGTAATTTAACACACAACACGTTAGAAATGTATAAGAACTATTTATTATTATTGTTTATTTTTTTAAGCATAAGATTTTTATTTTTTCAAAAAATAAAAATTTAAAAAAATAAAGTCAATGACATTCAACATTGCTCTGACACAAACTTGCTAGTTTGCATGATATTCTCTCTCTCAAAATAAAACATCCATTTTGATTGTTCTAAACTATAGCAAACTATCGTCAGCTGACATCTCCCCAAGCGTAATGGTACGAAGGTCTAAACAAATTGACATTGAAGAAATAAGACAGTTATGCATAAGCAAAAACTTTCATACATATTATGCCATAAAGGTTAGTTATATTCAATGTTGCCCTATCTAGTTTGTAGCTTCTATCAGTACCAATTGGCCAAGTTGCCAAAACCCAAAAACTGCATAGATTGATCTTTTGCCCCTCTACACAACAAACTTTCTTCTAACTCCATTTTATTTACAGTGCCTCGCCTTCTACGAGTAAGTCCTCATGCATGGAAGTCTAAATGTAGCATGAGGACTGCGAATCTTCTACCAACATTTCCTCGTGCATGGAGGTCTAAAAGTACACTGGAGATTGTGAATCTTCGCGAATTTTGGGCAGTAAGGATGGAGTAGAGTCACTGTCTTCGGTGGGCAATGGTGTATTCCTTCGGGATTGGCGTTTTGTGGGGACAAGCACAGGCTCCAAATTAGATTCTTCGCTATCTGCATCGCTCTCACTATCATCTCCACCCCTGAATACCGGATGGATGTAAGCATTTTGAAGGTACTCTTTCAAGTTCAGGTATGGCTCCCTTGTACGCTCCAAGGTATCCTTCATCATTGCTTCCTGAAAAGTCCAAATAAACAAACAATGTGATTGATTAAAGATAAATTACGACCCAAGGATGAGGAGAAAAAACAAAAAAAGGAGAGAAGTTCCCATTGTTTTTCTTACCATCTGAACTTATAGGGTCTGATTATTTTTTGGCTTAGAGAGAACACAACACCACCACCAAGCCCTTTTTTCAATTACTTGGGGTCGGCTACATGAATCCTATGTTTCCATTCCGCTCTATTTAAGGCCATAGCCCAGGTCAGTCAATCAAAGGGAACACCCTCATTTAGTTGTATATTCATAGGATTCATGTTAATATTGGTCATGACAGTTTTTCTTTTTTAAGCCAGCTGTCAAGCTACCTGCCACAAACCTTCTCATTTATCTGGGCTTAAGACCAGTTGTGTAAAGAACAAAGGCGGAGTTCGCCAGTGTAGAACACAAAGGAGAAGGAAATTCCAAAATCATGCTCCATCAATTTGGCACTGCAAAGTGATCCAACTATTTGAGAACTAAGATGACCTAGCTCTTCTCAATATTAAAATAGCTCTGGTCATTTCAGCATCTAGCAATTATTTCAGAACTAAGACGTATTGGATTTTATTTAATATAGGAAATATCAGGCTATTTCAGCTTTTAACGAACTATTCTGAACAGTGACAGGCACTGGGGAATCAATTGAGGATGCATTAATGGTCAATAGATGAAAATAAATTGGTAAAGGGGAAGAAGTAGATTGTGATCACTAAAAGAGAACAAAATGAAGTCCATCAACAAAATGATGAAAAATGAAGCAACAGAGACGCTAATTGAAACAAACACCAAACCTGTAATGGGTATCTGACAAAAGCTGGCTCATAACGACCTTTGCAGAATATATGGAACGATATGGTCAATACTGGGAGTGTGATGAGCAAAGGAGTTGACTGAGCGGCAGCTTTCGTACTTAATAGTCCCATTAAAAGCAGCTGCGAGACAACCAATGCAGCTATGATTCGTCCATGGACATCAGGCCAGAATGCCGCAGCACTCTCATACTCCTGATTGTAGACGTTTATAATCTACATAGTCAACATAAACTTTATCAGAGCACACACACACACATATATATATATATATATATTTGGGACAAACTATCAAAAGATACTGCAGTGTAAAAGCAATGGATATTTATGCCACATGTAACTGGCATCACAAACACTACTACGATGGACTTGCTACACAATCAAGTTCTGTCCTGCAAGGTATATATACTACACTGGAATTGTTCCATACTCCCCAGATATCAAAGAAATCAATGTTATAGTGTCAAAAGCAGCATGTTCCTGATTGTAGACGTAACTTACAGAATCATGCAACAAATATAATATTTATACAGCATAGTAGCATACTATTTTATTAGGTATAATATAGTTTCAACTTTCAAATTTTTCGTAGTGTATGTCAGGGTTCAAACCCATTGCCTATAAAATACAAATAATTTACTTATCAAGTAAAGAAAAAAGAAAATTCTATCAGGCATATATATATATAGGATGCAAATGTCCCATTCACACACTGAACAAATCAACTAACCTAGGGATCTGAATGCTCCTGTTAATCAACTAACCTAGGGATCTGAATGGGATCCTTGAGCAAGTATGCTCCTGTTAATAATTTTTTTTTCTTCATCTAAGACACATTTTACAAAAGCCTTATCTGTAGTTTTTTTTTTTTTCCCTGGGTAAGCCTTATCAGTTAAAATAAAATAAAACAGGAGGAAATTATAAGCTTGAGCATAACAAGAGATTGGAAATGCCCAGCTTGAATAAAGGCTGATGTTGATGGTCTATTTTAAATTTAGGCAGGCATAAGTGTACCACACACACAGATCTAATCATCGGTCAACTCCCAAGCAATAATTTAAATACGTGTCTGATAAAGATCTGGTAACTTAACAAGAGGTGGAGGAAGAAGAGCAATCCATGGCATCTACCATTTCTATAACAGAGGATGCACGCTGAAATCTCCAAAGTGAATTCCTCTCTCTTTTATTCCTCCAGATCAAATTGAAAAAGTACATATATGCAGATGAGATCTATAGTAGAAACTTTACTTTCTGGTTCACCTGATTTACGTGTGTGTATTTAAGTCCTGTCGTTGAGCTTGGATTACAAATGTCATCAAAATAATACCATATATATTTTGGCTAAAATATCAACATTTACCTGATGTCGGTATACAACATATGCCAGCCCAAAGAATATAATGATGAAAGGAAGTAGAATTGGGGTCACCACAGCGTAAACAAGGCCAAGCAAGAAATAAAGTTGTATTTGGGGTTCCCCTGTGTTAAAACCAAGACTTCCTGGATCCATTGCCTCTTCCCTATCCTTTTCAGTCTTCACCAAAAAGAAATTTTTTAAGTGAAAGAATATCAATGGTTTTAACCGCAGAATCTCCCCAGCAACTCCAGCCCATCCATCCACCATTATATAAGTTATAAAGAAGGTTGCCTTCATTGGAATCGAACCACCAATTGTTATTGGGATACTGCACAAGTATGCACTCAGCATTAGGAGCACTAGACGTAAATTACAGTCTAGATGAAACAATACACATAGTACCCACAAAAAAAAACTGGATAAGAATATGCCATAAATGTAATAGAGTGTCATTCTGTCTCTTAAGGGAGAAGGCAAGAAACATATCTCAAAATCACATAGAAGGGAAGATACACAGTCCTGAATAAATCTGATTATGCATAAAATACATGAAAATTCACACTCTCAGTCTTCTAGGACCTAAGGGAAAAAAAAAAGATGTTTCCTTCAATGTACTTGCATGCAATTCCACATTGAATGTGAACATTTTACCCGTTTATAGGAAAACATCTAATACCCACAACCAGTTGGATTCAACTACTAGATATATGAGAAGCAATGAATTATGCTTTCTTACTATTTTTTTTCCCCTTAGTTGGTACTCACACACACATGCCTCCACTGAGGCTTGAGCCCTTGACCTCCCTTTGGGAAGTAAGAGCCTGATACCACTAGGCCACTGGCCCATTGGTAATTATGCTTTCTTACTTGCTTAGTTGCTTGTGTCCATGTTATGGAGAGTCAAAGAAATCCTGATGATTTATAGTGGGCTGACAATTGAATTCATAAGACCATTACTCAAAGTTGGTACCAGCTATGCAGGATACAAGGAGACAGAATTCGTTCACTAGACAGATTTGTTCAAGAATCTGATTGTAGGAAATATTCCTTCCTACAGAAGATTCAATAAGAGAAATCAAATGCCAAACTTAGACAAAGTTAAGATCTTAACTGTAAACATGAAAAAGCATGTCCCTTTCTTTTTGATAGATATCATCCAAGACCAATCCTTAAACAGTAATTTATACATTTGATTGTAGGAGATTTTACTGCTACCCTTCATTGATCCTTTGTTCTCTTTTAGATCCTAATACAAATCACTTTTACATCTTTGGATTAGTTAAAATGTTTACTGGAAGTTTGTTTATTCTTCATTTTTTTTTCTCTCTCTCTCAATATTATGCCTTGGATTCATGACACACTCCAATTAAGTTCCAATCTTTGTATTGTTGCCCAACAATTTTATTTTATTTTATGAAAGCAGACGTATTTCAGAAACTAATCCAACTGCTATCAGTGCAACTGTGGGGATTTACAATGTATGTTATGAATATAATTATAGGGGCAAGTCAAGTGGGTGTGTAAGTTTCAAATAGGAAAAAAGAGAATAAAGAATAGAATTATAGAAGTCATCGGTCAGATGGATAACTATTTTTGAGCAACAAATAAGCAACTTAATTTGGTCAAAGCAACTATCTGCAACTTAAATTGGCTGGTGAATATTTTCAGAACACAATCTATTTTTTTTTTAAATTTTTTGTCCATGGACAAGTTAATACAAAGAAACACAGGTTAACACATGAAAGGGTTTCAATCAACCGACAAAGATCACAAAGAATACGCATAATGCATAGCAAGTGATAGGAACATACTCATTTGCAGACTGGTGAATAAAATTATTTAGTTGTTGAAATGCAGTTCCTGTAATAATGCTCCCAAGAAAAACATTAATAAATTGGAAAATATAGTATCTTGTTGCAGATCTCCTCTCTAGAGCTGATATGGAGTTAAATCCTTCAAATTTAGACATTAGCATCAATATTGAGGGTAGAATAATGAGAAAAATCTTCAATGCAATTCCTGGAAGAAAACCTTGGATGAATGACTTGATAAATTTCCTGCATGGAAACATGGTGTTGTAATCAAATATTAGTAGTGAAAAATTGATAAACTAGGCAAGGTTAGGACAGAACAATCAAAAGTAATGCTATCTCACTTCATATATAATAAAACTGTTTCAAGAAAAAGATGTCTTTTGATGTATATTATCAAAATAAAGATGGCCAGTTTTAAGTATTCAGACCTTAGATTCTGATTGTTCTTAAATGTTAAAAGAAACCAATAAATCAGCACTAAGATTGTGATAGTTGAAAAACTATGACTGGTACACTCATGCAAGGAAAAGTCATTCTGAATTAATTACTAGCAAAGATCATCTAATAAGGTGACCTTAAAAGTATAAAACCTAGAACTTGATACTCATAGGGTCAGCGAAATATATGCAGGTAACTCCCTGCAACCTGGAGCTGGAGCTGGCAACTCCCTGCAACCTGCTTTTTAGCACATACACACATATGTATGTGCATTGGTATTATACCAATTACCAAGTCAACACATAAACTGGGCAATCTTTCTTTGTAGATTCATTCATTGAAAGCACTCGTGAGTCGTGACAAGGAACTTCAATGTTTTCTCAGAACTGTACCAAAAGGGTTTGATAAAGAGTTTCTGTTGTTATGGAGAGAAATAAGACTTGGAGCAAGCCATTTAGATATGCACTCATTAATATAGACTACAGCCCCCAGCCTTTTGTATTCTTGTTCGATCATTGAAAGTAGATGAAATGTCCCTATAAGATGCTGCTATCTAATAAGGAATGAAGCGAATGCACAAATACACCTCCTTTAGAAGTGATCAAGCATTATAAGCACTCTTAATAGTGCATTGTCATGCCCAGGCTTTTAATCCGCCCGAACTCATACGAGGCACGAGATGTCCATTTTCTGAAAGCTACTGAAAACTTTTAAAAGACTAGGCTAAATGCAATGGGAAGTAAAATTATCTAAAAGAGTCTTTGTACATTTTTATGGAGTTGCCACGTAACACCAACATAAGGTGTGTTAGACCTCCTGATCCAGGTTTTATAAAGAAAAAAAAAGTTTTCATGGCTATTTGGAAAGGTTTTAGAAAAAGAAGTTTGATGGCTATTTGGAAACATACTTCTGAAGATTATTTTGGAAAGGCCCTTTTTTGTTTACATTAATCGAAGGGTACTCACTCATACAAGAGGAAGATGTTAGTCACTGTAAAACATATATAAGAATGGTTATCATAAATCTTTACAATACTCCCTATTTTGGCTATCAATCTTGACCAAACAGTTGTGTGTGGTATTGCCTAAAGGCCAAAGTGGAATTCATATGAAAAATCATACGGAATGCGTCAAAGGTGACTTCTACCTAAAGGCCAAAGTGGAATTCATATGAAAAATCATACGGAATGCGTCAAAGGTGACTTCTACCATAAATAAGACAATAGCCATTAGAGGTCATTCGGGATGTCACCTAAGTCATGCTGAGACTTAGTTTCGCAAAAGTCATGGAAGGAAGGGTCTTAGGAGAACATGGGAGTATTTGAACAACAACAATAACAACAAGAAGCATGCCTTTTCCCAATTACTTGGGGTTGGCTACATGAATCTTACATTTTCATTCCGCTCTATTTAAGGCCACAGCCTTCAAGCCACATGCTAACACGGGAGTATTTGAAATATTTTAAAAACCAAAAGATTCATGAGAATAGAAAGAAATTGCTTGGGAAGAGCTTACTTGTGATGTAAAAAGGATCTTGGACACCACGAAGGGTTTTACAAAACAAGTAAAACGTTTTCTGAAGAAAAACATGTGAGGGAAATATGTTTTATGAAACCAATAGTGTTTTGGAAACAAGATATTGAAAGTGAATAAGCAGCAATAAGAGAATAACTGAGGCATTTTTCAAAAACATTGATGAGGACTTGGGAGAAGGAAGCATAATTTTGAAAACATGTAGAGGATATAAAGAGTGCTTCAGATAAGAAACGAATCATATTTTATATAATCCTATGTGTACTGACAATGCCCAGTAAGCATGACCACAAGAAGACTACATTCGCCAAAAAACAATTTAATTAGATGCTGTCAAGTATCTAACATAAAAATTATATTCTTATTTGAACCCCAGCCATTCTATATACAGCCAACCACAGAAAACAAGCAATATGCCAGATCTATAGGATCTTAAAATCAGAACAAATTCCTGCCACATGGAATGAGAAAAGGACATGGTACTATAACATTTCTCATGTCCAATGATAAAAGATATCCATCTTATGTCAATATGCCACATTACTTACTTCCAACTGCATTATAACCAGAACCATGAGCTGATCGATTGCCATAATAAAAATAAAATAAGAAAGACTTCCTAACAAGGTCCATTAAACTTCATTTATGTCTCTGATGTATTATATGAATAATGAGACTCTAAAAGTTGGTTTTCGACACACTATACGATCTCAGGAGACTCTAGAGAAGCAGGGAAAGGAAAAAAAACATTCAAGCTGTATAAAAGCTGGGATGATATTGTAGTTTGTACCAAGAATATGGGACATAAAATTCCATAGAAATTGAGAAAATATAAATGTCACGGTGGATTGGAAATACTACAAGCAACTGAATCATGTCATATGCAAAGATTTTTTCGTACCACAATAAACTATTGCCTGCAATATGAATAGGATATAATTTATAAGCACATATTTTAGTATTTTCGATGGCTAACAACATCATTAATGATCTTCTCAAGACAATTCAAATATTCAACTGGCTCAATATCGCCAACGAACAAAAATGTGTGTGTGTATACATGCATCTATAGAGAAAGACATCACTACTACAGAATTTTCGGGGTGGAGTATCCATGGTCTTGGATTAAGACTGTGTTTCAAGAAAGAAGAAGAAGATGATGATGATGCAGAAGATAATAATAGCAAACTCACACTTCAATTATGGACTTCAGGAAGGGAGCTGCTTTCTCTATTCCATCAATGTTAGCAAGTGTCTGCACAAATGCTATTGGAATCATGAAAAAGAAGGTGAGGAAGAAGAATGCAACAGCAATTATAAGCCTCCTAATTGAGAGCGAAACATATGGGATTGCCAGGTTATCCCAATAAATATCACGTGGCTCTGGAGCCCACTCGGTTAACCATATAGTTGGGTTTCTGGATTGTTGAGTTTGTGCACAAACAGCAGCTCCCCATCGAGTTTTGAAGGAGACAAATGAAGCTGGCATTATATATTTAGGATTGGTGGTAATAGTCTCTCTCTCTGCAGATATCTGACAATGATCCACCCATAATAATCAGAGTAAGCAATGAACCAATATCAAACTGTACAGTAAAATGTAAAACACATTCTATAAATTATGCCCTATTTTAACGAGTTTTTTTTTTTTTTTTTGATAAGTCTATTTTAACGAGTTTTGAAGGAGACAAATGAAGCTGGCATTATACATTTAGGGTTGGTAATAGTTTCTCTCTGCAGATATCTGACAATGATCCACCCATAATAATCAGAGTAAGAATTGAACCAATATCAAACTGTACAGTAAAATGTAAAACACATTCTATAAATTATGTCCTATTTTATCCAGCCATGAAACTAAAGTTGTAGAAAGAACAGTTTCTTTAATCTCTAAAAATAAATAAATAAAACTATAATAATGTTAGGCAGATAAAATGGAACACCCTCCTAAAAAATGCTATGTCACGAGAAAAGCCAGTCATTTAAAAAATGCTGGTGTAATGTGTTAAAATCTGAAGGCCTTAAATGTGCATCCACATACCAAGCAGAACATATAGTAGAAGGAGGTCTCGAACTAGTAACACAAAGTAAAAGAACATAAGTCTACCACTCAATATGGACTTACAATCCTGACAGAAGTGAGAAATTAAAGGCATTAGCCCATCATGATTCCTAAAGCACAGGAAAACATCCATTCCTCCCTTCTCTTGGACATCTCTAGGATTAACTACCACGATCTAAATTTCCTTATGCTTCGGCCAGGTTTCAATGATCCGGCATCTTCGTGCGTTAAGATCATGCAGTAACATTTCTGAGGTAGCTTGCTAAGTGCAGCTCATGGTATTGAATTTTTGAATGACTTTGTTATAAGGGTGTTGCTTTTAGAGAAATCCAAAAGAAAACCTACAGAACTTTTGAAATTTCAAAGATTCAACCAAAATTCACATAATAAAAATTGAATAAAAAATATTATGTAAAACTTGAATACTCAAAACTTTGAACAAAAGAAAATTCTATAGCATTATGATCCAAACAATCATAAATTGTTGGGGGGGGGGGGGGGGGGGGGGGGGGGGGACTTTAAAGATACGCCAGCTCCTCAATAAAGGATGGTAGAATGAGGTGTTGGAAGGACACTCGGTGTATTAATGCCCCTTTGATGCTGATTTCCAGAACCTTCTATATTTTGAATCATAAGGAGGCTCTTGTCTCATATGATGCTTGGTTTCCGGAGAGAGTTCTTTGGGAAGTGCAGTTCATAAAAGTGTTAATGTATTGGAGTTATTGTTAGTCGATGCATTCTTTAGTTTGTTGTATGGATTTCAGATGAGGAGTGATGCTGGTTTCTGAGAATGCAAGAAGCCAGAAAATTTTCAGGTTAAGTCTTCTTATAAGGCGTTGGTTGTTGATGGGTGTGGAGACTCTAGGTTAACCTTGGAACCCATCTGCAGAGCCAAAATACCTTCCAAAGTGGGCTTCTTTGTACAGATGCTTCCTTGGAAAAGATTCTAACTATGGTATTATGCTTTGATCATTGTTTGGTGTGCAAGGTGCACTAGGTGATATGGAGTTCGGTTTTAGAGGTGTTGACAACTTGGACTGGTAGAAAGTGAAATCATTAGGAGGAGAGTGGGCCGGTGCATGCTGCATGTGCATTTGGAAGGAAGAATAGACATATCCCCAATAGTTTTCTTTTCTGGTTCATGAGCTGACATCATGTTCAATTCCTTGATCTTGCGGTTGTCGCATAAGAATACTTTGTCCATGTTGATTTCTTAGGTGACATGTTTCTTGGTTAGAGCCTTGTTTAATGTTGGATGACCTAAAATATTAATTAGCTGAGCTAAGTTTAAGAATATAGTTATTTTTGAAACAAAAAAAAAAACTTTTAGAATGTAGTTATTTATAGTAATTAGAAAATACCTTTTAACATATAGATTTTGAAAGCTTAAAACTTTTACCTTTTTTATTTAAAAATAAATAAAGAAGATTTTACTTCTATTATATATATATGGTCAACCTAAAATTGATGCAACAAACAACCATTCAATGTTTCATCAACATATGTTGATTTGTTATCAACTTTTTCAAATAAAAGAATTGAGTATAATGGCTATCAGTCCTATGTAGATTTCTACCTTGCCGCGACAAATGTGAAAGCAAAATTTAAACTTATAGGCTACATATACATTGTTTCTGTTGATATTGTTACAAATAAGTGTTAACAACATCTACTCTAATGCTACGTTTGGTGTGCATGAATGGAATGGAATGCAAGTGGGAATGGAATGAGAATGGGAATGGGATGTAACGCCCATTCTCATTCTATTGTTTGGTTGTATGAAACACATAGGAATGGAATGATAATAACCATTCTATTTTTTGGTTGGACCAATTTAAAATTTAGAATGGAATGAATTTCAAATGGAATTCTCCAAAATACCCTATTACTGACAAATAAATTAAATTAACAGAATAGCATTCTTTTCCAATATTTTTAAAAGAAATTACGCAGGTGGTAGATGGTGGTGACGATGGTGGTTATGGTAGAAAGTGGTAGTGGTGTAGGTGGTGGTGTTGGAAGGCAGTGGTGGCAGAAGGCAATAGTGGTGTTGGTGGAAGGCGGTGGCGGTGGCAGTGGCGGTGGAATTACTGGTGGTAGTGGTGTCAGGTGTCCATGGTATAGGTGATGATGGTGGAAGGCAATGGCGGTGGCAGTGGCGTGGTGGTGGTGGAAGGCGGCAATAGTGCAGGTGCTGGTGATGGAAGGCAGTGGAGGTGATGATGGTGGTGGTGTTGGAAGGCACTGGAGGTGGCGGCCGTGGTGGAAGGCAGTGGTGATAGAGGTGGTCGTGGTGGAAGACGGTGGTGATCGTAAAGGTCGGTGGTGGTGGCGGTGGCGGTGGCAATAGAGGTGGCGGTATTGGTGGAGGTGGCGGCGGCGGTGTGGTGGTGGTGGAAGGCGACAACAGTGGTGGCGATGGGAGTGGTGGAAGGTAGTTGTGGTGTAAATAGAAGGTGGCGGTGGTGGTGGTGACGGCGGCGGTAGCGGCGGTGGTAATGGTGACAGTTGTGGTGGCAATGACAATGGTGGAAGGCAATGGAAGTGGCAGTGGTCGATGGTGGCGGCGGAAGTCGCTGGTGGCGGCGGCAGTGTGGTGGTTGAAAGTGGAAACAATGGTGGTGATGGCAGTAGCAGTGGTGAAAGCCAATGGACGTAGCGGCGGCGGTTGTGGTAGAAGGTGGTGGAAATCAACGGATGTGGTGGTGATGGTAGTGGTGGAAGCCAGTGGTGGTGGAAGGTAGTAGTGGCGGTGACAGTGGTGGTGTTGGAAAGCAGTGGGGGGGTGGCCGCGGTGGTGGTGGCGGTGGCGGTGGAAGGCAGTGGTGGTGTTGGTGAGTTTTGGACTTAGAACATGATGGTTTTTTCGGAATTTGATTTTTTTAAAATTTTACTTGGGAATGGAATGGTCATTCCATAGGTTTAGTTGTGGTATTGATTTTCATTCCAATAGAATGCCCATTCTCACTTTAAAGTGTATACTAAACAAATGAATGGTTGGAATGGGCATTCCATTCCATTCATGCACACCAAATGCAGCATAAAAGCTTAAGCTGTTAGAAACGGTGTCACATTACTATTTATATCCTCTAACACACCCCTCACGTGTGGCCTTCTTTCTGGTCCAACACGTGTTTTCAATTTTAATTATCAGGGTGATGGTCAGGTTTGAATTTGAGACCTTTGGCTCGGATATCATGTTAACACTAAAGCTATTAGAGAGGGTGTCACATTACTATTTATATCCTCTAACAATAAGGATGTACATAATTGAATGTAAAATTTGCTTTATATGTACAAGAGATAGGAATATATCCACCCTCATCATTTTACCTTCCGAAAAAAAGAATTATTTATATTGGTTTTTGAGCTCATTTGTTTAAAGACTGCAAAGCTATTTATCAGTGGTTGGGAGCAAATATTGGGTTTTGAGCTCATTTATTGTGATCATATGCACCTGATCATGTCCTTTAATGTTGAGAATTATACACTTCGTTTGGCACCGAGGAAGCAAATCACATCACAAACATAGAGACCCAATCACAAAACAAACAACATAAAGAAACACGAACGGACAGATTAACATGGTTTGCTGAACTCGACCTACGTTGGAGAAGAAATTTCAATAATCATGAATCAAGAAGAGAATATACTAATGGTAGAGAATGCCTACCCATTTATTGCATCTCTCTACTCTCACCCACTCTCTTCTCTTCTCACTCCTCCATTCTGTTTCTTCTCTGCCTTCTCCACCCAACTCCACATCTATTTAGAGTTCCTAACCCAACTCCTTGTAGGAAGACTTTATTAACAAGAAATTACCTAATCAAATACAACTCTAATTTAGAAACCTAATTAGACTAAAATTTGAGCACAATACATAACATTTAATCTTATAAACCTTTGTAGATTCTGTTTCCCCATATGGAAAGGAGAATCTTTCAAGATTGCAAGCATAATATATATATATATATATATATATCTACAGCTATTAAGAATAGTGCATTATGCGCTGTGTGTCTGCTTATACGGGGTGCTTTTCTTCTCCTTTTATTTTTCTCTTTAATATTCTGCTTTCTGTAACTTTTAAAAATCCAAAAGCAGCACTTGTAACCCTTTTTCAACACTCTAATCTTACTTTGATAAACTCAATTGCTTCCTCCACAGAAAGGTTCAATTACAGCAACCAAACCCACAAAAGAAGTCAAGTTAAGTTCATGGGTTATTATTCAACCCCTCTAACCCTAATCAACATCAATGCTTTTACCTACCTTTAACCTTTAATTAACTTCTAAAACCCAAAGAACTAATACAGAAACTCTCGCAATTAGTTTTCAAATTATTACAATATATCACTTATAAAACCAAACCAATTCCAAACGTTTTCCATCTATAAAGCCTGTAAACCTTCTTTCTACTTATTACAACTCTAAGCCCACACCATAAAATCAATTGTAGGCAGCATTACTTTTAGTTTCCTAGTACTTTCATATAATATTACCTCCTCCAAAACATTTGTCATGTCATTTGTGTTAAAAGATATAAAAGTTGACGAGAGAAATTTAACATGAAGAACACAAAGATATACGTGGTTCAACCACTAGGGCTTACATCCATGGCACACAAAGCCCAAATGGCTACATCACTTTCTTCGTATTCTTTCTTATTTTTGTATACAATGATTACCTCTATTTATAGGTGAAAGAATACAAACATGTGCTAAATATGATATGTAAAAGATTCCTAAAACCACTCCCTTGATTCACTCATATCAATATTCTGTCAAGGAGTGATTTAAGGGCTTTAATCACTCCTATAATGATATTCTCCAACAATTTGGACCATTATCAAATCACCTTCTTTGATAGCTTTAGTCAAATTTTATGGTTCGAAATTCAGATTGCAATATTTTAGCACCACTGCTGGTTCCTGATATGATTGACTCAACATAACAGAAAAAACACCAACTAAACCAAGATGATTGGATAGAACACTATTATACAATAGATCCAGACTTAAGTGATCACAGCCACTTCATCACCTACCTTCAGAATGTGAGCGAGAAGCCCTAGATAGCACACGGAATCCATCCCTCCCCACCAGAACCCCCAAAACAAGGGATGTTGATAATTGATGAATTTGACAACAATATTCTGGCAGATGAAAGGTCCTTAAAGTTGTCTGTTTCATGATACACGGAAATATAATTCTTCACAGACATCAAAAAGGATATCTTCAAGAAAGACTTCAGTGAAGTACTTAAAATTAATCACAAAAAGCAAAGCATTTAGATTCCCTTTTACTAAAATAAAAAGAAACACGAGAAATGGAAAATTTTCAACACATCCATGTATGTATATGGGACATAAAGTTAATAGGTCACCTTTCTTCTAATATTCATACAGTAATAAATTCCTGTGTAGTATAAAGTGAGGATAGCTAGAGCATATTTAGGAAGCTCAACACAAGGGTAAAATAATAATAATAAGTTTGGAAAAATGAGTAATAACAATATCAACATTTAGCACTTACTTCTTCTGATAGCTTCTCAATCTCTGATGTATAAAAATCAATGGCATCCACTCTCTTCCCCCATAGGCCAAGAAAACCAGTCTGCTTAATGAAAAAAGTTCCCTGACAAAAAGTTAGTAATGAATTCTAGGATACAGCATGATGTAACTTTTTTCTAAAGCTCGCATAAAGCACTATTTTTAAAGATGTCAAATGACTATAAAGTCATTAACTGTACAATACCTTCACAGAGGGTCTTTTTGATTGATTTCTAGAATATTTCAGCTGATAGTAGTCAAGCCAGTTCTGCATTCTTTTCTTCTCCTTGACTAATTTAGAAAGTTTATTTGCATTGCACACAACCTGCATGCAAATGTCTAAGTAAAAGAAGTTTATAGCATTTCATCCACACAGTAATTGGTTCTTTGAGTTTATGCAGTACAAGTGTGAGAACAATACTATATTAGATAGATATAAATGAAATTTGTATACAACCTAGAGATCATTATTTAGAAAATAAATGAATTCAAATGTACAATATAAAATGAGCTTGATACCCACATGATAAACAGTCAGGAGCAATGCTGGTATTATCTGAGTCACTGAGAAAGAATGGTTTCTGAAGTTGGTTTCATGAATAGCCAGTTAATAAACCTAAATATTTAAAATATCCTACAAAGGTGGGGATTTACTAGTTTTAAGTGTTAAAATAGCCTCCGAAAGTTTCAAAAGCACAATTCATTAAATATTCACATCCTCTTAGAAGGTCAGGCAACACTGGTATTATCTGACTCACTGAGAGAGAATGGCTTGTTAAGTTAATTTCAAGATACTAAAAAAGGGTGGGGGATTTATGAACTTGAAGTGTCAAAATAGCCTCCAAAAGTTTTAAAAGTAAGTCCCAACTTACCATTTTTTGGGTAGCCTTCCATCTCCCACAATCATGCCCATCAGCTAATTTAAACTAAAACATAAGTCACTGAATCTTAAACAGGAAAAAAGGGCTAGCCCAGTGCACGAGGCTCCCACCATTACTGGACAGGCTGCTTCCGTTTTGAACCCGTGACCTCTGAGTCACAGTGGAGCTACCTTACCGTTGTGCCAAGGCCCACCCACACTGAATCCTAAACTGAAGTTCATCTTAAATATACAATTTGAAGTCCAGAACAGTCCCCACAGAAACCATACTATTTAACTTTTAAAATAGCTTAATGGTAATTGAACACTCTCAATCAGTCAATCACACTTCCAAGTTTACAGTCAGCTGGTTTTGACCCAATTTAAAATGCAAATAAAGAGAGGCAAGAGTGAGAAAGAAAAAGGAAAGAAAGGGTGAAAAAAGAAGAAGGAAAATAATCATATCCGTGATTGTCATTTCTCTGCAACTAATAGAAATTCATCAAATAAAACATAACACAAAAAGACAGTACATGAGAGATGTAAAATCCCAAACCTCAACACTACATACCAAATTACAGTCTAAATAAGACTAAAATGAGGACTACTTCACAACTTGGAACATTTAACCTTAGTCCAATAACAGGCCTTAGTACAGTGTACATTGAAGCCACCTCCTCAAGACTCTTAGCTTATCAACATAGATGGGAGTGCTGCCTGATAGTAGAGGAGGCTCAGAAGTAATCATTAGGAAACAAGAAAGGTGGCCGTCAAACACCTTTGCTAGTCCTAAGGTACCAAAATAACAGCGTACTACCAAAAATCAGTGGCAAAAGGTAATAAAAGTTGGAGGTGGAGGTTGATCTTAGCCTGATGACCATACCTCCCATATTCAAGAAATAAATATAGATATCCTAATAAACTATATCAAACCTCTATTGAAAGTCAAAGGAATAAAAAATTAATCTCTGAAAATCCTCACAACCAAGCCCTTCATTTTCAGCTAACATATAAAGAAACCGTCTAATAGACACAAGATTCACCGACGGAGATCATGATGGGTCTCCTCACACGCTTTCTGCGATACACATATATTTAGGCGTAGGCTCAAGACTTCTAGGGTATTTTGTTATTTTGGGGGTTTTAGTATTTGACAGGAGTTTGAGTCGTTTGACTGTTTACTACACTTTTTTTATTTTGGTTTCTTATATATATGCTTTGGTGCCATAGGGGGTTTTACGCCAGACTTATATGCTTTGTATTGATAATATTGCAGACTTCTCTTACTCCCTGAGATTTCTTTCTTCTGTTTAACTTCCCTATTCTTCTTCTCCTCTTCCCTTTCTTCCCTCTTCTCTCTTTATTGTAGGACTCAAGGAAGTCTCAAATAGCTGAAATAAGAAGCATGAAGTGGATGAAATTTAAGATAGTACATGGCTAGAGTTTACAGTCAGATTGTAGGAATGTAAAATTTTAAAAATGAGAAAAGAAATGAGGAATAAGAGAAACATATTGAACATAGAGGAAAGGCATATAAATTCTGTAGAAAAAGCATATTAAATTCTGAACATAGTTTTTAAATTTTAATGGAGTAGTAGCAGGACGAAACCTGATAAGTGAGATAGTGATCTGGATGGTTGACCATGAAAAAATGCTCCACAAGCTGACTGACTGATTCATCAGGGTCTGGCGGCACATTTTTAACAAGTACCTACACAAAAATGTATAAAGTTCAGAAATAAGAAATGAGACGCATAACGCTGATGGAAACAACAGTTTAGAAGCACCACAACTCAAACTGGCATTTTGTTATGACCACAAATCATCATCATCCTTACCTTAATCCCATATGAATGGGGTGTGCCACATGAATTCTCTCTCTCAAAGTTTTTCTATTACATGCTAATTCTCCTACTATATTTAACTTTTTATAACCATTTTTAATAACCTCATCCCTGTTATTTTTTGCTGCCCTCTCCGTCTGTTTCCTTCTATTACAACTAGTCTTCCTTGTTTGACCAGCATGTAGCTAGGCCTCTGATATATGTCCAAACCATCTAAGTCTACTCTCTCAAGTTTTCTCACCAATGGGTGCTACACCTAGTTTTCCTCTCACACTTTCATTAGGGACCCTATCTCTTCTAGTCACTCCACTCATCCATCTTAACATGATTTTAAACCATCGAATTTGTGTTATGAACACAAATCATGTTTTTAAATAAGAAAGATTGAACTATAATAAATATCTTGTAACAAAAAGGACCAAAAAAAATTGATTAATTGCTACCAAGAATTCACCTTATATAATTAATTGTTGTTGGTTTTAAACATATTAAGTGAGGGTAAGGCTTAACCAACAGTAGGTGATGAAGAACCAGGCCTGACCTGAGAGCTTGAAGTCCATACGGCCCATGCCTATTATTGGAGACGTGGGAAGGAAAGATAGAATTAAGAATTAAGAATTTTGACTTTTGACTTTTATTATTATTATTATTTGATTTTAGGATTTCTATTTATGGTAATAGTTTGATTAGGGTTTTTCTTCGATCCCTATATAAGGTTGGTCAAGACATTGTGAAAGGAAGCTTTGATGATTGATTATTGATTATTATTCAGAAATTATTGTGTTTCTTCTCCCTCTGTGATTCTTCTCTTCTCTCTCATTCTGATTTCTTCCCTTATTATTCTTATTCTATTTCTCTCTCAATCTCCTTCTTAACTTCTTTCTTATTTACTTGAATTATGTTCTCGAATTGCCCCTACCCGCTACTGCATCAGTAGGTTTCCAATTCCAAATGATCTACATCAAATTGAAGAAGATAAAAGAAACATACCAACAAAATTTTCTTGAGTATGACTCCCAAATTGTTCCACACATGGGAAAAAGTAATAATAATAAGGATGGCAATTAAGAGTTTATAGCCGGTTCCTCCCATACTAGGTGATGCTCACCTTGGAATCACTATTATGTGCAATCTACTTATAAGCTTTGCAAGACTCATGTATGGTTCTCTTGTGCCAAATCTTATTATTCTTATTCTATTTCTCTCTCAATCTCTTTCTTAACTTCTTTCTTATTTACTTGAATTATGTTCTCGAGTCGCCCGTACCCGCTACTGCATCAGTAGGTTTCCAATTCCAAATGATCTACATCAAATTGAAGAAGATAAAAGAAACGTACCAACAAAATTTTCTTGAGTATGACTCCCAAATTGTTCCACACATGGGAAAAAGTAATAATAATAAGGATGGCAATTAAGAATTTATAGCCAGTTCCTCCCATACTAGGTGATGCTCACCTTGGAATCACTATTATGTGCAATTTACTTATAAGCTTTGCAAGACTCATGTATGGTTCTCTTGTGCCAAATCTTCCATTATGAGGGGACCTCCAACTACCTTAAAACTTATTCAGATTCTTGAGAAACTCAAATCGTGAAACAATTTATGGTTTAGATAAAGGCAGAAGACACTATAATTGAGAAATTACCAAAAGTATATTAAAGTTTCCATAATCGACTTTTTGTGATCAAGTCAAAAGCTATCATTTAGTACTTGTTTCAAATATGAGTAATCACCATCAACAGTGTACTACTAGATATCTTTGATGACTCCACTAATATTGCACTTGCCTTGTGATACAAAAAGGCTTTCACACACAAATTTGAACAGTTCCAACATGCCCAAACCTTCGAATATTAGGGAAGAAGAAAGCTCCCATGTTTCATCATCGATATCTGCTCGTGCAGCTTTCATTTCCCACTTTATTCTTTTTAAATGATTTACCAAGAAAAGGACTTTCAACCGTGATGTTTATTCATCATTCCTCGAAACTTGCTATTAGTTTAAACATGCACCCCAATTGATGAGGCCCAAACCAAGACCACATATTAGCATGAGTCCAAGAGAGAAGATTTCTACATCATTAAGCTTATTCAAGAAATATTCATGAAAAGGTATGGAATCAGGTGAAAGCATTAAAAAATGCACAATTCTAATATAAAAGTAGTTTATAAACTTCAACAAAATGATAGACTACATTAATCAAAGTCGATATGGAAATATCCAACATTATAACTACCCTGACTATCTCTGTATGACATATACGTTCTTTTCGAGTTTTTCAAACCTTGAAGTTATAATCTTGAATTAAATATTACTCATAATTCTAGATCATCCAAGCCAATTAAAGAAACTAATTGAAACCAAGGAGTAAAAGTATAGTCATTTGTATTCATTAGTCTTATGAAAGAAATAGTTGGCTTACGGTAAATTGGTCTGGGCGCCGATGCTCTGATGCAAGAAAATGCAACCTCATTGATGCTATTATCTCATACTCCTTTTTCAATACATAGCACGTCCAGAAGGTAAAGACATAAGCCATTACCAAATGGGTCCAGAATCTGCAACCCGAAAATAAGTAGAAATTTATTGAAGCAGCATAATTGCAAATCAAAGTCGCTATTACGTTTTGAAAGGAAGACCACAAAATCATAAATAATCTAATAAACCAGCTGCAATAGCTAAGGTGCCATGCTGAGGGGCACACTCTGCATTCTATTTGGGGAATTGCCAGAAAGTCCCAACAAGGTTCTCTAACTCATATACTAGGAAGTGGCATAGCCTCCAGGCTTCTTTTGAGTTTGTAAGTGTGTGTGTGGCCTTTAGATCATTTTAAAAACAGTGTTAATACACACTTCAAGATTTATAGTACATATGAATCAATGTTGCTGTCGTAAAAAAAGCAGTTGTTTTTCCATGAGAAAACTATTGGACCATAACCCTAAATATTGATGTAGAGTAGCGCGAGGCCCGTGATCTAAATTAAAGGGGTGAATAGGTTTGTTTAATTAATTGATTTTAACTAACTTTTGAATTTTAACTAGATTAAGGACAACTCAAAAATTAGATAAATCCATTCATCATATTTTAAAAGCATCTATAAATATGTAAGGTAAAGCATTAGCACAATAAAAACAGGATTTTAATGTGGACACCCCAAGGAGAAAAATCACGGGATCTAGTCTAGACTAATCAAATCCACTAAGATTCCATTTGGTTTAGATGGAATCAACTAGAAGAAAAAGGAAATAGATTTAAATTTTTTTTTTAGAGTTTGGATAGAGTGAAAAGGAAAAGTTCTCGAAAATAGGATTCCCGCACTTGGCTATTTTCTCCCAAAAGGTTTCTCGCACAAAACACGTGAAAATATTTCGCATGAAAGAAGCACCTTTTATTTTACATTCCGATTTACCCAACAACAACTTCATTGTTTTTCTACTGATTTCAAAGGACTGCAGACCAACAACTTCATAGTTTTTCCTGTGGGTTTCAAAGAACTGCAGACCTGGGTGAAGGCAAGTTCTCTCTCAAATTATTTAGCTATATGTATGGAATATCAAGTAATATCCTGTGTGCGTGGACGGATCTAATCTTTGATAGTAATAGTACAAGCATAAAATTGCTATAAGTTAATCCCAAACCAAGGTCCTAAAATCATTGGACGCCCCTCTCGACTCCTACTCTCAATCCCATATATATATATATATAAGACTCAATTTCACTCATATAAAAGATAATCCTGGACTGTATATTTAAAGTGTTTCTTCTAATCTAGCTTCATCAGAAAGACTTGATACATAGAAAATTTGTCTGAGCACCCATTTCTTTATTGAACTAGATGTTGCTTCCAATCTTTATTAGTGATTAGATTTCTGAATGAATTCATTTTGTTGTTGCCTACAGCAGCTGAAAGTACATCGTAACTTGTAGTAAAGCTGAGGTCTATGAAACTGAGATGAGACTCTAAAGAATGAGGTGCATGGTTTGTGGCATTTCAGAGCAAGGACTGGTGAAACACAAAATTTTATTATTCTACTATTTTATATAAAAAGCGCAATTTAGGTAAGTACAAATATTTTCTAGCAACTTTCATGGAATCCAAACTATAAAATGGTATTTTCCAACAACTTTCTTGAAAAAAATTCATGCCAAAAAATCATTTTTATTTTCTTTCACTTTACTTTCTTTTCTTTTCACTTTCCACTATTATTTTCTATCTATCCAAACACTAACTTAACGAGAAAGAGATCATATAACTATGTTAAAAGTTTCCCCAAACCCCTAAAAAAAACCTAGTTACCTCCTGACACAAATGGACGCCAATGTCCCCAATCGAGTCTGTAGGTCGTAGGCTCCATCAACAAATCCATGCCTCACGTAATTTGCTTCTTCACAAACACTGTGATCTCTACAACTAGTTTGTCCAAGCAGTGTGTTTGTTGTGTAGAACTCCTTGTTGGTGTTGAAATCTCCATAGGCTCATCAAAAGTTGATAATCAACACCTAAATACATACTCACTATACTAGATTCTATGATGATACTGAAAAAACAAAGTTCTAGCAAGAATTTGCTGGGTAGCACTCAAAATCCCTATATATGCTCTATTGTCTATCAAAGTGCCTTGTTCTATATGTATTAGGATTTTGTTTAAGGAAGTTCCAAAACATGGTTATGCAGTTCAAAAAGAATTCTTATGAATCAAAACATGTAAAGTATGAAACTCTAATTGATGAATGTATGAACCATTAGTGAGTACGTATACGAGTGTTGAGTTTACCTTTTTGCCCTTATATGTAGCTTTGTCTTCCAATTAAGACATTGGACAAAAGGTAAGCAACGAACACCTAGGAAGCATGGATACTTCCCCAGGGTCGTTGTGGCCATATTAGATGCCTATCCAACATGGATATGTGTTCGATACGGATGTATCGGAATTTTAATTTTTTTTGTAATAAAAAATAAAATCAGAAAAGGCTAGTGTTAGGACCTCTATGGGCGGGTGTGATGTGGGCGAGCACTGGCAGGCTACAGGGTGTCATGATCCCACATCGCCTGGGGAAGGTGATATGCTATATATAACATTTAACACTCTTTTATGACACAACACATTTTAAAGCTGTGATGGTCGTGAACCCATCAGAACTCCAAAGTTAAGCGCGTTTACTCTGGAGTAGTACCAGGATGGGTGATCCCCTGGGAAGTCTCTAGTTCGGTTAACTAAAAACGGACAATATTGTGTCTGGGTAGGGTGGGGGTTGTTACAAATGGTATCAGAGCCTGACTCAGCCGAAAGTGTGGCCAACAGGGGGGGTGATTGTGACGACCTTTGTGGGCAGGTGTGATGTGGGCAAGCACTGGCAAGCTACAAGGTGTCATGATCGCACATCGCCTGAAGAATGTGAAGTGTTATATGTAAGGTTCAACACCCTTCTATGACACAACGCGTTTTAAAGACATGATGGTCATAAATCCATCAGAACTCCAAAGTTAAGCGTGCTTACTCTGGAGTATCCATACTAGAATGGGTGACCCCATGGGAAGTCTCTGGTCTGAGGGAGCTAAAAGCGGACAATATTGTGTCTTGGTAGGGTAAAGGTTGTTACATACGGCTGGGCAAAATTGTAAATATTAGAACATACAATTGGATAATATCAACTGTTTAGCTTGAACATATCATTAGATAATATTAGAGGCAACAATTAATTAAATATCATTAAATTGTTTCAGAAAGGGTAGAAATAGAGGCGGTTCTCACAAAAAGAAGTCAAGTGCCAATAAAATGACAGAGTGGTAGATATTCAAAAAAAAAATCTCTTATAATTCAAACTTCCACATAAGAAAATAAAATGTTCACTATTGTCAATTAACAAAGTCCCATTGAATCCTCTCCTCCTTTTGTTGTTCACAAATTATATGTGAACAACACATATTATATGTGAACACAAAAGGAGGAGAGAATTCAATGCTTTTATGCAGTGAAAGTAACACTTAAATGGATCAGGTAAAAATCAAAGACTTAAATGGATCAGGTAAAAATCATTAACATCAATTCCCAAAGGGAAAATCATATTAAGAAAAAAGAAAAAAGAAAAGAAAAGAAATATACGTCAAATTTTAGTGTCAGAAGTCTTGCATACCTACGTGATCCGGCAGGAATGTTTGAGATAGAAAGCTTGTCTATGTCACTGTAAGTTAAATTAGAATGCTCTAAAGTACCATTGGTAAAATTAACTGGCACCATGACTGTGAAAGCAAGGAATGTGATAGGAATGAAAATTTTAAGTCTGCAATCAAGAAAAAGAAAATGAAGCAGAATCAATCCAAGAGAATAGAAGGAATATCATGTTATCAAGAACACGATAAAATGCAAAACAGTATCAACCTAATTTCTTTCTTTCTTTAACTTCTCTACAATCCTTGTATTTATAAAACTCAAAACAACATCACTCTGTTAACATATTATATAGCACCTTTGATCTTCTTTATTCAATAATCATCGTCCTTTAAAAATTTGTTTGAACAAAATGCACTGAAAAATTATTTGCATTTAAAACGTAGATCGCATTGTTTGATACTATTACTTCTAAATTAAATATTTTGTGCCTTTAATTACTTCTTTGATTCAAAGATCAGTAGCTGGAAACATAATTTTACTTTTAATTCCTTTCTTGTGAGGTTGTTTACAAATACAAGAGTCGTAACCACATGGGTTTCTATTCTTGCAAGGGCTAAACTTGTTCACTTTGAAGCTTTTTAATTTTTAAAACAAATTTTTTTTTTTCTGAGTTAAAACACAAACATTCACACAGGGTTTAAAGTTTACACTTCAGGGATCCTGAATAGTGACACTGATAAGGCATATATTATAAATACAAACTAGGTTACAGATGAAACAGATGCAACAGAGGATGACACATGAGTTCAGAAGTTTGTCAATCACAAATTGAGTATGAAATGCTTTTCTCTAATGTTTATCTGATCAATCATAATAATAATCACCTTTTCGGATCTAAATGATTATGGAATCAAATATGTGGTCGAAATCAACTATTAGTGATTCCCACAAACTCAATTATATAGTTTTCTATTGAATTGTATAACAACAATTGGATCCCCAGGACAGACATTAACTTTCCTTAAGTCTAGGTGTGGCTAAAATTTTTTTTTAAAAAAAACTACTCTTCTTCTTCTTCTTCTTCAGCTATTTTAACAAAAAAAAAAAAAAAAAAAAATAGGTATGTTAAATAATAGTGTCTTTAACCTCTTTTCTTTCTACCTATCAATAAATAAATAAATTAAAAAGTTGTTAACCTCTCTTCTTCTTCCTTCCTGTCTTTTTCTTTTCTTTTTAATATCTATAATGATTCACCTTTCAGCCATTTCACAATGAAGTTTTAAACTTATCACGGATTTTTTTTTTTTAAATTGCAAGACATCAGGTATCCCGTATCCCCAACAGCCAACCACACAAGCAACAAGTATATGAAAACGATGGGAACTGAAAGTTATCAGAGCATACCCTGTCAAGTAAATCCTCAGGTAAACAGCAGAGTCCAATCCTGCATGGTCAATAAGCTCGGGTTCTGGCATTTGCAATGCAGCAGGCATCCAATTCAGAAATTTCATGTATGAACGGTAGTCCAAATTGACGAATCTGTGTACAAATGCACCCGAGTGCAATGGACTGCTTCTTAAACCCTTTAGATACCATTTTGGAAAGTAGACCCTATCGTTGAAAGGCTGAAGCCGAATTATAGCAAATGCCACAAAGAAAGCAAATGCACTAAGGATATTGATAGCTGCTGCAACCCCTATATCATTAAGTGAAGCCATTTATCCACTTCAAAAAAGATGAGTAATTTCCCTGTGCACAAGGAGAACTTCTAATATTATATTTCATGTACAAAATCAAAGAAAAGTATGAACTGCTGATCAAGTGCAACCCGTTATTTTGTGATGTTACATGGACTCTTCAAAAGTAGCGAAGTACCCTCGGACATGGGTATGGGATATACGTCCGACACTTTTGGGTGGACATGTAGTTAGAAACCATATCCAATCATTCAATTATATTATATTATTAATTTAAAATGAGTTAAATGCCTAAAATGAACACTATATTAGATAAAAACATTACTTTACTCTGAAAAAAAAGAGTAAAATGAATATTTAGCCGTGTCCATGTGTCCTGTTTAGAGATCTGTGTCCATGTCTTCTTCTGTTTAGAGATTTGACATGTCCGACGCACGGATACATATCCGTGTCCGACACACATATCCGAGTCCAGGTAACATAGGACTGAAGGGTGTAACCTTTGTATATTCATATGTATGCGGTGCATTGTTGCATTATTAGAAGCTTTAAATCTCTAGTACTTTTAACTCTCAGGATTCCATTATAACCGGGTGTCCACAATAGGTATTAATTAGCACCAAAATTTGTCCAGAATAATGAAATAAGACAACACAAAAAAAAGCATTCCATGATGTTGCAGGAACAAAATTACAAATAACAATATCCTGCTCCTACACTCAAAAAAGACTGCCTTCCAGGTTCCAACTGCGCAGAAATGTGTTTTTAAAAGAAACAAAATAATATATATATATAAATCAAGCCAAAGAGATTTAACTTATCAAGGTTCAACAATTTCAATTAGTGAGCTACTTTGAAAAATCTAATTATCACAAGCAATACCAAGTTATTGCACCCGGTAAGTCCAACAAAATCAAGTGTTTTCCAAAGAATTGTGTTGATAACAGCACAATCAGGGTTTTCTTTATGGATACAATTTTGAGATGAAATTAAGATGCATATGAAAGGGAAAAACTGAGAGTTGTTAATTCTTATTTTTTTATTTAGAAAAAAAAAAAAAAAAAAAAATGAAATGAAAATTGTTACCTAGATACACCTTTTGTTTCTTTTTTTTTTTCCAAGTCGACAAAACCTTAAACCCCAAGTTCTTCAGATTCGTTGAATCGTATGTCATCATATCTATCCTTATTGCCACAACCTTAAAATTGTGTATGATCTGTATAAATGCGTGTATGCGTGTGTATTCATACATATATATATATATATATACGTACAGCTGCATATACATTGTAAACTCTAGAGACGAACACGATTAAAAAGAAATTCAAAGAAACATACACTTCAATCTCTGAACTTGACTTCTGTCCAGTGCTTGATAAACCCAAAACTCTTTCAAAACTAAGTCAAATCGTTACGTTTCGAGTTCAAATTGAACTGCTTGTCCTAACTTGAGAGGAGAAGAAGAACAGATCGGACACGAAACCGACAAAGTTCACGGTTATAGTTTTACCAAAACGACAACGTCCAGAAATTTCTTGCCAAATGGAGTGAGATTCTTCGCTAGAATGCGCCGAAGATGGTGAGAGATGTAAAAAAGAAAATGACATGAAAATATAAACTAAAAAGCGCCTGAGACAGCGAAACAATTGATGGGCTGAATGTGAACAGTGCTTTGCCTATTTAATTCTTCAGTTTGGTTTGCTGTCGGCAATTAAAAAAGTTATAACGGCTACTTTTCTAAGCTCTGTGACAAATGTACTAGTGTACTACGTAGTATATTATTTTCGTCCTTGTCTAACCTTTTTCTTTTTCCTTTTCTTTTCTTTTCCCCTTCAAAAGCACAGGAAAATTAGGAGAGATCTAAAAATCGAAAAACCAAAAATATATAAAAAAAAAGAAAGTCACGTGATCCAAATATAACACATTGAAATAGTAAAACTTTTCAAAATATTATTTGTATCATTTTAAGAGCATATTAGATGGTTTAGTAAATAGAAAATGATTCGAGTCCATGTTAAAATTTAGGAAGATCTGATCCAATACATAAAGGAGGATCCAAATTCACATTATTCTTTATAAGATCCAAATACACAGAAGAGGATCCGAGTTCACATTATACTTCAGAAGATTCGATCAAATGATCAGGAGATGATTCGAGTTCTTGTAACTACTTCAAGACAATGGCCGATACATCTTTTATATATATATATATATATATTTGTTTTGCTTTTCTGGCTTGGCTTGGCTGAATAGGGATATATATTAATTGCAATATATGACCCTATATACAGTTGTACAGGGTGGTGTGATCCTAAAATATCAACATTGCTTGAATGCGTATGAAGAAATATATACATGTAAGACGAGTTATTATCAGCAATAATACACAAGGTGCTGTCTGCTGTGTGTTTTCCATTTCCACACATCCACGTTCAGGGTGGCACCTACTTGCCTGCTACCAAATTGGAGAAATCGGATTTTGAAGAGACGTCTAAAATGGTACATGGTACCACTACAAAGAAATTATATATTTGATAGCCAGAAATCTACAACCAATGCCATTCACATGACCCACAGCCCTGCCCTGAATTCAGGGCAGTGGGTTGAATAGTTCATAAAATATTACAATTGCCACAGAACAATCATCAGATTAAACTCCAAATAAACAGCACATCTCCTCATTTGTTGGCAGTGAAACCACATCCACCAGTGCCTTATAAATGTAGGTCAGTAACTCATTCCAAAATCACACGAAGTGAAAGAGAAATTACGGGATTAGTTCTTTTGATGAACAGCAATTCGGTGAATGTCCATCTCCTTCAACATGACAGAGCGTCCGCATGAATCACATGGAGCAGTTCTTGACCCACACTCACTCTCGTGTTCCGAAAGTCCTCTTAATCTGTCCCTTGCATCTGCAGCAGAATTGCCAGCTTGAACCATATCCCCACAAAACCGACATGTAATTAAGCGCAAGGGGCAATCTGAGGATTGGTGTTGCACCTGCAAAAAGATAAAGGCAAGGAGGAAAGGAATTAAAACAAGGCAATTGTATTAACAAACTTATGTTACAATATAATGGCTAAATTTTAAGGTTTCATCTCCTAAATTTTTCTCCGTTCATTTTGGCCAATGTAGATAATATCGTTCAACCAGACACAAGAAATTTCTGAATTTTGGGATTTAGCAAGAATTTCAAATTTGGACACAGACCGAGCCAAGTTTATGACATCATTACTTCAAATACTCTGTCCTGTATACCATCCCATAAACTGGGAGCTGAACACCTCAATCTGACAGGTCCAAATGGACTTATTGCCCAATGCCCTTTGAAAGAAAATTATTCAAAATCAACACTGATCAAGCGTCACATTTTTGCAAGTCAGAAAATTTATGGAATTTTTTTGTTTTTCTTTCCTGAAAAGGTATTTTGCAGATATAAAAAATATGCTGATCAGAACACATTTGCAATTGCTCAATTAATGAGGCAGCTCACCAATTTAGGGCCAGAACTGCCACATTAGAACACTAGAGATCAGAAAGCAGGTAACACGGTGTTACCTTAGCTTCCATCAGAAAAAAAGTTAAATCAACTATGAAACAAATTGCAGAAACACGTTGCTTACCATCTTTTTACCTCTTAGCTTCCATCGGAAAAAAAGTTAAATCAACTATGAAAAAAATTGCAGAAACACGTTGCTTACCATCTTTTCTTTCTCAAGGACAATTCCACAGGGGCAGTGAAGAGGCTCATGGAAAACTTTCACGTGCTTCTCAATTTCTCCTTGTTGAAAAGCTTGCCCACATTTATCACAGTGGATATGATTTTTGGACTCTTCAATCCTAAGAACAACCCCACAACCAGCATGCTGACAGACGACATTATGCCTGCTACAATATGCCTCATGTAGGGCTATAGTCCTAGTGGGTATATAATGCTTGCAATTTCTACACTCCACAGTATCTATCTCCATAGATGAAGAGGAAGACATAGTTTGTTGACCCACTTTCTGATCAAAGTTATCTTGAACTGTTACTCTTAACAGATAGTTTGTTCTCCCCTTGAATCCATATACACCAATGCTGTAGGTACCTATTCCCAAACTCTGGTCTTTTGAGCTAAGGATCAAAGCCTTTGAACCAACATCATGTGAAGACCATCCATGCTGGTGCCTGGTTGGGAATAAGAGGGGATGCCTGGAAATATAAAGATCAGTATCACCATCTTGCCTATCTGGTTCTAGCTTTACCACAATTTTGGAGTCTGCAGACAAAATCTTTCCCCAAGTATCGTTGTCTATTGAGAACTTGTAATACACATAGTTTCCTTCGTCAACAACGGCAGATTCTGATATTCCAAATTTAAGAGCTTTTAGGACATGCTGATTTGTTCCCTCTGCAACTGACTCAGGACCTACTACATCAACCTCAATATCTGTTTCTAGAACAGACACACTTGAAGAGGGTTTTAATTCAAGAACTCGTAAATGGTACTCCAGTGCACCATGCTTGACTGTGAGCACATCATCTTGAGAAAGAGTTGCATGCTGGCGAAGGCTTGTTTCAAGGACAGCCTTGTGATTGGGTATGTCTGAAAAGCCAAATTCATTAGGTTGAAGTTTTGCATAAGCTCCTTTTGGCAGCCAAACGTAACGAATTTCAACCAAGGAAGTCTCGGGAGCTTCTGCAGGGAATAAGTTACCCCATACATGAGGAGGAAGCCCAACGGAACCTTCCTCAGCAGTGAATTCCAGGACACCAGCATGTGTTGTTTTATGATTTTGTCTGTCATCATCTTTCACGTCTGAAGGCACCTCTTTATGTATTAGTGTCAACCGGAAGTGTATGGGTCCTTTGTCAAAAGCACCTTGTTCAGACAAATCTGTGAAGCAGGATGGTGGTAATTTGATTTTATCTCCATTACCCTGATAAGGCACAGCTTCTAAGACACGATAAAACATAAGCCCTCTCCCAGCAAGTAGACTTTCTTCCATTTCTTGATCAGCCTGACAAGAGCAATCAAAAGTCCTTGTGAATAATGAATGTATTTAACTCATTAGTCATGAATGGAGTAAGTGGCGTAAACATGATTTTTTTTAAACAATTTCATCTTTAGAACCTAAGTAACGGAACAAAACAATAGAGGTCAGCATTCAACTATAGTATTCAACAACCCTACATCCCATGTTTTGGACAAGCTTGCTTGGTCAGACATGGGGTAGAGTGGCAACCTAAGAAGCACGGACACGGATACGACACAACACGACATGGACACGACAAGTCCAAAAAAAATTAGGACATGGACACAACACAGCGAATAGTATATATATATGACGTAGTACTTCAAAAATTACTGAGTGTTACTATTTTTTATCGACCTCACAATGAAAAAAAAACAAAAATCATAACTCATAACTAATAAACTATAAAAGAACAATGTTGCAGAGTTATAAAACCAAATAAAAAACAAGACATCAGAATAATAACTAGTATCATTTAATCACCATTGCAACTTTACTCCAAATACAAAAGCATAGACAGAAAGGACTATTAACATTCATGACTGTTTAACATTCAGGACTTTACTGTTAGCACTTAACATTCACAAAAACCTAAAGGCTAGTCCCCAAAAAAGATACAAAAACAAGTTAGTGTACTATCATCTATTCCCATCCATCATTTGACCTAGGACTTTTACCATTAACAATACCGAAAGGGTAGTACAAAACAAAAAACAGAACATATCAGCATTAAAAAAAAAAAAAAAAAAATTTCAGACACGCGTGTTGAACACAACCCCCTGGTGTGTCAGACGCGTGTCCGCGGAGTGTCCGTGCTGTGTCCGAAAATTTAAAAAAAATAATAAATTCCAAACACGTTTTTTGGTGTGTCCGACACGTGTCGGGGCGTGTCCGACACGTGTCGGGGCGTGTCCGACGCGTGTTGGACACGGATTCTTCGCCCATTTTGGCATGTCCGTGCTTCCTAGGTGGCAGCTTTACCTTGTTGGTAGGTTAAACTACCTACAGGCTAGTTCATTATAATTTGGAGATTGCAAGGAAATCATCAGATCTCTAAAAATTAATTACTCAAAGTGAAAATGAGGGAACAGTGAAAATTCATCATCGTGAGATTCACAATTGACTGTTATAGCTACCTTGGATTGATCATTTACATGGAAAGTTAACATAGACATTGCGGATAGAGTTCAGACAGAATTGGTTGATACAGAGAAGTGCATGAACGAGTTTTTCCGTTAACAAATACAGAACAAGTTAATGGAAAAAGTGGAATAAAATTATTTAAACTCCGATCTAGTACAAAGTGACGAAAAATTTGTAGATTTTCTAGGTAATTTGAGATGTACTGAAGCAGGGTACAGCTAGCTCCTGTATACTTCATGTGTACATGGCTTGCATGTTTTTTGGCGCTTCGTGTTTTACAACGCTTTTACTTATACAAAAAGGATAAGAGAGGAACCCTCACCAAGATCACACCCCTCAAACATAAAAACCATTCTAGGCAGGGTAGACTTTTCCACATTAGTTGTACATATCATAGTCCCCTAGCCAAACAACACAAACTCGAGCATATTTCACATTTCTGCTGGCTATGCAACCAAATATTCCTTAAATTTTTGTAGACAACACTTACGGAAATCCATCCAACACATATCTGCAGAAAGTAATAAAGACTTTATTATCACCACCTTCTCACCCTCTGTAAGCTGTGCAACTCCTCCCTCTTCAAACAACCATGTTACGGAATTCACAAAAACACACACTTCAATCTCTGCTGCACCTTATCATCCTTACCTTCACTCCGTATGAACAAAGTTTCTATTTACATGTAGTTTCTCCTATTATATCTAATTTTTTAAAGACGTGTCCAATTACTTCATCCATGTTAATGTTGGTCAGCTTTTTTGTCTTTTACCGTCTCTTAGGCCCAGACAAGCCTAAAAGGGCAAAGAATCCGTGTCGGACACCAACACATGCTGGACACGCCTCGACACGTGTTGGACACGCTTGGGCACGAGTCCGACACTCCTTGGATACGTGTCCCATTCTTGGGGATTTTTAAAAAAGTTTTAGAAACAATGTTGAGTTGAAGTATAAATATTAAGAGTTGTTTAATAACTTTCAGCAATATGATGGTAATTACTTAAAAGTTGTTTTATAAAATAATTTTATATTAAAACAATTAGAAATTATCCTTATATTTAAGTTCAAGGTTCGAACTCTTGCACGATCATCTTTAACTCTCTTGTTCTCCCACCAACCAAGCTTCGCTACTGGTGGATGGTCTCTCTATCTCTCTCTTCTCTTTTCTCTCTTCTTCTTCGCCGTCCTCTTTTTTTTTCTTCTTCTTGTTGTTCACAAATCCTAGATACTTCTTTCTTCCTTTCAAAATTTCGTTTTGCGTTTCTTTTTCCTTTTTCCTCTATTCCCCGTGAACTTTTTTTGTCTTCTATGGATTCTTACATTTATTTTTAACGAAGGCCTAATTCTTATCCTAACAAAACCCTAATCCTCTTCGTTTCTTTGTTTTTTCTCTCTTTCTTAACCCTCTTTCTATCATTCTTTCTTTTTCCCAGCAAAACACTTTTTTTTTTCATTATGAGGTTGTAAAAACTAATATTACTCTTAATTTCTTAAAGTACAACATCATATATATAAAATATATATTTATTATTTGCCATGTCCATGTCCGAAATTTACTGGATTTGACATGTTGCCGTATCCGTTTCCGTGCTTCTTAGCGGCTAACAGTCATCTCCTCCTCTTTACATACCACATCTATTAGCCATCTGGCACCATCTTCTTCAGGGGAAATTTCCAAGCAAAGAAAACCACCTTTAAAGGGGAAGGGTTCCAAATGGCATATGCTCTTCATGGAAATTCCTAACTCCCTCCCTCCCTCTACAATCTCTCAAAAAAGGATAAACCACTAAAGATCCCCATTAAACACCTTTCATGTGATTGAATCCTCAATCTGCGGGAGCATATCAACTAAATGAATAAAAAGAATGGACACTCAAATGGGTTATTTTTATCACATTTTGTGGATTGAAGCAAATATACTTAATTGATAATTTTAAATTAACGCAGATTGAGTATGATACACTCGGTTATTTCAATCACACTTAAGTTTATGCCCTTCAGCTGTTCCATACGAATACACATATTTTGTTCTCCAATGACCAACATATACATAGTATATACATATTGCATACTCCAATCTTAGATCAAAATTCATAATGCCCCAAATAGAAACAAATGAAATTTAGTAGTACATAAAAAAGGTTCCAAAATTACAAATAAATGTAGCAACTCCATATCTATTGCAGATTAATTAATCAACAAAATTTCTCTTACTAATTCTGAAAGAGTTCAAAGCAGAAACAAATCAATTACATGCCCTAATTGAAATAGGAAGGGTTTTTTTCTTTTCAAGAGAAGCAAACAAAAAAAGATTGATTTAGCATAATATTGAAACAGATCAATTCAAAAAAGAGGGCAAAAGATAGGTGAGACCTTGAGTTGAGCTTCGGCAGCCTCGATCCTTCGAGATCTCTGCGCAGCTTCAATGGACTCGCGTTGCTTAATCGCCTCCTGTTTGGATTTTCTCTCTCTTTGCAGCTTCAGCCTGGCCTTCTCTTTCCTCTCCGTCTGTTCTTTCTCCAACTTCTCTCTTGCTCTTCTCAGCTCAAAATCCATCTCTCTAACCTTCCAATCTCAATCTCAGTAATCTCTCTCTATATACCTCAGCAATCTCTCTCTATATATAAAGCGTGTATAGCTTTCCCGAGACAATTGCAACGATCAAAATTCAGAGGAGGTTTAATTAATTGTTGTGGCGTTGAGGTTTTTTAGAGTTGAAGTCTCCGATTTCTTGTTGAAGATGATATGAAAACAGGTATTTATCCTTCTTGACTCACAATTTGGATCATTTTCATTCGAGAAGGAACTAGGCCTTACTTTCAGACATGGGTCTCAATTGGTGGGGCCCATCAACCCAAATGGCTTCAATGGGCCCAATCAGCCCATATACCCTCCCTTTGACCAGAAATGGGTCCAATCAGTCCATATACCCTCCATTTGACCATAATCGCACAATTTTTTATTTTTTTTTTTATTTTTTTTTATATATATACATATATATATATATATTTTGTGGTGTGCTAGAAGTCTTGAATTCTTTTAAAAGAAGGAATGGCATATTTGACTTTTTAAAGTATTTTCATACTACCAATGTTCTTAGAGCAACCCTACCAATGTTCTTAGAGCAACCCAGCGCAAGGCACCCCTTTCATTCTACACTTTATGTAAAGTGTATAAGCATATCAGCAATTAATTCTATACTTATTTTGGAGACTCCAAATTTTTGTTGTGCACTCATGTTTTTTATTCTATATTTTATTAAATAATTATTTTTAAAAAACTAATTTTTTATTTTTTATTTTTTTTTATTTTTTTAACGATTTTATTCTCAACAACTATAATACTAACGGCTATAATTGTTTGCTCCAATTATATATTTAGATACAAGATTTTTAAAAAACAATAATATTACATATATTAAAAAAAAAAAAAAAAAAAAAAGTGCATTACATAGCTTCCTACAAATAAAATAAAACAATACAACTCAAGGAAAAAAAAAAAAATACATTAATACTTCCACATATGAAAAAAAATATAGTAACATTACAATTAATTGCCCCTTTTTGCATAACACGCCATAATTTCATTTTGTCGATGCTCGATTCATACTTTCATCGCCGGTGTTGTAGCATTATTTGGATTTTTTCCCATCATTTGTCTTTTCTAAAGAACTTGCTCCTACTCAATCTCCATCATCTTCATTTCTTTTTCCGCCTCAAGCTCATTTAAATTTCATTTCTTTTTGCAGCTTAAGCTCCAATCGCCTTGTCCGTTTTTGTTTCATGCCCAAATCGAATTTTAATTTCATTTTTAAGGTACGAGATTCGAGTGCTAAGTTGTCCATCAATTTATTTTGCTCGGCAAATCCTTGAAACGATGTAAGAAATAAGTCATTTTGCACATTATCTTTACTTTTACGACCCCTTTTGACAGGTTTTCGCCCAATAGGTCATGAAGTGTCACGTGAACCTTCGTCAATGGCCGGTTAGCCGTTGTCGCCAAGGTTTACCGAACCTGGTGTTGATATTGCAAGAGTTGACTAAGTAGATGAATTAGTTGGGATTGAACCTGTTGTTGATGGAACTGTTTGGTAACAATCTCCAGGCTCATTCATATCAAGATCCATAGCTCTCTTATTTGTGTTTGGTGTTTGTTTTTTCTTCATTGTATTGCAATTTTGGAGCCATTTTGAAGATTTCTGAAGAAGATTCCAACAGTACTCCAACTTAAATGGTTCCCTTTCTTCATGTTCAAATAATGCTTTTGTTGCCATGTGCTATAAAAATTAAACAAAAACTATATTTAGACAGATTGTCAATTAAAATAAATATTTATTTTTAAGGAAATTTAGACAGTAAGAAATTTATTACAAAGTAAGAAACTTACGACATCTTCAACGTTGTATCCACTTTGACATTGGTTTTGGATCTGTTGGTGGTATCCACTAAATTTGCTGACTACTTGCTTAATTATTGTGAATCGATTCGACAAACCTAACTGCTGTCGGCACTGCACCATGTCGCTCATTTGGCATTTGAAATCAGCATGGATACGTCCCCAATATGTGTCACTTTGTTGATTTGCACCTATTATTGGATCTTTCGGTCCCAATATTAATCCACACTTTGCATAACGCTTCATCTTCTTGGGTGGACCAAATTTTCCTATCTTCCTTGAATTAGACTTGGATTGAGAAGGTTCAGATTGAGATGTATATTAGGAAGGAGGTTAAGATTGGATAGGAGGTGGGTATTAGGAAGAAAGTGGGTATTGAGAATGAGATTGATATTTGGAAGAAGGTAGGGTTTGAGAAGGAGATTGGTATTGGGAAGAAAGTAAGTATTGGGAATGAGATTGGTATAAGGAATGTGGTGGGTTTTGGAAATGAGAGAATTGAGATTGAGATAGGTTTTCGGATTGGTAAAATCCTGAAGAGTAAAAATCATAATTGAATTGTGGTTGTAGTTCAGAGTTTTGCGATGGGGGTAATAGAGGTCATTGATCCATAAAGTGTTCAAGGAAGAAAATTTCGTCAGAAAAAATTGAAAGAAAGATTGAGAAAGAGAAAGATAAGTAACTGATGAATAATGAGAAATTTTGATAAAAGTGTAATGGTATTTATAGAGAATATGTGATATTACAAACGGTTATATTCACTTTGTTTTTTCTCAACGACTATAATTTATTTGTTTTTTCTCAACAGCTATATTATATTTGTCTTTTTTTCTAACGACTATATTATGTTTGTCTTATTCCAACGGCTATATTATGTTTGTTTTTTTCCCAACGGTTATATTCTGTTTGTTTTTTTTTCAACAATTATATTCTCAATGGCTATATAAACCATTCATTCCCTCATTTTTTTCAATTATCAAGTCCATTTTTTTACATCTTCGAATCATTTTCTCTTATTTGAGTCTTTATCTTTATTATAGAAAAAAAAAAAAAAGGCTTCATCATCACAATCTATTTCAGTGTCTGGGTCAATTTCTGACGGAGAAGATTTTTTTGAAGAACGTCAAAAAAGGATGCGGTGATGCAACTGTTATCACCTGAGAAGGTAAATGCATTCTTTCGACGTCGTAAAAGAAAATATATTAAACGTGATCGAGAGGAGGCAGCTCAACGCCTATTCCAATAATATTTTGTTGAAAATCCCACTTTTACACCCGAGATGTTTCGTAGACGATTTCGGATGCTGCGAGAGTTATTTGTTCGCATTTTAAACGATGTTACAACATATAACGAATGGTTCATCTAGAAGCCTGATGCCCTCAGTCGTATGGGTTTCACTCCTATACAGAAGATGACAGCTGCAATACGTATACTCGCATATGAAATTTCAGCAGATCTTTGTGATGAGTATATAAAGATTTCTGAAACCACTGCGGTTGAAAGCTTAAAGCGCTTTTGTGATGCTATAATTACGGTGTATGCAGGGCAATACCAATGCACACCAAATGAATAGGACATTGCACGTCTGCTTCGAGAAGGGGAGAAAAAAGGCTTCTCAGGTATGCTTAGCTCCATAAATTGTATGCATTGGAAATGGAAAAATTGCTCTACAGGGTGGCATGATACACATAGGGGAAGAAATCATAAGCCTACCCTCATATTGGAGGCGGTTGCACAGAAAGATCTGTAGATCTGGCATGCTTTATTTGGCATGGTTGGTTCAAACAATGACGTGAATGTCTTGGATCATTCCCCAGTATTCAATAGCCTGATCAATTGCACAATGCCTCCGATTAATTACGAGATAAATGGGCATCGACATGTAATGGGAAATTACCTATCTGATGGTATTTATCCCAAGTGGGCAACTTTTATTCAGACCATCCCACACCCAACAATTGGAAAAGAGAAATTATTTGCTAAAAAACAAGAAGCCGTTAGGAAAGATGTTGAACGAGTGTTGGGCGTGCTACAAATCAGGTGGGCTATAACGCAAGGACCCGTACATTATTAGGATAAAGAAGATCTGAACAATATAATGAGAATGTGCATCATATTGTACAATATGATCATTGAAAATGAGTGCGAACACAGTTTGCGATGGACACCTCCGCCGGATTAGCCAATATCCCTCCCACAATACATTTGAAACCTAACAATGTTGGCGACACACATTTCCAGTCGCTTTAGAAGAATTCGTAATAGAACGGATAATACTGATCTTAGGAGACATCTGATGGAACATTTGTGGAATTAATTTGGTGATGAAAATGTTTAAATTTGATATAATCGAATAAAATGTAATTTTTATATTATTATGCGAATTAATTAAATCATTACGTGATGAAAATGTTTAAATTTATTAATCGAATAAAATGTTATTTTTTTTATATTATTATGCAACTGAATTAAATTATTATGCAATAAATAAATTAATTAAATTGATAAGTCAAAAAGTACAAACTTTTTTTTTAAAAAATAATTAATTAAATTCTTATGCAAATTAAATGACTCTCTTTATTTATTTAGGAAAAATGACTCTTTTTTAATTAATTAAATCATGACTATCTTTACATTAATTAATTAATTCAATACACATACAATAATTATTTTACACATTATCACACAATATCACTTTTCCTTTTTATATCATTATCACACGCAATGGCCTACTGCGCCAGGTGCTACTTCATTCTTCATCTGTGGAGTGTGGAGTGTGTCATATGACATGGGGCCTACTTGTGTGTAATGTGCATAGTAAAGGCTTTCATTCAACATAGGTTCAAATATTGTACACTATTGCCTTGAGCTAGGGTTGCTCTTAGAAAGTACTTGTATACTCCGATTTTAAGGAGTAATTATATCATTTTGGTTATTTAAAAGTCAAGTGAGACTATAGATGTGATGTGATGTGATATCTTAGGGTGGGTTTGATATGCGATGTATTTTAAACGTTATATTTTTGGTTAATATCAAAACAACCGTTTTGTTATAAGAATGTTTTGAGTAGAAATCGAAACTATGTTAACAAAAATTTGTTTTGAGAAATTCAAAAAATTTGTTTTACTTTTTTCGCTACAATATCAAAACACATAATATACCAATTTAGTGATATGTGTTTAGACAAAAAAATCTGATATATTATAAACTATTCCAAATTAATATCAATTGTCCCAAATATAATATGAGTCCAAATTTGAATACCAATATCAAATTTGAATACCAATATCATAATGCATGCCAAACGGGCTCTTAATAATTCATTTGGTATATAAGTATATAAATTATAAATCACCTTTTTTTTTTCTTTTTTTTTTTTTTTTTT